ATTACCTTTTTCTTCAAGGCCAGACACTGTACCAGAAGAAGTTACAGTTGATGCGAACTCTGATAATAAGCAACGTACTAGGCGAAGGCCTAGATATTTGGATGATTACATTTGATTTGACTGTGATAGTGCTTTTATCATGCTTTTAACAATTCATTGTTTTGTTTTTAGATATACATTTCATTTGAGTGTACAGTTCTTTACATTTTCTTCATATTTTTATGGATTTTCAATTTTGAAGATGGAAAATTTCTTTGTAATTTCCCATCTGAAAAAGGGGGGAGTAATGAGACGACCACGTCTATAACTCTGTTTTATTCTGTACGCCCATATTTATTCTTACCACTTGAGTCACTAGTGAACAACTGTGTAACTTTCTCTTGTAGCTGGTTTGTCAGACTGCCGGCAGTGTAGATATTCCTCTGTATATTAGGTTATTATTATAGTGTTTTAATGCCGTAAATCTATGTAATTCTTGTTGTAAAATGATATTAGTAGTGCAGGTTTATTATTTCTCCAGTTTGGCATAGCTCTGTTCACTAGTTAGCTTGTATTTAACACTTCCGTAACTAGTCTATTTTCGCAGTTTATTTCCTGTGTGATTTCCATATTTCTATGCGTATTTCCATGTATATTACGTGTTTGTCGGTAAGATAGGATTTGTGTTGTATCTTTAGTGTCATACTAGTTATTCTTATGTGTATCTAGGTATGTTTTACCCGGTTTTTCATATCCCATTATAAGTAAATAGTTCATGACTGTGACGTCATAGACCAATTCCGTATCTTGTGTTACGTATGTATCCTACGGTATTTGTACTGTGTTTTTATTTGTTTATTGTATTTCTTATTGGAGTATTTGGTTGTATTAAGTTCTTACAGGTGTATAATTAATCTAGTTAGTTAACTTAGTTACTCTGCTGTGATTGGAACCGCAAGAAGATTGTTTTGTGAACGACATCTATTGCAACTTCAGTGTCCGATAAGCTGGCAGAAAGAACCTGAGTGGTGATATCAATTTTGGTACGCCACACTCTATTAAATTTTTCAATTCAAATTGGCAACACTATATTAGAAAATGTCAGTTCCTTTAAATATCTGGGCACTTATTTAGATAGTCAATTGAAATAGGATCCGCATATAACGAACTTGGCTGCTAAGCTATCTAAGTCGGTTAGGATACTTTTCAAACTTCGGCATTTTATACCGGTAACAACTTTACACATGGTTTATCACTCACTTTTTCAGACCCACATTCAATATGGTATTAGTGCATGAGGTACAGCCGATAAAAGTCTATTACGTCGAATCGAGATCACGCAAAATACAGCCATCCGTGCTGTTTCTGGTAGTGGATGTCATGAACAAATCAACCCAAACTATTTTAAACTTCAAATTATTAAATTGGCAGATATTCATAAAATGGAGGTTCTGAAACTAATGCACCAACATCATAACAATGATCTCCCTGTCACATTTTCTGACTATTTTTCAAAACGAAGCAGTATTCGTTCACACAGAACTCGTTCTTCTGTCTGTGGCTCCTACCATGTGCATCGTTTTTCCACGAAGCGTAATCAAAATTCAATAAAATATGTATGTGCTAAGTTATGGAGTTCATTACCTGAAAGTATTCGAATCAAGAATTATAATGCATTCAAACAAGCACTGAAAAAGGTTTACCATGAGGGCTATTCGTCTGTTTCTTTAAGTGGACGAGTTTGTTTGTCAGCGTACCGTGCCGGTACCGGAACTGTATATCTTTAGATATACCGGTACAGTACCACCCAGTTTCGCTCGGCAATGGTATGATGTATCCCACAATTTTCTTGTAAAATTGAACTATTGCTATACTGTTTGATCATCTTACGTTACTATTATCGTGTGAAGTAATAAAATAGTACTGGTACTTACTTGCTTTTTAATCCGTACCTATTCAACCCACCACAGTCGTAAACTCCAAAGTGACTATAACACAAGTGAGGACATGCATTGCAGGGGCGTAGCCAGGGGGGGTTGGGGGTCGGACCCCCCCCCCCCCCCCTTTGGAATGTGAAAAAAGTGACTTGCAACATGAACAATAAGCGCAGAAATCTTAATGGCTCCGAAGCCGAGCTGCTATGAACCAACTAATAAACATCGAAGCTAAATTTGGCTTTATTTGCATTATATAACATGATAGTACAGTGCGAAAAGAATTGCAGGAAAGAAATGATACAATGTGAACCAAAAATAGTTCGCGATTTTACAAGGTCCAAGAATGAGGTATATTTACAATATTACCTTTAAACGCCGAGCTTTCCTCCGCATAAACGCCAGAATAACTTTTTCTGTTGGAACTTCAATTTCCCGATGGACCAGAAGCAGGGCTAAACCATTCAGCCGGGTTTCCATAGTGGTGTTCCGCAAATATGTTTTCAAACCACGTAGCTGTGAAAACGATCTTTCGGCAGATGCAGTTGTGACCGGAAGTGTGGAAATATTTTGCAGTAATTTTTGAACGTTGGGATATGCTTCGACAGAAGCATGGTTTAGCGCATCCAAAGCGTTTTTCGGAAGATCGGCTGTGTTCACTTGCTCTTCCAGAGCATTATTTCGGACTTCACCATCGTCCACGATTCCAACTCTTCTGAATATATTTTGAAGAAATTAGAATCTTGTACAATATTGCATGGCTGCATCATCATGCGATACGGAATAAGGCCAAAACACTGTGTTGCTTTCCGAAAAGTAGATCCGAAACGATCTTCAAGTTCGGGGATTGTCTTGCTCAGGAAAGGTTTGAACACATCTTCGCGCATCTGACTCTCCAAATCCACGCTAGTCGAATTCAGAGATCTCACAACAAGCGGAATTTGGTGATCACTGGTCATTACGCTGATTTCGTTGAAAATTCCTCCTGTGCGTTATCCAACATGTGGTGTAAAACTGCCTTAACGTCGTTAAGCATTTGACAGCAGCCTATAATGTCGAGATCTTTTGACTGCAGGATAACTGACAGTCGATATGTAATGCCAAGTATACTGTCCAGTATACGTAAATGGCAGATGAAATCTGCGTTCATTATCCTGTATTTATATTCATCTGCTTTATCAGCGGCAACTCTGTCTCTGCATTCTTCTATCTGGCCCAAAGAGTAAACGACGGCAGAATATAATTCGCAGAATACTGTAATTGACTCATGTCTTTCCACCCATCTGGTTTCGCAAAATGTTATCAAACGTGTGTGTCGACTTTGTGGAAGGAGTGCTATAATAGCATTCTTAAGAATTCCTGTGCGTTTGGGACTATTAGAGAAAAAATTAACGACGTTTCTTATACTCCGCACTGTTCGTTTCAACCCTTCGCCTCCACGTGATATTCAGTCTAAATTTCTAAAAACATTCTTCTGTGTCATACATTGCACCTTTTCGTGGCTTGGAACGCTTTTTAGAGCATCAATTTACTTGAAAACTCGCGTTTTCCGGCCTCCGTCCAGATAACCTGGCAATTAGAAATTTCAGACCCCCCCCCCCTTTGAAAATTCCTGGCTACGCCCCTGATGCATTGGTAACGTTATAAGCGCTTGCGTGACGTCACACCCGCCATTTTGGGTCCAGAGTTCTTTCGCTGTATGAACCTACCTAAGTGATTTAAACCTGCGATCGTTAAACAGCTGAATAATAAAAAAAACGATGATCAATAATTCGGACCAAAGATTTGCAGCAGCAAAACGAATGAACATTCTTCTGAAAAATTAATTTTCCGCAGATGTTTCTCAGATAACTCGGCTCGGCGGTATGGTCAGCATATAGAGGACTTGCACACGTGACTTTGTTTACTGGACGGCAAAAAACAAAATCGTCCAGCTGGCTCCTGTCAGTTGCAAGTCGGATTATACGTTTCCGTTTTGTTTGGCTGTTGAAAATGGTTATTTCGTATTGTACCGTTGGCTGTACGTATAGTATAAATAACGAAATGGATCTTCAGTTATATTCCACTGTTTTCAGAAGATCCGAAACGTCGCGCAATGTGGATATCATCCATTGGCAGGACTGCTTGGTGTCAAGTCCAGAAATCATATCGCTTGTGTTTCACTGTTTGCGGACAGCACTTCGTACAATTGCCATTCTATGTCGGAATTAGTTAGCCAGTTATTCGTTTTCAGAAGCATGGACTTGATGGTGGGGGATGTCGTAATCCGGTCAGCGGTCGTGTGAACCACCTTCAGTGGGAGGATAGCTGCAATCCTCTCGCACATAACTATCCCCGCATGGGATTGGAACCTGTGAAACTACCAGGGTGATCAGAGATGCGGACCACTGGCGGTGAACTTTAGTTATCTATTCAACTTTTCACACCTAGTAATAGATTCCACTAGGCAAGTAGAAAAAGAATAATACTGAACTTACCCGAATAAAATGCAAAACAGTAACAAATTTCCAAACAAATTGACAAACGAAACCTGATAATCAGACTGACGAAGCTAAAACAAACCGAGGCTGCCGCGTTACCGCGATTCGCCGGACCCATAATGGCGACCGCTATGCATCATTGCACTCGGTGTCTTCACTTGGTTTATAGTCACTTGAGCTTGCTATTGACAACGAGTCGCATTCTTTTTCATATTAATAAGTATTTTTTGTCATGGTTCCTGAACGCACAGTTAAGCCCATGAGGGCGCTGCTGGGTCATTTCTTACTCCAGTGATATTTTGTAATTTTCATTTTGTGATACTATACTTTTTGTACTAGGCTACTAATTATTAAATTAGTTTTAGTCTGTTCCATCTGAATTAATCAGCCAACAGGTGTCGCTGACTCGAAGACGGTTACAGTCCTTCGCGACCCCCGATTGCAATTAATCTCTGACGTTATTTCTTACGTGTATATTTCAATTTTTTCTCCAATTCCGGTATACACTTTTGTGCTGTTTTTGCATTGATTCTTGTATGTTAAAAATAAATTATTCGAATCTGAATCTGACGCAGAGATAATTGGCAGATGCCACGACCCCCTACTTTATCCTAATGCCTCAGTATATCTTTTCAGTTATTTCAACCACCAAAACCATTCCAAATACGCAAATAAATTCAAACGGAAATTCTCTTCCGTAAGCTTCAAAATATAGCAAACTGATGACGTAGTAACGCATCACTCATGCGTAGCGAACCGGCCGTGAGCGAATGGTACAACTATATCTGTATATCGATAATTTCAGGAATTGGAAACGGTAAATAGCCTACTACAGTACCGGTACCGGTAGTACCGTACCTACCGGTGGGTGTAGCATAACAATTAATTGATATGTCCATTCTAACCCCCATCTGACTACGCCATCCACAAATGACGTCACTACAACATCACAACACGTCATAGAGCTTGCCAAATATACGTACGATCGCACGAAATGGCATCGGCGCGGACGATAAAGAACTGACTAACGTCATCGATCTCTCTCCTATAGGGATCGTTGCGACCAAAGTGACTATAAACTATAGTCACTTTGGTTGCGACGGGAAAACGAGAGAAATAGCTGTTCGATTTCGGGTGTTCGTCTGCGCGTCTTGGATAGCAGTTCGTATAGTTCGAAGGGCTCTATTACGTCACTGTGACTTCGTAGTGACGTGATTTTTGAATGGCGTAGTCTGGTGGGGGTTAAGATTGACACGTGAAAAAATTGTTATGCTACAAATGACCCACTATATCAAATGCTACTGTCACTATTTTGTTATAGTTTGCGATTGTCAAAAGCTACCAATATAGATGACCATAACAGAGCTAGTTTATATGTTGGGAGAAGCCCTGTCATCCAAAGAGTTCATCAAACGGTTAGCACAATTGTTTTTATGCCACTCATCGTATTGCGACAATTTTTTTAAACCCCACAATCGCTTATCTTTAATTATTACGTATTATTACGAATGAGTATTAATTTATTCGTGGAATCGTTCCTCCGGTCTATTGTTACGCAACAAGGTTCAACAAATACTTCTGAAAAATATTTTTTAGGTAAAACTATACTCAGAAAGTTGACCATGGCGGAGGACGCTCATTTTACAACAGTCGATAGTTTGACACCCTCCCTCGAAGCAATAGCAAAACTTTCTCAAGAAGAACAAGCCAATCAACTTAAAAACTTGATTTCAAACTTACGGAAAGAAGCTCATGAATTGACAGACGAAAATGAAGTAATGAAAGACGTTATTTTTCAGCTTGGTAAATTAGATTTTTATCATTCTAAGCCAATATATAACTAGTAAAACAAGCAACTTGAATTTAACATTATGCTTTTGGTAATAAAAACACTTGGAAGCAGTAATTTATTGGCGCATCTTAACATCGTAAACCACGGCCGCGAGCCAAATCCGTCTCGTTTGGCAATTCAATCTGGCCCGCATGATGCTGCCACAACCAACTTAAAACTCAATTTTTATGTTTTAGCTAAAAAATAGCTCAAGGAATTTAGTTTCGGCACGAGACCTATTGTTCTCCACTTTTGCTTCTGCAACACTGTAAATATTGCCATACAATGTAACTTTTTACATTACAATTACATGGCCCGTTAGTGTAAAACAACAGCAAGATCGTGCGGAAATAGAAATATCAGAATGCTCTTATATCTTATCTGCAGAATTACCAGTTGTTTCTTATTCATATATAGTCATGTTCGGGATGAGGCGAGAAATACTATAATGTAAATCTGTATGCTCACAACTATTGGAATCGTGTTGCGATGACCTTGCGTAGAGATTCGCAACAATCCTGCTAATTTTCTGCACAGACATATAGCATAGAATATACATTGGCTTTAGATCAAGATTATTTGCGGTAACAACGAAATAAAATTTACCAAAATCGTGCCCATGCAAATTACCTAATCAGAAATACATTTCATAGAAAAGGATATTGTCAGAACTGATGAAGGATTGATGGGAATGTCTTATGGAAGTTTTGTATTTGAAGATAAAATTTTAAACGAACGTTTACAACGAATTTTGGATCCCGATTGCAACAAACATGTACAGGTAATTATTATAATATGAGTTTTTAAAGAAATTGTTGGCGTTATCATAAAACTCAAAATGGGGTTCGCGTATCAGGGATGTTTTTCGAAAACGTGAAAAATATTTATTTTCGCGGAAATTCCCACACAGAGAAATGTAGTAATGTAAATGTGATTCTGGTCCCCACCCTCTTGCCGGGTTCTGGCCAAAATGAGATTCTATATTCCCAACAATATAGGATTGCAAACGTGAGTTTCTAGTTGAACACAAATGTTTTGTGCACGATGTCGATATTTTGAGAACAAAATATCGCAACGACTTCCAAAGTTAGTAAAGAAAAGTCTCGACATATCTTGCAATAGCTCGCATATTTTGCTTGTTTAAATTTATGTATAGCGTAAATAATTTGAGTTCTTTGTATCTTTTTTAACCGCGGATTCATTTATATTCGTACCACTGTGCCGTTATAGTCTAAAGCAAATCGATATGTAAGTGATACGCAGATACATAAAGTATACAATTGGTACACAACAAGAATAGCAAAATCATACTACCACCTAGAGTTTTTCTAAAAAAATGCAAAAAATACTGTGATAAATATTTTTGTTTGATAGGTGGGAATCATTGATAGCGAACGGTTTTCTTCAGTGGAAACACAAACACCAGGGTTAGCCCAAGTTTTACTGAATTATGCAGAAGAGCTCAAGGAATTGAGGTAAAGGGAGCAAAAAGAATAATATAAAAGTTCCAGTTTTTTGATACCTGAGTTACTCATATGTGTTTATATTAACAGACGGCTTAGGGACCAGAATGATGTCACAATGTTTCCAAGTAAACCCGAAGATCAGTGGGAGGAGAAAGAGACTCCAGAAGAAGGTTACTTCAATGTCACTTGAAAATAAGATTGTAGGTGTAGGGAATAGTTCAAATTTATGAGCATCCTTGATTGCTATTTTGGTTATCGATTAGGATCTATCAACATCTTCATATTTAAATGTAACTAAATTGAATAACCTCGTATATATAGGTAAGGCCGCCAACAGTTATTTGTCTCAAAAAACAGCTTTTCTCATTGTGCGTTTTGAATTTCTGAGTATATATTTACGTTTTCAGTGTTTTCATATGAACAATAGCGCTATGCCAAAAATAACAGCAGCGAAATTATGTAGGTGATTAATTAAAAATGTTTTGACAGGTCCCGTCGACTTTGGAATAATGTCAATTCTATCTTTTCTACTTGTTTTCTCCTCCGCCATTGCCGTAGCTGGATTTGGAGTTTTGACTTATTTTTCCATGATTTCATAACTGGTTTTTCAATAAACTGCCTCAATGAACGTACTTTATTTTTAGCACGACAATTTATTTGCCAACAACATCGGAATATATTCAGCAGAAATGGAGAATTCTGATTCTTTCACTATTCACTTGTAATAAAAAAAAATATCAAATAACAAAATCAAACGTTGTGTGCAGCGTCCAGTGTAATAAGAAAGTTTCGAAGAGAAATAACCAAATTACGATTGCAAAAAGCATCGCACGCCATCATAGTTGAGTTATGAAAACTTCAAAATTCAATTATAAATTATTAAATATAACGCAACCCAGGACCCTTAGGACCAGACAATGATGGATGGGGTTGCCGCCAAAAATTGTCATTTGCTTGTTTGGCGATCAATAAAATACTGATAACTTTGTGTCTTTTTGGTATTGAATCCGACTTTTGTCACAATAGCCACAGCTAGCATAAAATGCTTTGTTTGTAGCATGAGTTACACAAGGCGGTTGCTGTATATGCAGTATCTTACTGTCTCCGAATTATAATGTAATAATAGCCGAAACTAACCTATAGACCTAACTGCTCAACAGCGTACGCTACGTTTCACTACGGCATGTCTATAATAATCTGTTTATAAACCTTCCAAAACCACCATCCGGAACGTTTTCATCGGAGCGTCAAATCGGTCAATGGGTGTAGTGAACGTTTTGTAGTTTTGCTCGAAAGGGCTTAATCTTGAGTGGGCGGGATAACTAGGAAAAGTAATTTGAAGTTCACTTCAATAAAATATTAAATTTGAGTGCCAGTAGAAGTTTTCAAAGGGGAGGGGTGTCGTGATAGGTAATTAACTACTTTCAGTAGACTATTTTACATTATGTTCAGTCGTTTGTCAACTTTAGTATATACAGTGCTAGGATAAGTAGACAGCCAGTTCCCAATAATAACGTTGCACCAAACTCACGCGAACAGAAAAAATAGACCTTGGAAATGCCACTGCAGGTAGCAGTAGAAATATTCATTGTTACCAGTCTATAGATATCGGATTTTGTCTGATAAAATCAAAACTAATATTCGTCGATCTTGTATGCATTGCTGATAAATTTTATAATTCACTTCAGAGTTGAGAGAAATAATAAGTTATTGCATATATAACTAGACCTGAAAACATTTAAAAACCAAGTAGAAGCATCAGTGCATAAATTAAATAATTCAACTGATGTAAACTGCAAATAGCTACAATCGTCAGGCGGACATATTATACTAAAATCTGAAAATGAATTTCGTCAGTTCAAAGCAGAATTTTTTGACATGGAAATACATTTTAGTTACTTTACTCATTTACACCATCACACAAAGCGCAGGTAAGGTATTTTGATAATAAATGAATACTAAATGGAATTAAATTATAACGAGTATCAAAATTGTTTTAGTATAAATGAAGAACTAATTATACATACTCTCCATTGCGTAAAATAAAGACTCGTTGCTGGGATCAATAAACCCACCCAACAACCTTAAAAAGTCATAAACTCACAATAATATGCCTACAACATATATATATATATATATCTAAAATTTGGATAATTTTTTTTTGCTCGTTAGGCAGCGCTTTGTATTGGTACACTTTGTCGACTCCATTTTGTCTCTTAGTACATTATGACTCGGACACATTCTTTAACTTTGAGGAAAAAATACAATATATAATAAATATTCGGAAGTAAATTTTGGAATCCGTATGATGACGTAGCCAATAATTGAAAACATTCGTGACATCATCATAACCAAATGTGGCGCCTTGCGATGTTCTGGAGACGACTGGGCAAGGGACCCAATGTATATCTTTCATTTTCTAATTGTTTATTATATTACAATTGTAGAAATGTTGATTTTCAAATTAATACTTTTATATTGCAGATGCCCAAACGACCAATACTTCTACGTTTACTTTTGCTGATTTTGCACCGTATATACGTAAGTGAATGTTACGTCGTACATGAAAAAAAATTATGTATATGATGACTTATTTGATGAGTTTACTATTTGAAAAAACACGAACTTATTTTATTACATAATATATTTTTTCAGTGGGTAAAATAACGTTTAGGAAAACTTCAAAATTTTCTACCGAAATAAAGTTTGACAATTTCATAAAAAGTCGAAAGCTCAAAACTTGCCCAACCGCTGCTGGGTTATTTAAATTCTTATTATATATTTTCATACAGCGTCCACAGCTACCAAAACATTTACGACGAGCCTCACGCTTTTGTCGGTTAACGTCAACCAGTCCGAGTTTGATGAAGGTGTTTTCATAAATTCGGTGAGTAAGTACCTCTTGAGTACATTTTCAATCATGATGAGTGGCATATATCTTAATTTTAATCTGGCCCGTGCTTGAACAAGACTGAAGCGTAATGATGGCATACTTCGCGGTTTTGTTTGAATATGTAATGCTGAATTTAAAACATTGTTTTCTTAGACCAACCAATTCTATTCATCTAAGTTTCCTGGATTCACATCAGTGACGATGATAAGTAACTCGTCAAATAATTCAACAAATGAAATTCAGGTATGACGTATAGTCTTATAATAGTTCTATCGAAATATTACACTTTATAATGACAGAATACGCCAATAAGTACTTTGGCAAATTCCACAAAAAGGTTATTAAGAACTTTTTCCAGATTTAAAATTGATTTTGAGAGTGAGTATAATTTTAATTATCTTAATAACTAATTACTTTAATTAATAATTAATTATTTTGATAATTACAAAAACGCTCAATATCTCACAAATGCGTGCTAGAGAAGTAGATTCATATTGTCGAAAGTTAACTGTAATTTAAATATTTTACCTCTATCCTAACACATTTATAATTTGAATTGATTTTGATTTTGAAATCATAATTTTAGTTGTTTAAATAATTTAAAAAATAAATGATCTCATGAATTTTTTACCGTTGGATGATTTCACACATTCGCAGTTAAACTGTAATTTATTTTAAAAGCGTACTTATTTATCATCCACCGTATCATCCTATGTTTTTCAAACACAAAACACGTCACATCCTCAAATGTCAGACTGACTGAAAATAAGGTCAATTGATTCTCAAGTTCAAATCCGTGGCCTTGAATAATTTATTGGGGTTTTATTCCAAAGTTTCGCGGAAAACAAAATAAGAACAGCCGAGAACAACATGTTTTCGCTCAATAGACATATTCCCATATCGAGCAAGTCATTGAACTTAGGTTGAGGCTTCTGAAAGCTCTGAAAAATATTTCATTGTCTATTCGCAGAATTTCATACCCGTCATCAAAAATTTATCAATTTTATTAAAAAAATGAAATAACGTGATTTCTGAAGGTATTTGTACAATCTTATTTGCATTTTCGATTGAACTGATACATTATGATCTTCACTGACTTTTGTAAATTATATGTAATAAATAAACAGTAATAAACTTTATTTTCGCGATTTTAGGTATCGTATGAAATAAAATACAACTACACACTATTCATTGCCAGTGGATCGAGTGAGGCAGCAATAACAAACCAAATTGGAAATTCAACTTCGGTCAAATCAGGACTCGAATCAATTTCAATTTTTTCAACTTTGTACAACGTATCCAGCAACGAAACTACATTTTCATTTTCAAGTTCGTAATAACTTGCTTTTGAAGCATTAGCATATTTCAACGTTTTGTATAACAACATAATCATTCTAAATGAAAAATCGTAAAAGAAGTACTTGATACAGAAGTTAACACGTAACTAATGGGTTATAATTGTGCTACAGTTACTCCAGCGGTCACTTGTGAGCTAACTGTCCATTGATAATTTTGAGTAGGTTGATAAATTCAAGACAAATATATATATAAAATACTCAATGTAAAAATGAGTTCTTGCTATATAAGTTTCACATTATTACGACTCTGCTTACCAGTTCTGAAAGATGGTGGAGCAATACCTTAACTTATCCTCAAATAGCTTACGATAAACAGAATCAAGAGAAACGGATTGGAGAAATTGATTGTGGGATAACAACGGGAAAGTAAACGTTCCACATATTCCATCACACTTGGACTTTTGTCATTTTCAGAATAATTCAACTAAATCTCTACAAAATTGAATCTAAACTCCATAGTAATGTAAGAGTTCAGAGTTCAGAAAATCAAAAAGTTTAAATTAAAAGTGTTTGCTATTATGTTAACGTAATGAAATATCGATGCAGAAAATTGTAAAGCATTCAACTTTAATTGCACGAAATTACGTTACAAATGTTGTTAGCGATCGTTAGAAAAACGAATTTGCAAATTTAAAATAAATATGGGCCTAACAAGCCCAATAGTGATCCTAAATTTTATAGCACGTACCACATATTCCTTCTATATGCCAGTGATTCACTAAGAGTGACCAGGCCTGATGTTGAGTGACAATTGTTATTCGTTGATGTTAATTCGCTTTGACTACTTTTCGTAGGTACTCCGACGATTTCTAAAGCTCTCGGGTAACGATGTCTGTCAAATAAATTATTCATTTCGTCTTCAACCAAGATTTAATTAAAATTTCAATTATTGGGAGAAATATGATATTAGTATTATTATCAGTAAACGCAGACACTCATGGATTTGACATTTTGTTCAAACGTAGATTGCGTTTGCTCAAAATTGCACTGCACTGTAATTAGGTTGACAAAAAATTCGACGTTGCATATATCCCTCAAAACTGGATATGAAGAATTGTGTGTTTTCAATAGTATATATTTCTGTTATTACAGCAACTTGCGACTTTAGAATAATCGAAATAATAAATAATTAACGACAAGAATAAGTTATAGAATTTGGTTCTATTTAAAGTTGGTTATTCATTATTTGAATGTCTGGTGTCATTTAGATTTAAAAAACAAAAAATTATAGCAAATGCTATATTGTTTATCAATCCACTATTTTTAGTTTTACATATATTCAAAAATTAATGTTTAGTTCGAGTAGTATTAGTTCGAATTAACGGTACTCCCGAAGTATATGAACCAAGATGGTGGACACCGGAACGTAGTATGTGTACCAGTTTAGGGTTAGGCCATAATTTCAGGTACATATACCACGGGAATCGGCTAGTCCCCGAACTCGTAATAGAACTAAAATAAGGAAAATCGGAATAAACACACATACTACGTTTAGGTGTCCGCCATCTTGGTTCACATACTTCGGGAGTACCGAATCAACATTATAGCCTAAAATTAAAAAATAGAATTTCTTTCATTGTACCCTTCTCCGTTAACACATGGATCAAGCTTATCCTGATTATTCAGTACTTCTAATTTTAGCTTACAGCGTCATAATATTCGTTACATCTTTGTCTTTGCATTATTATTAATATATATATATATTTCTGTCCGTCACAGGTAATCAAATTTGCCAGGCAATTAACTGCGGTTCATCGTATGCAGCATGCTTTGAAAGTACCTTTGGGTTGACGCCAATTTGTCGCAGCATATGTTTCAGCACGTTTACTTGTTCGAATGATGGTGTGTGCGTTCACAGAAGTCCGACCCTATCTCCAAATTGCAAGTAAGTGGTTTTGGCCCTGTCTGTCGTCATGTCTGCTATCAAGCAAGCGCACTACGAAATAAAGCTGGTGAAATATGATTGATTTTGTTACACCTAGCATTCAAGAGTTAAAGATTATTATTTTTCAAACGTAAACATATTGTGTAGTGGTATATCAGTTCCGATCAAGTCTATTTGTGAATTCCAAACCGTATTGTTTTATTGGCCATTCAAGATGATTCAACTACATGGTTTTAACAAGTAACTTTTCGAACAGTACTAGCGACTAAATCAGTTACAGTTGGACTCATATGAAACACACATGAGATCAGCTATTTCGACGACGTACTTGTAACCTGTGATATATATATCAAGTTTCAAACAAATAATTTATTTGAGAGAGTGGAATCATTTTGTACGCCGTAACATTGTAGTTCAACCACTCACCCGACTAAACTCCTTTTATTGGACGCATTTTTGTACACTAAGTAAGTGGAAGTAAATCTCACTAGGCGAGGACTCTGAAATCAAAATAATAGTAAAGTTTCAGCTCCTAATAACGCTCTGCAGTACACAACAGTAGCTTTTTGTAGACTTTTTCTTCTCACCTGATTCATTACACACTTTCTGATGACCATGGACCACTGTATCTCTTCAATTTGTTGATAAAATTATTTTCTTCTCAAATATTATACATTATTATGAATGTGGTAAATTGTAATTTTACTTGCCTGAGGCTCACATGAAATTGGCTAGAGAAAACATTCTTTTTTTTACTTGATTTCACGTAACCTATTTCAGTTGCATCGGATCTGCCTCTATTTGGTACATCGGGAGATATTGTGAATATAAAGTAGAAGTATGGATGATAGTTGTGTTCATTATCGGCTTCCTCATATTAATTTGTCTCATATTGTTAATCGGTTGGTTATGTTGCCGCAAAAGAGCAAAGAGTCGTCAAAAGTAAGTATTGAAAGTTGAATAAATTAGATTTTTCTGTTTGAATTTTATTCACTGAAGTCATTGGGAACCAATTCCAACTGGTGCATCAATTAACAGATAGTATCGCAGAGAGATTCGGAAAAGATGACTAAGGTTTGCGTTTCAAAGGGCTACATAATGCACAAGATATATAGATATGATTTAAGAAAGCACCAAAAACTTGCGTAACAGAAAACGCTAGTGTATATCTTTGTCTTGTTACCTTCCGAAAGTTTTCCGCTTCTATTACTATCGTCCTAATTCAGATGCAGATTCAGATATTTATTTTCTTCGTGCAAAACCAATATTCGATATGAAATGAATAGGAGACATGTAACAAATTACAAAAACGGATATCGGATTGTTGCAGTTGACGAGGGGTTGCGAAAGACTTGAAGAGTCATCCAGTCAATGAAACCTTGTGTAGCTGAATTGAAGCAGCAAATAATTACCAATTGAAAACTAAACTGATAAATCTGAAAATCATATCGAAAAGATTACTCTAATATTTCCTGTCTATATAGTTCTACTTTTGAAGTAACAAAAAAAAAGCACTCGGCCTATTTTGTCTTTATATGTTCTTTGCAGACAATACATGACAACTGCTGTGCAGCCGAAGAAAACTACACAGAATTCCATGATTACACGAACTACTAACACCGCTAACACAAACAACAAACAGGTACGATGAATTACTCAGAACATAAAAAATGAGATTCAACAAAAAAGGTTTGAAATGTAATTTTTTTCAAATCCGCGAAATGAGTAACGAACGTCGAAGGAGATTAGAGTTCGATTAAGTTTATAATACTGGCAAGTCAAAATACGTTGTGGAAATTACGTCTAAGAATGTCCAATGAATCTTTATTCGGATTTTCAAATAAGACCGACAGGATGTGCAACACTTATCCAGGCCCCATCCGTAGAAATTTATTCAATCATTTTAAATATTTCTACATCACTATTACGCCGTGTACATTCAGGTTAAAAATGATCGATATGTTGAGTATTGTTCGATGATGCGAAAAACCGTTCTTGTAATATGAAATATCAAATATGAATTTAAAAGCCCGTGACCGTTTAAAATGTGATAAAAAGGAGTCTTGTTCAAAACTATGGCTATTTTATATAGCTTTTAACCGTCATGGATTTAACAATATGTATATCATTTTAATAAATATTGAAAAACCTGTTTCAATTCTAGGAATTTCTGCTTTGTGTAATTGCCCCTTCTACTGCTATTTTCCCCGCATGCGTATCAGTCGGTAACTACTGACATAGTCTCCGTGATCCATCCATATATAGTATTAAGCGCTGCTTAAAATAATAAATTGTAACCTTACAATATTAGAATAGTAATCTATCCTTGTTCGCGGTAAGCTTGTATTACCGAAAAATACCTTGCTCATCGACCATGCTTTTTTGTTAGAAACCATCTGGACGTAGTGGGGTTGCACAGCGGCAACAGTCAAACACAGTCAACGAAGAATCCGACATAGGGGTTTTAGGCAGCCCAATGACGTCGGCTGCTTTGGTGACGGTACAAGAGTCTACATCGGCATCGGATATTTCAACACGAACTCCTGAATTTTACCCTGAGCCGCCGGATGTCAAGGAATCCGTACAACCTCCTACAACAACCCTTGTAGGCCTACAAAGTGCGCCTGCTGCAGCTCCAGAATCTGACGACGAAAGTAGTGATTCTAGTGAATCTGAAAGTCCACCCGTACGAACAGTGTCACCTTCTTCATCTGGTAGTGAAAATCAAACTCAACGATATGACAGCCTACGGTTTCCAGACACAAGTCCGAACGATACAGAAGTAAGTAATAGAAGCACGCTATATAGTTTAATATATATATAATATTGTGAATGATGCATGGAATCAAGATGAAGGTTGCCATCGACGATGTCCCAAAATGGTAATGATCAGCATGTGAATGAATTGGCTTTGGTCTATTATTTTCTTTGCTCTGATAATGGTAATTGGTGTTAAATTTTAGTTGATCTTTTAACGAAACCCACTCATACAAAAATACTTTCTCTTTGCTAAATTATAGACACGACCATTTTCAAATACAACTGTGTAACTGTAATTTTAAAGTTATCTTCAGGGTATGATTTCCAAGATATCGGCGGAGTGGGATATGCAGTAAGTGATATCAACTTAGCAAGGCAATATGAATTCTTTGCAATCTTATAGTCACGAAGAGCAGTCTTTTTCTTCACTGGTTATTCCATGGTAGAATTTTCCTCTTTGAGAATATTCTGTAAATACACCTGTCAGAACCCGACAGTGAGCCCTATGAAAATATTTGGCACTGCTTCTAATATTTCAACAAAATAAGGACGACAATTTCTAATACATTTGTCTTGTTTGCAAGGAGTATGCCAAGCTGACATTGGTTTGAGATTGATCTGCTTTTAATAACCGAAGAACATACTATGCAAAAGATAAACTAACATGAACACCAGAAAGAAATTTCACACGCAGAGAGAAGCATGAAGGAGATAAACGGATATGCATGGCGGCAAATAAAACTCAAATGCATTGCATGTCTCCTCTAAGCTTGGATTGAGAACGTTGCTCAATGCCTTTTTTGTCAATAATATTATCTAAACAAAATTATTTGCAAATGAGATACATTTGAATGCCGAAATTAATATTATGATTTTTTACGAACGTCTTTCGCTTTTGGTTATTTTGATTCCTATTTATTATACAAAAATGCAGCAAATTCACTTACAATTTGCAGTAAATAAATAAACTGTCCATCTGTCTTCAGTTGAGTCAATTTGTTATACAACTTTGTATGTATATTGTACACTGCTCTGACTAAAATTTGGAACGAGCGATGATAGCAGTAAAAAATTAAAATCCTTTGCAGTATTGCATGAAGACTGATAAGCATGTTTAAATGTCTCTCAATTTTTCTTCTTATTGAAAATTTAACAATAAGTGGTAATTTTCACAGATCATTTCGGGGTACCGCTCATTGGACTTTGACAGCTTGAATCCATGGGAAAAAGGAACTCAAACAAACACAAGAATTGATATTATTTTGCCGGATTCTATTCTGATGCAGAAAATGTAAAATCCTGTATATAATGTGAACGAGACCTCGATTTTAAACTCAATACTAATTATCTCGCCAATATATAGTTATTATACAATTGGTGTCTTATGCTCCGTTCGAAGGGAATGTCTCAAACGCCGTGTATGGAAATTATACATTCACTAGTTAATCATCCCTCGTAATTTTATTGTTTCATTTTGTGTTATTTTCTTGATTAATTCAATATTTTTAAGTATCATTATTATTATATTTCGTCTTGTCAATATTGTTTTGTGGGAATTTTTCACTGATATAACCTGTAGTAATTGTTTTTCTGGCATTCAGGATCAAAAAGTAAAATAAACCATATTTCCGGCCAAAAATAAATAGCTAGTTGTCAAAATGCTTCTTTGACTACTGATAACGAAATAGACTCGTCCGTTGCCACAACCAACTATAACCCTGATGCAGTCGAAATGGCTAAATATAGCTCGGTAGTGGGACGAGCACCCCTTGATGAGCCCCAGATAAGCGTTATCACTGGATTATATTTCTTTGCAAAATTGATAACGCCCAGTAAAATTTGTTCTACCAGTCCGAGGCCCACCGCGTTCGGGCCCATTCGACCGTTTTTAGAAAAAAAAATAATGGCTGCCAACCACTGGTATTATTCAACCAGAATTTTTTGAGAGAAAATAATAACAGAATTGAGTATTGACCACATGAACATGATGCAATGTTGTGAAAGCCATATATAAAATACAGTGTACTTGCAGTGTTATTTCAAAGATTATATATTCTAAACAACTGATTGACGCATAGGTTTGTATTCATACTGAATTTTTTTTTATTAATGTGCTTCGGCCGTTTTTGCCCCAAATATAAATAACGCTTGCATATTCGATTTCATATGTTATTGGACACGTAGTGGACATAACGATCGTTTCAATATTATGTTGTTGTTCTTGTTCTTTGACACGTTTTTAAAAAGTCGCTTTTCTCTTCGAATACTGGACCAATTGCTTTGAAATTTTCAGTGGTTAAAGATTAATTTTTTCGCTAGAAGGCTATTACTTTTATTTATTTCAAAATTTTGCGTGAATTCTATAAAATTTGATATTTCGTCTAAAATTTTGCTGTATTATTTTTTATCCATGGGAACACGGATTTTAGTCAGTGTCATGACTGGCTGTACGTTTTGATTCTGCAAAATTCTTGCTACTGGAAATTCAGAACTTTTTTGAGGGTACCGGTAGCGTCAAAGGTACCGGTAAGGACTGATTCGCTCTGGTCTGACGTGTCCATATATTTGTGCGTAGCTCTCTTGTTATGAGTTGTGTTCATTTCAAAAATGCTGCCTGCCCAATTGAAGTCGCACTTTCATTTTTGGAAGTCGATACTCAACGATTACGATGGGGTGCGGGCGATCTCAAGTTACATATATGATTTTATATGCATGTATATTCAATGCAATTTCGTTATATAGAGTGAGTCGAATAAACTGATCTCAACTGAACAAATCGTTTTTACATCTTGTAAGAAATCTTTTATGGGAACGGTAGAAATATTGCTCTCGCAGGTATTGGTACTGCGTTCTGCCTATTCAACTTTTATTCAAAAGATCCTGATTCATTCCATCTGTTATTTTAATTCAAGTATCCAACCAAAACTAAATGCAGAATTGATCAAATAGGTTCACAGCAAAAGGATAGTAAAAGTTTTAGATGAAGCAGTTTCTCATCGAACGATTTTATGGAAAAGACAAAACTGATGTTAGATTCAGAAGATTTGAGGCTCTAAACACATGGGATCATACTTTTGATGCTAAATATTTGATGTTTTGATATTAGATTCTCAAGTTAATAACTAGCAGAAGGCGTTCTTCATCAAATCTCAGATAGAACAACATATACTCGAAATTATCATTGATAAACGGCCCACTAAATAAGAGTTAACGCTCGACTTATTCAATCAACTGCGACGCAACTTAAGTGGCCTGGTGAGCACATCTAATCAATTTGTTGTGTCAAGTACCTTTTCAGTATCAGCCTCAAGTTATACCGACGGATTCCCACTGGTGGCACGCCTTTTACTACTGGCGTAACATTGGTCTTCCGATTTGTTGGTCAGGTACCGGTAACTTTACCACGCGCATTTTCATAGCCAAAATCACTCTATGTGACGTAATTATATTTCGAACCCCGTGATAGTTGAATGTAAACCAATAGTGAATACAATTTTATGGGTGACTGCTTTCCATAAAAGCAGAATACAATTGAAAAGCGTATGGTATGGCGATACGCTGGACTAACCATCGATGTCGCTCGTATTGGCGTCGCCTATTTTACTAACGTTCGCTTTGTTATATGCTGTGAAATAGTGCGTATGTCGTGAAGTCGTGTCGTAAGTTGTAAGGAAATTACGCGGAAATATAAGTGAAGAATATACAGTATTTTATGGAGAAGTATGTTATGTGATTCTTTGTGATCGATTCTGACAAGCCATGTCTTCCGTCCGTTATTTACAAAGATATCTCAAGACAGTTTTTCAACTATGCATTTTAGTTCGATTATCAGGTAGTGTGTGTTTTATTGACTTTCTAAAAACTCTGACGTCATTTGACGTAATATAATTGGTTGATAACGGTATAGCAAGATATGCGAAATATCCAATACGTATCGTACTTTCAATATTTTGTAACGTAATACATATATCTGTTATGGATCACCTAAGTGAGAGGAACATATTATAATAATAACTCGAATAGGTTAATACGCCAATAAGAAAAAGAGGAAATAACGATAATATGAATTCGTTGGTCTTTTCAGAATATTTTCATGTCCCCCTGGCGATTTTTCGACCAGTTGCGAGGTTTTTCTTTCTCTTCACTGTTAATAGAAGGGGCAAAACGTTCTGAACTCAATGAGGAACTCATGTATGTGCGCTATAAAATGATACATTGGCTTATTGGTTTGGATAACATGCTAACCTAACCCAAAGATAGCGGTGGGTAATTTTTGCTATTGGTAATCTTGGTTGCCATAATGTCAAAGGTCTAATATAAATTTATGTGAAATTGCTGAAAATCTGAAATGTCTGTTTTGTTTGACAGAATCTCAGACTACTCCATTTAATGAATTTGCTGATGTTTCTGTACCCGACCAAATACCAACTATACGTGAGCGATATTCTTCTTATTTATACATAGATTTTTACAAACAATCAAATATTTTTATTTAATTTATTCTTGCTATTATTGTAACGTAGAAAGTTGTGTTGCTGCTATAAATTGTCTTCTATCTGCGTACTTAACCGATAGTCCTGTTGACTACTTTACGACCTTAGTTATATATTAGACTCCTAGAATCTGGACTCCGATATAAAGCAATATATTAATCAGAAGTTATACCTGTTCAGTATAACAGTTAATAAACAACCTTTTCACATTCTTTCAATTTTTATTGCTCCGTTTAAACAAACATACCGTACTCAACAATCAAAGTGTAGAAAGTACAAGATACGACATAAAGTATAAACGATACCCTGGATGGGATAGTTGCAGGTTGCCTCCTATCTTTTCTCTCTCTGCCTTACATTTTGGATGAAGTTATTCTATTTGAAGGCTTTGAATTTCTCCGTTTTGTGGATAAATCTTCTATATTTATTTATCACTTTTTCGGAAAGAAAGTTATTTTTGACCAATCTGAAACTAGTTAGTTTCGTTTTTGATAGGAGAAATTTTGGTTGAGCAATATTAGTATTATTTCCTGTTTATAGCACGGCGCAGTAATTAAGGTCAAATCTATTATTGTAAATATATAGCAAAATAGATTGGAATAGCATAGATTTCGTGGGAATATCGATGATCTTATTGTTTTAAGAATATGAGATCATTGTTTTATGCAGGTGGAAAAATACCTGTGTTCCTTCAAAGGTCAAGGTCCACAATCAAAAATTAATTCGGTGCATATTAGATAATTTGCAAATAACAATTGAAAATTTGTTATATATTCAACTCAGAAGTTTATTCCAAGCCCTCAAGTATGGATTTGCTGGCATAACCACAATATTTTTAGGAATAGCACATTTCCATCACAAACAATCGTTTCATTTTTTTTTTCAGCAAATACAGCAAATAAGATATATACTACTACAGTCAATCTGGTCAAAGCATCGGACTCGGTGACATTTGTTGATTCGACATTCATAGCTGCGGTAAATATTAATTTGAAATACATTTATAACATTTCAAGCTTTTACGATCATTGCTCTCAAACTCGACATCGCGGCTTCGCTTTAATTTAGCAGCCGGTATATAAAAAACAGCGGGATGTCAATGCAATATGAATGAGACTACGTTTTTTGACAGCTAAAAAATTATTCAGTTACAGAAAATTATCCAGGGCCACTGTCCTTTATTAAATAAATTAAAACATCACCAAAAGTATTTATAAAAGATAGTTTTTCATTTCTGTATCTCACTTAATTATGCATCGATTTACAGGCAAGAGAATTTTATGCAAAGACTTTGCAAGGTTTTATTGATATTGAAAATGTTAGAACTTCAGATAAAGGGAACATGGTAATACAGGTAAGATCTGAATCATGAATTTCCAACTTTTGATCTATGACGAATTTTGAGAATTAGAAAATGATTACAATATAAGTCGTTAAACACCGGGCATAAAATAGGTCTAGAACAGTGGTTATCAAACGGCGGGGCGCGGCCCACAAGGTGGACGTAGACTATTTTTTGAGTGGGCCTGGAGCTAATTTTAAAGATAAACATATTTGTTAGATTTGATCTTGCCCGCCTTATTTTGGATTTCTACATTTCAACAATTTATAACTGCAGAGAGCAGTCGTGCTTGAATCTTTATTATCCTTAACGTGGAGCGTGGTAAGACTTTCAACTTCATGCTGTTAGTTCAACTTTATGCATGTTTATTATAGCTCATTGTTATCTACCGGTAGTTATTTTTGAGGTGGGGCGCGAAACTTGACAAGTTCTAAACAGGAGGCGCGGCTTAAAAAGTTTGAGTACCACTGGTCTAGGATGTGAGACCTAGTTCCATATTCTACAGTCTTTGCTTTGAGTAAAATCATGAAATTTATCACAAAAAACTTTAATGCCAAAATTTCAAGTAAAATTTGTCATTTCAAACATTAAAATATTATAAAATATTACCGGATATATTATTTTCAGGTAACTTACGATGCTAAATACGCATATCCTGTTCTTCTTGGTGCTGTTGGTGCGGACAACAAATTGATTACAAGCGCGATTGGGACATTCGAACCAGTGCGAAAAGGTTTAAATGAGCAGGCAAACATCTTTGCCTATTATCCTGTGCAAAACGACGCAGCTACTTTTTCGTTTGGAGGTTAGAATAAGTGATAATTTTATTGGGCACGAAATGGACCTACAGATTGTTTTTTCTAAATTGTTGTTGTCGCTCTTGTTCTCCAAAGTTAATGACCTAGCGATTCCAAATTTTCAGTAGTTGAAGATGAATGAAATCGTTTTAAATAATTGGAAACATTGTTATATGATATCTTGTTCACATTCAAGTAACGTGTTGTAGAATTGTTTTTTTTGCTGGAGATTTGCTGTTATCGTCTTGTTCATTTGGCCTCCCATGCCCATGTATTCGACACACTGCTATCTTGTTATTACTGCTGTTTTTATACTGATATATAGAACCTAAAGTATGCCCCAGGAACTATTATGACAAGATCTTCATAGTAATTGAAGTATTGTTACTTATTATGCATCCTGCATTTTTTAGGTTCCGCTATTTGTGCCCAGGCTTCTTGCGTAGGGGCTTATGTTTCGTGTACAGAAGATACAGCAGGTATCAATGCAACCTGTGTATCGGACTGTAAAAACAATTATTGTGGTGACAATGGACTATGTTCCCATAGTGATGCGAACAAAGTGCCCACATGCAGGTAAGTAGAGGAATACAAACTGGATATTTTGAAATTTCAGACTGAATAAGATAATTTATATTTGATAAACTTTCGGCTCTTACTTATGCATATTCCTATAGATGATCCAAAGATATTTGACAAAATCTACCATCCGCCACTCCTCTATATACAGCTGCACGCGACGAATAATTCACAACAGTATGCCGAAATTACTCCTCCATATTTTAATTTGAAAATCTTTTCGCATCCGATATGAAAAAATCTCAAATATGGATCCAATATTTTTATCACAAATATGAAATATTTCTAAATTGGAAAAGTTTCGTCAGTTGCTTATTTCACAGTCGGATATTCTAATAGAATATGCCAAGTCAACAGACTTTAGGTCATTAATCTTCCATTTTAAGAATCTATAGTAAATTTCACCTTGCCCTTCACCTGTCACTTTTGGGACCCAGAAATGATGAAGTCGGTTTGCCAGACTCGTTTTATTGAGAATATTTAAAACGGTTGACTAAATTATAAATGAAATAATTAGCAGTTAGCACCAAATAAATTAACAAGGACAGATCCTATAAAACACAAAACTAATACTTACACAAAACAACTCAACCAAGGATAACAACAGAGGGTATACAACCAAGGATAACAACAGATATAAATGCAATACGATCTGTATAATTGCAAATATCATGTTATATCGAACAATTCGAAATACAGCAAAGGACGCTATGGACGAGACTATTAAATTAAATAATAAGAAATGGAATTCTAAACTGCTACAACATGCAATACTACCCTAAACATCTTACTGGGCTTAGAGGGACGCTTATAAACTCAATATGTAAAACGACGACACGTGAAAGAGAAAACAGGGACACGACTTAGTAAGTAATTGTATCTTCCAATTGTTTTTTACGCAGATGTACGACTTATCCTGATCTCTGGATTCTTGGTCAAAGATGTGAAACGAAATTTCCATTATGGCTTGCTGTTCTTCTTGGTGTCATTGGTCTCTTGATTATAATAGTAGTCATTATTATTGTTTGTATCTGTGTGAAAAATAAGAGAAAAGAAAGAAACAGAAAACTGTGAGTTTTACTTTATTTTTATGAAAAAATATTAGTTTCTTTATGAATAGTTGAGAGTATCCTTGTTGTGTATTTAAGGCGCTCCAGAAGTATGTGTACCAATATGGAGGTAGCTAATTTTTTTCGCCTCCTTTACATCAAGTTGTGTAAAGGGATGGGAGCCTATGGGCAGTGGGTATATTCACTTGGCTAACACAGACAGTCCCCAAACTCGTAATAGAACTAAAATAAGGAAAATCAAAATAAAATTATGGTCCAACCCTAACCTGCTACGCATACTATGGGAGTACCTTATTTAATGTATTTGACATACTGGTGCTCGGTGCTCGACTAAAATCCTAATTAAACATGTGAATCATTTTGAATTTCCCCTAATCAAATTTATATCAAGGATATGTCAGTGGCGCTGACTTGGACGGAAAGAAAAGATTAATGACGTATTATTCTGTGCTAAATCAAAGATACATATCTTTGGAAATGGTTATTAAGTGGGATTCATGGTAAAACAGGAAATTGTCACCTGTCCATGTTAGCCAATATTCTGTGATATGTAGGCTTGTTATAGTAATGACCTTCCATATTTTACAGAGATCTTCTGAGTTCTGTTCCTAAAACATACCACAACAACGGATTTGTCAATGATGAAATCAGACATCCAACGACGGTAGTAAGTCATAGTTTTGTTATTCTTGCTCAATTTTGTAAGTACTCACAGTCACACTCATGTCGAGGCAAAATCAAACAGTGATACGACAGCAAGCGGCCAGGTTTACATTGTAAATGTCTGCCTTTGTCAGTTCCAAAAATCGTCGTTCACAATCAACTGTGAGAATTTAAATTTAGATAAAGTTGCAACCAGCATAGATTTGCTTTATAGTAGAAACAATCATAAATTAAATATTTGGAGTCAAACACATTAAAATTTTGATCTCATCCACACAAGTTTGAGGATCCTAACAGCTGAATGCCTTTCAAACATAATTTTGTAAATGTGCAGTCATGTGAAATTAAATATGGGCATTTTGAGCTAATATGGGCTTCTGTATTTAATGACGTATGTCACCAGATCGTCTTCAAAAGTAAGGTTAGTGTTCATACAGAAGAACATATCATTTAGATGAGAAAAAATTTTCCTACATTATTTTTAGGAGCCCAGGGAAGTTGTGACGGTTGTACCGACGCCTGCAATCAGAACATTATCTCTCGCACGAAGCGATTCTTTTGAAACAGTGACGGAGAGTGAGGTGCCACCTTCTGAATATAGACCACGCAGTGACGTTGACAGAAGAAGTTATGCCAGCTCTGTTCCTGCATCCACTCGTAACCATTATCATCACCATGGCGACCGTAATGGTGATCGTCATCACCATCATCATAGACGTCACAGTCGTGATCGAGACAGACGAAGATCGCGTTCGCGCGAACGTGAACGTCACCGAAGACGATCTAGGTCACAAAGTTCTTCTCCAAGTGGAAATCAGGAAAAAGAGAAAAATCTTTCCTTTTACGAAAGTAAGTGTGTATTATATCGTAAGGGGCATTACCTATAATATCATTGAAGGGTTGATGGGAAACTATCATGTTCGCAGATCAATTTGTTAAATGTTGAATTGCACTTTGTTGGCAGTACACATCTTGTGTAACCGCCTGCTGTTAAATTACAGCGGAGACCATTTAAATGGAGATACAAACCATATAACAATCACTACAACTAACTGCTGGGTGCCTTATGAAAAATAATACTTTAAGGGATTTGATCCAGTATGGTTGCCCTGGATATAAACGTGTTACATCGTCGTATATTTGGTGGAAATGGCTTTAATTTTATACAATATTTCCATTTTTAAGTTGATGTCAATGATTTTGATCTTGAAACTGACGCTGCATCGAGCGTTGCAGCATCCAGCACCTCACCGTCATCACCTATAAAATGGCTTCCACCAAAAGAAATGCAGCCCCGCCCAGGATGGGTTCCCAGCCTAGGACCATTGATGTACGATCTCCCATCTGCAAAGGATCGCACCACTCCTGATCCTCCTGAATACGAATCCGTTGATTATCGTCAAAGAACAGAAGGAGGGACAGATGTTTGAAGTATAAAATGCCATGTAAAAATATGCCCACTTCGAGGTAACCATCTAACCCGCTTTTGACAAAGTAAACACAAAATGAGGGACTTGAACACTGAAAAAGGTATCGTGTTATTGGCTCTGCCATGGTATAATCTCTTAAGATACCCGTACCCATATGTTTTAATGTTCCACAGGAAATGCTATTTAAGGGCTTTGTATAAAATAAAATTATTTTGTTAGCCATTACCTTGCTCAGTATAGCAGTAATTTGCTCTACAGTGAATCATATCCGTCCTGGTATCAAATTCCCTTTTTAATCTCTTTATATATATCAATTTTGTATATTATTTTTTTGTTTGATTCTCGTTTCTATTTTTAACATTACAAATACATATTGCACTAATAGAAACCGAAATTATTTTGAGTACATTCGAGGAAAAACAGGTATTTTGGAAATATCGAAAAAAAAAGTTTTTGCTGCAGTTATATTCACAACCATACTGGAGCCGGGCATGAAACTGAACTTTTAAAGAGATAATTCAAAGCCGGTAAGGTCCGAGGTATACTTTTTGATCGAAAAAGGCACATGATCAGACGTCTAAGTTATGTAGTTCGACATTCCGATATCATGCTCCGGTGTTGAATATTTTATCCGGAGTCAAACGTAAGCTAAACCGGAAACAGATTTTCAAACTGCCGGAGATATCCCGGACATCTTTAAATTAAAAATATTCAGAAATGATTAAAATTGTATATTTGAAAAAGAAATGAAAATGAAAAAAATTATCACATTTAATTTAATTAATAATATTTACTGTGGATTATAAATGAAAAATATTCAATAGAAATCGACGCACCAATAACGAGAAAGGCAAGCTTTTTTTACAAATTGCTCTTTACTGTCAAATAGTATGCATGAATAATTTGGTAAGTATAAGAGCCCTTTAGAAGTAGAACTTATTTAAGAAATTTGGGGAAATACTCAGAGAGCTCACTAGTAATAACATCTTAGAAATGTATACAGAATCAAAAACATTTATTCCAGTCTGATATATACTGGAAGACTTTTACAAATTTTTCTGCTGTGGAATCAAGGACGTGCAATGCCAATCATTACTATCATACTTTTGCCTTCAAGGTTCGCCTCTTGATAAGTTTGATTTCGTGTGATTGCAACTTTGTGATTGAGCAAACACAATTATTTGTTAGATATTATTAACATTGAAATCCGTTATGCTTGGAAATTCAGGAAATCACGCATACAAATCACCCAATTGGGAAGGTTGAGAACACAAAAATTAAGTCGAAATACAGGCTTAATTATAATTTTTGCTCAGGTCTCGCAGAAGGACCATCATGGCAGTCAATTCAAAAAATAAGGTTTAGAGCATATTAATGTAATATTTTTCTAACAATCTAACACAGAGAATAATTATTTTACTAGTATAATTACAAAAGAATACATGACTATTAATTATTTTCATTTCATATATTTGGTGAAATGAACAGAAAATACCCGTTGCATTCGGTGCACTTATTAGCTTGCATGTGAATGGATTAATATCAGAAAATGAATTTTTCTTAAAATCCATTACACTTTCCATACGAAACAGATGCATTTATACATGCATGGGAAAGTGCATAAGTAGACTTCCCAAATAGATTTTCAGATAATTCCAAACATTACTATTCGTTAATATTATTGATCACGCATTCGAGGAGATAATATAGTAAAAATATGGAAAATAATGTCATGGTATAATATATCATAGAACTTACTGGCAACATCAGAAATCGAAAATTCTGCCGGATTGCTTTGCTTTTCAATTTGATCCACAAAAAGAAAATGCATTGAATAGTAAGAATTGGGCATGAAATCTAACAGTTGACAAAACTTGCTTCACTCGAAAAATCATATGGAATGTAATGGCATAATTTGCCTCAATTTTGTCCTTTACCAAATAGTCACAATTTGCATAAAGATTTTTATTTAGGAAACTCGGTGCGATTATTCGGTATGAAACCGATTGTCAGAGACAGTTAGTAATCATTAAATACCTATTTATCTTGAAAGCACAAATCGAATTTGGAATAATAATATTAACATATTAGCATAAATTGTTTTTGTCCCAGGTGAATTCTATTCAGTTGATTGAATATTCTTTCTACGATGACAATATTCACAACTCAATTTTGTATGAAACCCATTTGAAAGATGACCGTTGCCATTAGAAATAGGATCGGACACCCTAATACCGTTTTTCTTCCTATGCTGAAGAGAAGAATTCTTTTGTTTGTAACCATTTGCATGCAAATGTCCATTAACAACTTTTGTTGAAGAAGCAATGTTCCCATTACCATTCATTTCTTCTACCTTATCTTTGACGGAGTTGTCTGTCTGTTCGTCTGTCTTATCCGATTTTTTGCGAAGAAGATATCTGATAAACAATTTCACTACCCATATAGCCCCTACTAAGGATCCAATAAGAAAAACTATAACATCGAGTAAATGATATTGAAACCACCACAGTTCATGTGCAGCCGGACGAAGATGATAAGCTCCTTTGTGACGTATAACGTATTCTATCCAGTAGGTGGCGCTTTCAAGAGGTGTCATAACTTTGTCTTTGTGTAATTCCGACAGTTTTATAGCATTCTCTTTATAACTAAAATGAGTGAACTAGATTACTGAAAAATAGTACTAAAATAGACAATATGAAGCAGCTGCTTATTAGTGGCCACTGAACACTTAGAAGAATACTTCGTGGTAAGTTTTCTTTGCCCATGAGAAGTATTGTTATCTTGAATTGGAAAAGCTAACAAAAAACGACACCAGGTTGTAATATTAATAATAGGGAAACAGTAAACGTTTTTTCGTCCGTGAAAGCATTGCGACTTATCTTTGTATCAATATTAGCATTCCTGACTTGGTACTATCTACTTGTTTATTCTTTCTGTGTTAGCTTACAGAGTGTATAGCCTGCAACGAGGGCAGTAAAAATACGAGTTTTAGCAGCCTTACTGAACATTTTTATAAAAAATTCGTCAGAAAACAAAACATGTAAAAAATATTCATGAAGATGTGTAATAAAATTCATAACCATATAAATATTTATGTAAATTACCTTTTGTTGTTTATCAATTCTACAATTGTTGATTGTAATTCAGTTCTATTTAGGTTTGTGATGTCCAACGTTTTGCCTGCTCCTTTTCCTGTAAGATCAAAATAGAAAAATGCAATTGAAAAACTTAATGTGATACAGCACATAACTCTTGGATTTCAAATTACTACTCTTATTATTGTAGGTATTACAAATAAGACCAATACACCAGTATCCTAGTTGTTGTTTAGTTTTATTATTTTATCCGAAGGAAGCAAAATGAAGGGAGAAGATAAAAGATATCGATGGACAAATATATAGTCATAGGCTGCGGTACCGTTACAGTGAGGCCAGAAAGCTGATAACACCGGGTTCGGAGAAAAGATTGGTGGGGAGGTACGATGAAGGTGATTGAGCATGATAGAATACCAAGTGTTCCCGTTTAAATAAAATAAAACAGCAAATTTTCGGGGAAAATTTCGAGTAACACAAAAGTAATAGCCCTCTAGCGACTTCTTTTAATTTAAAGTTGTGAAAATTTGTAATTGATTATTACACTAGGGTCAAAGAAAACTGCTTTTTCATTCACAACAACAACAACACCAGAGATAACAACAACAACAACAAAACGATCCATAAATCCAATCCGTGTTCAATACAGCACATTTAAAGTTGGTCAAAGCACATCAAAAGTTCGAAACAATGTGATAGAACAGATTCAAATTGACACCCACAATTTAGGGTCAACACATATAATATGAAGCTAACACACCAAAATGAAAAGTCAAAAGATTAGAAAGCAATCATAACCTTTTATCCTGACCATATTGTCAAACTGGTCGACCAGCAAAGGAAGACCTAACATAGGTACACCATGATATATTGCTTCGTAAATTCCGTTTGTTCCACCGTGAGTGACAAAGAGCTTGCATTTTGGATGACCTGAATAATCAATAAATTAAATAAAACATCATTCAAACAAGGATTACTCACACTAGTTATCAGAGTAATAAACAGTACATAGGTACATATACTAAATCATTAGATGCCACGTTTCTTGAGAAATCGATATCAGGAATCATTTCGTTTCATAGAAATAATTTATGCGTTGTAACTTTTTGGATTTTAGTAGGTAACACTTTCTCCCTCCCGACTTTTAACGAAATTTATTCATACCTTTCATTTGCTACAATTTACAACATGATACAATACAGATAAAAATCGTACTATATCCAAATTTTTATGTTCTATTGTAATTAAATCAGACAATCCCTTGGTAGTACCAATGCGATAAAGCGATAGTAAAACTCGTTTTGATTTTCATAGTGACGTTTTATTCTTTAGTTACCCAGCAACGCTCGTAAAAATTCGGTTTTAAAACATTGGTTAGATTTCTCTGTCGTACCGATAAATCTTACCTAAAAGATCATTTTGTGGCAACCATGACATGATTTTTGTGTTTGGTCCTAGTGTGTCTGGTGTCTCGCCAAGGTATCTCCATACGACCTTTTGTTTGAGATTTGCGAACGCAGCAGCTATCGTATTTGCTTTTGATCTGTTAGTAAAGATATAACAAATTTAATTTAGGTTGTAAAAGTTTTTGAATTACCAAAACCCAATGCACGTCGGTTATACGATCAACCAATATTATTGACTAATTTTTGGCAACGGTGAAAAACTCAATTCAGTTATGCTTTAGTTTAGAAATCTGAATTCCGCCTGAATTATGAATATGAGTGACTTACGCACGAAAAAACCTACATCTGCCTGGTCGTCTGGGGACTTTCAAATTAGATCAATATGAAATAGGAATACTGAGAATACCCGTTCTCGAGAAAATTGAATATATATATATATATATTATTTTTTGCTCAGAAATTCTACAAAATCAATAGTATTGTTTGTTCCAGATCCAATAAAAACATTATTTACATAATAGAAATGCCGGTTGTATCTGTTGGAAATATGTTCCCAAATACCGGATACTAAGCCAAAAGTAGGTTCGGCAAGAAAAAGGAGTATGGCTGGAAAATAGCGTATCAACATTAGCACTTACTTATGCATATTTCGAACCATCGATCCCATAGAGAAAACAATAAATCCGTCGTAATTATCGTCGTTGACGAAATTTTCAAGCTCCTAAAATTAGATTTGAATATATTTTAAATTAAAAAGTGCTGTGTATGAAAGTCTATACCATATCATAAGGATTATTTAATGCGTAAATTTCTTTACTATTTCCAGTACCCCATTAAAGTGTTTGGCTTTCTAATCTTTCTCGATTTAAATTCCGGGTTCGCGTAAAATGCTGAAACTTACCACTTCTTAGCTGGTTTCATTGCTTTTTACGAAAGTCATGAAATTGCAATAATATTTGCCAAAAGGGCGGGATAAAGGATTCAGGTGGCCAACAAGAAAGTATCACGACGGTTAAACTCAAAGTACAAATTTGGCTCATTGCCTGCCGGTAAAAATGTTAGAATTCAATATCATATGTAATCGGCACATCTCAATACAATTAATCTCAATACCATAAATTTTTCCAAGCCAACATATTCAGAAACCATTAGTATATTTTATGTTGTCAGAGTAAGTAGGCGACAGTCAACCGCTTATATTTGACGACGACCACAGTCTACCATCTAAATGATATTACGGTACTTGTATTTGAACATTAGGATTACGTCATCTAACCTCAGACAGTGGCTTCGCTGGTTTGCAATGAAATCCACCGATGAATTTAACATTTGGCATCAGCGGCCGAGGATATTCGAAAGCAAAATCTGTCCTGATCAACCATAAACTTGCTTGTGACATTAATTGTCTGTATCCCGCATTCGGACCTAAAGAACAAATCCTTTGATTTAATGATGGCGAAGATAAATTGCAATGCAAACTTCATTGAGAAATATTTGTCCAATATCGCAATCTACAACCACAATGATTAAACAGCTGAAGGTCAAATCTGAAGACCAAATGATGCGATGTTCTGGGCTTTTCGAAACCGTATAAAACCCATAGTAGGAAAAAACGATGTACAAGAAGCCACTGATACATAGGGAGCTACTATTTTTGTAGGAAGGGGGAAACGTTTCAAGTAGAATAATATACAAACAAAAAAAACAGGTTTAACAAAATATACTGAGTTGGGAGTTGTATAGGATCTTTTTGAAGGGTGAGCAAAGGCTTGCTAATACATGCTTATCTACTACAATGTAAATCATACTTCTACAACAGTGGTTTCAAACCATTTTCAGGGCTCGTAACCCCCTTCCGGAGGATTTTAGCACTCATGCCACCCATATTTATCATTCCAGTGGCATTTAAGTTATTATTTCGATTTTCTCTTCCTACAGATGACAGATGGCGACGGTTTTGCACTCGGACGTAAAAAAAAAGTGTATTACAAACAAGTTTCTTTCGACGAGGCGCTCTATCTGTCGCACGTTACGATATTTATGCGTCTCAAATATGGCATTTACTTACAAATTTTCGTTTTTCTTCTAGGAATCTAGAGCGCTGAACCCGACGTCCCGCGTTTCAAACTAATATTGCAGCATTTGTTTGGTTAACTAGTTTACGTCATGGACATGTTTACATTTTGTAAAGATTAAATCGGTTTAAAGAATTAAGAAGTAGCAGATAGTCAAAAAATTTGTCAGAATTTAGAACATCAATGCGAAATTACGCAAACATACAAGAATAGCTCAATTTCATTTATATCTATGGAAGGTGATTTTGTCAAATTATACAATTTAACAGACGTGGATGGAATACGCTAAACACTCATCCAAGACGAGGGCCGTGTATATATATATAGCCACATTAAATTTGAAACCATTCAAGTGTCCTATTCTATTCTACCATAAGTGTCCTGTATGATTCCTAGGCACAGGTAGTTCAGTAGCGTTGTTAAAAACATTTTCAAAATACGGTTGAGGGCTAAAGGTGATAGAGGGCGTTGTTATGCCGTCGTTAATCATTAACTCCTAATCTCGTGCACGAGAGGTTAACAATCCAACGGATAATTTTGCGGATTATATTTTACAATATATTATTTGGTAACCTACTATATGCTATTAGCCTTCTGCCCATTTTTGGTCCATTTTCCTTGATTCTATTTATTTTAAATTAGGTTGGGACACTTCACTACGTTTCTCTGTTTATCATAGGTTGGGGCAATAAACCATCCTATCCTAAGATAGGGTCTGAACAATAACAAGAATGTACCCCACTCCATACGTTTAAAAAACAAATGTTATGAGATGGGGGTAATTATTATTACCAAACTCCTGGCATCCCCTATTTCGCACAAACACTGGTCCATCAGATGTAAAATCCTTCAAATCTATTTGAAAAATCATTACGCAATCTTTTATGAATCTGTTTTACAATCGTTATGAAAAGGGCTCTAGTAGGACTTGTAATGAGGGTACACCATACGGTTTTCGAAATATCACACAGTTAACTACAAATATTGATTAGTATTGTCAAACTGACATTTCAATGTCAAAACAAAAAAATAATAAAAAATCTAGCAAATTTACTCTAGTTTTAAAAAAATCAATATTAGCTGGAACGCATTCGTCCGTTAAAACAACATTAACTACAAAAACATTTTGTTTTTAAATATTTTTATTTAATTTTTTGATTTTGTCACAGAATATCAATCTTCTCCGTAAATGCGTGTCACTCATAAACTATAACTTCCAACGCTCACAAAAATAAAATACAATGCATCTGTTTTCAGATGGAGGTAACTAATTTTGTTCGCCTACTTTACATCAAGTTGTGTAAAGGGACTGAAGCCTATGGGCAAGGGGTATATTCAGTTGGCTAACACACACAGTCCCCGAAATGGTAATAAAACTAAAATAAGAAAAATTGGAATACAAATATGGCCTAACCCTAACCTGGTACACACACCACGGAAGTACCCACTTTTCAGCTAATCAAAAAACTAAAGGGTAGAGTATACAAATGATCATAACAAAAACATGAGTCATTTGATTCTTTTACATCAGCGAATATCAATTTTTCGTGAAGATACCGCGATTAACGTTTGGAAAAAATAAATCAATAAGTATGGCATTGAATTTATAAGGTTGGATATGAAAATCAATCAAGGTGAAAGAATATGGAAGCAAGGGGATAGTTATTTTATAATTATAGAAATAAAATGCATTCGAAAATCAAAATGAACTATATAATGAACAACTGGAAAGTTTAACACAAAATCAAGTGCAAATTTTGTTCAATTTTACGATATATATCACAGTCTGAAAATCATTAAATTCATATTTCAATGTTATTAACACACGAATGCCATTCATAAATTTTATACGTCATTCCACACGGAATTTATTTTTTTTATAATACTACAGTTAAAACTAATCACGATGGCAAAAATATTATTGGCAATGACATAAGGTTTTATTTTTCAACTCTGTGTATTAAATATGTCAGTTTCAATGTAGGGATTAAATTACTGTCGGGTTAGGGTGCCATCAACCTGGCCAGGGTGCTTCTACTGCTATGATGGTAAGCAGTATAGTCAGTTTCTATCACATCAAACTTAAAGAAACCGTCTGCTGGGGACAAGAGTTGTCAAACTTTTGTTGTTATGCAGCCCGTGAAAAGGCTGACTATTATTTAAGTAGCACCACAATAAATATATAAAAATGGGAACAAAAAAAACAAATTTGCATGTATAAAAAGAAAATTAAACGGAATTCAAACACTAAACCTTTCTCAATAGGGTTATTACAAGCTTGAAATAAATCTATATTCCATAGATAAATTATATGAACGCTGTAAATTCGACAAACATATTAATGAAGTAATGTCAAAATGTAAAAAAGGCGGTAAACGAAATATGGCAATATCTATTGCAACTTAAACATACAGTTGAATTACCGTCTTGTCACAATTTGACGCTACCGTTGTCAAATTTTATCAATGCCGTTATTGCTTCATTGACAGTTTGACACAAAATTATCCAAGGCCGTGGTTTAATTTAATAAGTCAACGAATTGATCGAGGAGCCCTCTAGGTTTCTGTCACGGAGGCCTGGGGCTCCATATGGAGGTTAAATTGATAATAAAAAATTGTGTATTGGATTTACTTTGTGCATCAACTTGCATAAGCGGTTTATCACAACATCTTTTGAAGCTTCCAGTTGTAAGACAACAATTCATTAGGGTGATTTTCGAAAAAATTTACCCTATGGTAAAATTGAAAAGTGAATTTTACAACTATAAAAATTAGACCGACGGTTAACTATATTTAACGGTTGACGAAATAGCCAAGCTTTACAGACTGGCACGAGACCTGCCCGCATGTTTACATAGCAAGACATGTCAGCGTGTTTGTCGCCAGTTGGGAGTAAAATTCACCACCCAAAGGCGCCAAAGTACGACCGATATCGCCATGGCGCCCAATCTAGAACACTCCGAAGAAACTTGCGGAACAGCAGGGTTCTGCAGAACACAGTTTGAGAAACACTGTGCTAGGTCCAACGGATTGGGCGGATGAGCCTGCAGGCTGTGTTGTTGTCTCCATGCTCGGAGAAATTCCTTCATAAAGCAGCCCTGCGATTTCATCAAAGCTTGGTAATCACATTACAATAAAGAAGTGATAAGGAGTTCTCAGTAGATACCACTCTTTGCTTTCTTTATTTGTAGTTCAGTTCTTTAAAAACAATTTACTGTTTAGGGTGTAGTTGCTGGTTCCCATATTAATGCACCCCTTAAATGGCGAGGAGGTGCAAAGAATCTCACGTTTTGAATGAAAAATTTTCATATTGTCCTGAGTTAAATATCTGATTTGCAAATATCCGCGGTCTGAAAAGGAATTTGTTTTCGTGGAGTCATTTTGACTGATGAACAGCCTGATGTTCATTGCTCTTTGTGAGACAAGTCTCAACTGCATTATCTCGACCTCATCATTTGCGGTCGATGTATATTTGTCAATAAATCAAAGGGATTCATCTAACCAGATGCATTTACGTTTGCAGTGAACGAAACTGTGTACGTCACTGTGCCTATTTTACAGTTATTATAATGTTTTCCTGAATTTTTGGAACTTGTACCCCAAAAAAACTTTTTATTCGTCAAAATGGGTTGGATGCGAGCTCCACCCCTTCACTGTCAGTATATCTATCAGGCAACCAATTATGCCTAAAGTTTATTTTTCTAATCGTATTGGCATGAACTGCTTTATGTTTCACTTCAATCGGTGTAGCACATAGAATCACATTCTCGCATTCAAACTGATTTAGTCGCCAAAAAAAGCAAGAACACGTTTTATGCCTTTTATGAGGTGCCTTCACAGTATCGTTTCGAAAAACTCTCTAAACACATATATATATATACAGGAAGTTGTAGAAAAGGGTTTTCTGTAAGTTTTGAAAAATCCGAAAGAATTCCGGTCCGTCGTGGTCTGCCATGGTGTGGGCAAAATTAACCAGTACGAGATTTCCGAATCCGTACCAAAACAACATTCATAATTAATATTTTCATCTTTATAATATAGCGTCATTGATACGCGAAAACCCCTGCTCAGTTTTCCAGTCAGTTTAAAAACAGTGAATCATGATATCAGTCTCACGACAGTTTAATATGATTAGACTGAATTAGCCAAGCGAGGAAATTAAACTGATGCATTCAACAGACTAAGACAAATCTCATTTTCCAATGTTTTTGCAGTATATATAAAATACCGATAGTTTTGCAATATGAAAATCCCGTTTTCTAATACCCGACCACAGTATTAGACAATATCAATGTATTTTTAGAATCATTACGTGTATTTTAAGTTTTCGCAGTAACCTCACTGATGAATTGTAATTGAATGAATCATATTTCATGTGATTTGAAGTCAGATAAATCCGAGTAATTTTACATTGTTCAATTAAAAAACAAAGAAGCAGAGACTTTTTGTTGTTTCTCTCGAAACAGCGATAAAGAATAGTGTACATTTTGTAAGTTACACTTACCAAGATATTTTTGAACAAGAGGGTCCATGGCAATTTTGCCGTATAATTCAACTCCTATGGTTTGATATAAATAAGACAATAAATTCATGGTTCTCTGTAGAAAATTCATTCTGTCTGTAAATTCCGTGTTGATCATTGGCACATATGATATTGGAATTGGAGTCTGAACAAGATCACAAATTAGAATGAAGAAGCTCAGTGTTTACGCAAGAGAGTTTGTTACACATATCTAGATTTTATTGCACGACGACCTTGAAACAAAATTGGTTAGCAGTTTGAGATGGATGTAAACGTGAGAAAATGGGACGCAAGAGAGTTTGTTACACATATCTATAGATTTTTATTGCATGACGACCTTGAAACAAAATTGGTTAGCAGTTTGAGATGGATGTAAACGTGAGAAAATAGGACTACTGTTATCTAAACAAAACGAAAAACTCCAATTCGTCTGTAAGGCGCACGCGGCGCAGCTGCCAATCCTATGCTCATAGGCTACTATACAAATTTTCTAAAATTTACGAATACAAATGCACAAACATTTTTCCTTGAGTCAGATATATAGATTCAGTCCGTACTTGATTTAAGGTTAATCTTGTATTTGTTTCTTTACTCGCAGAGAATTTACCAATACGTACTGAAATTATTCTCGGCGTCACCCACTTAGTCTTGCAGGCACCATTGTTTAACCTAGTTGGTGCAAGGAAAGTTAGACTATGTTGAAAACAAAATGATTTCGGTCCTAAATTCAGTGTGTATCCCTTATAAATACAAGTTCAAAATTTGTAATGTTGGCTTTCGACATACTTGTGAATATTGAAATTGCGCTTCGGCGGGAAGTATTCTAACTGCATAGACGAGAGGTACTCCAAGTTTGGCTGCAATAATCTCTCCACAGGCTACAGTGGCATCAGCAAGAACTACGTCATATTTGGCTTCAGCGAGTTTATTCAGAATCTTCTGATTCGTCATTAATGCGTTGCATTGGCTTTGTCGCATATCTAACTGCTCTAACCAAAAGTGAGCCAGTCCTGTAAAGAAGGTATATCAATAAATGGATATTGAATATATTAACATTTCGTTAGCATCACTTTACGAAAAAAAAACATTGGTTGGAAGACTACTTTTTGGATTAGTACAATGTTAGTTTACTGTTTACAATTCACTTTGGTTTTTGAATGATTTTTAAATAATCATAAATTCAAAATTTGAAAAAAATTAGTAGTGTATCATTGTATACATAATAATAAACAATAGTGAAGACTCGTTGATCAAATTTGATACTAATAAATAATTGCCAAAAACCTCGCATATTTATAACAAGATAACTATTCTGGTACCAATTGAAATGAAAAGAATTAGGAAGTCGGAATGAGGTGGGTAAACTGAGTTCAAGTAATGATTTTTTTTTTCGTTTCTCATGCAGTCCATACCTCCAAAAATACACATCTATTTATAACATGATGGCGGCCTAATTAATGTCTTTTTTGACAAAACAATGTCAAATTACCGTCTTCTTAGGCAAGCTTGTTCAAACCAAAAAAGGGCAGTAACGAAATGCGCTTGTAGCTTTTCAGTATTGACTTTTACAATATAGCTATGTCACGGGCTGCATTTTTCTGGCATATTTACCTACCTCGAATTGTTTGCATAAAAGATGATTTTTCATTCCCAAGTTTCAATAAATGCAGAATGTGATCCATGGACTGAAGATGATCTCCAGGATGAAACCGGGACACCTACATATAAAACCGAGCCTTTTAACCACATGTACTAAAATGTGTAGTGGGGTGCACCAGATAAAAAAGACAAATTTGTGCATAGTTCATAGACAATTGACAAAGTATTATGTATAAAGCATAACGTACATGTGTAAACAAATAACCGTCTTGCTTAATTTTCTTTGCGTCGTCGCTGTATGCTTTTCGTAATATACGCTAGTCATTTCAAAACCATCCTAAGTGGTAACTTATTTAGTGGCATAAACAAACATTTTTATCGTTAGGTTTTACGGGGAATGTTGACACGGGAGATGAGATGTATACTTATGGGTAATTTGGTCACCATGGGCATCGTATTGGATCGTATTTACTTATTCTACGGCATATAGCACGAAATAAATCCAAACTATTAAGATTGTGTGAAAATAGGCTCCTCGATAATGTTTCATATTCATTTTAGTGTGAGAAATACCGATCGGAAATTTAGCTCGTATTGCTTCTCTACCGGTAACTTCAATGTCATTTATGAGACCGATGACTCGTTTCGTCCGACCAGCGGTTACGCGACGTTACCACCCTGCGACGTCGCGGGGGCCAGCAATCTTACAAAACAAATTGATGAACGCTGTCAAATATTTGAAAAGTTAAAATTAATAGAGCTGCACTAAATACATAAATGAATAAAAACGAAACAAGAGAAACTACCCACAGTGATGACTAATAGCGGTTAAACATTAACAAATTTGTAAACTTTTGTGTGTTTTGATATATATATATATATCGTCCATTGTATTCAATAAAAGTATGAATGAAATGAAATATGAGCTAATTAATGGGGAACGATGTAAATATATATATATAAAATGTTTTGTCACTGTTTAATCATAAATATATCGCTACAACGAAAACAAATATGTAAAACAAGTAGAAATGAATATTAAAATTATCATAATATATATTTTGCTCACTGAGTCATAGCATCAAAAATAGAGCATATAATTCCGAAACTCCAAGTGGGGACGAATAACTTTAAAGGTCAAGCAGCCCTGCCAGAAGCATCAGATGAAGAACGAGATGTCAAAATTCAAACCGTATTTCTTGTCGATGCTCGGATGCTCGAGACTACTTCAATTACCGTTTGGGAATTAGTCAATAATTTATGAACCATCAGCTTATGCTCAGCGCCTCATACATTCTATTGCGTACCTGTTGCTTTGTAAACACATGTTTGACAGTCAAACCATTACATTTTCAACATTTTCTTTGCTACATACATATTTTCTACATACTGAAAATCTAATCCTTTTTCTGAATATTAATATTTTCTTGTAAACGTAAATATACAAATATCTTCAAATAACCGTGTTTTTTAACTCTATTTTCAAATTCTATTTGCTAGTTTAGTGAAATAATAGTTATTATCTTGATTAAAATCGCACAGTACGATTTTGCAATTTTAAGGTCTGAATTTGGATCGAATATTTGTCTCTAGTTCAAGGCGTCGACTGGAATAAAAACGGAATCTCAAGCTACGTCTACTTAGTATTTTGTGTATTATACTTGTAGAATGAGATCTACCAATATCAAAATTTTGACTTGTAATTCTAATTTGTTCGATACCCACATTTTCATAAATAAATGAAAATTTCATGTTATTGTCAATTTTTATACACCGGTTTTATTAAAATTGTGAGGTAACACATATCGGTGACGACATTTGTTCATCAGTATTTCCCAGATTGAACTTCTGAACAATACGGTTCATTGCAAATTAAAATTAAAAACGCAATTACCGGTCTCGTGAACTAGTCGGGATATTTTCATCTACTCAAATTTGTTCTGCAGTCACGAGTTTGTCGTATGATATACGCATCAGTTTATCGCCTCATGGAGAATATTTGTTGAAAATTGACGATTTTATATTGCTAATAGGAAAGTCGAAAGTTACAGCCCTAAGAATACTGCATTATGTTTATTTGAATGCAAAATCTAACACAACTATCAATAATAAATTTCGCACGAACATCGACAGCCACTGTAAATGAAAAATACATTGTATACGTACGTTGAAGTTCACAAAGTTGAAATCATCCGTTTCTTCCATGAAGTCCTGGTATGCAGACGAACGAAGCACGGTCACTTCCATCCCTTTTTTGACCAGATTTTCTGCCAGAATTTTCAAGTTTATCCAATGTGAAAATTCTGCTGGCCAAATTAAAACTTTTGATGGAGTATCCGGTCCGGCATAAGTGCAATTTGCTTGTGGTATTTGAAGTATTGTAAAAATGATAACGATAAATGATAATGGAACTAATATCCTGTGCTTTTGTGGCTTCCTGCTTGGCACGAAGCTTCTGAAATGGTGTTTTGGGATAAACGTCGCAGTTTTCATTCTGTTAGCTATTTTACTTCAATGAAATAGATCTTATTTTAAATCGACATACATGCCTGTTGATAGAAATATTTGAGGAAATATTTGAAATTAGATCATTACATACCGATTCATCCCAGATGCACTCTTGGAAAACAACTAAATATTTTTTCTATTTCTTTGTTTGCCTCCATCTGAACTTTTAAGAATTGCAGCTCATAAAGCAAATCCCTTATTCAGCCATATCAATTCAATATTCAAACAAAATACAACACGGTCATGATGTACGAACATGGGTATACTAGAATATCACGACTCATGTCTTTTCAAGCCGATCCCCCAGTGCTGACTCAGTGTCACAGTATTGTTGCTGCTATGCATGAGAACATTTACTAAAAATTACCCGACCGTACGAGTATTGAAACTAGAAATTCCGCGATCTCGATGATAGGTATTAGGTAAACAGCTCCGTAAACCAAATTCTCGATATCCAAAGAGTGAGCAAACTGTGTTTCTGATAAACCAAATATGCTTCCTGTCAGAATAGCAGTTTGTATTTACGAATATCCTGTTTCGCAAATGTTGTATTGTATAAATTAGCGACAACTGAGTTTGCAAACCTAAAATCAGCTGGGAGCAACCATCATAAATATCGCTGCCGGGTTTGCGTTACAAATTAGCCGATTTAACAACTTGCCAATATTAGCCATAAAGGAAAAATTGCACCTTAAATAACAGGAAAGCGCTGCCATAATAAAGTGTGTAAACTGCAGCTTGTCTATATAATTGTTAAATTGTTTAATTGTTAATGATTGGAAAACAAATGAGTGATCTACCACCCGGTATTTTGAAGCTTTTCAGGTCATCCACAGAATTTCAAGACGATGTGCGCATAAATAATTTACAATACTGCACGAGTCACAGGAAAAAGATTAATTAAGATCTTGTGCATACTTTTGTCTAGAAAGCAATCTTCAGAAGGAGTAGGCGTAAGATATGCAAATACAACAGATACTGGCCACACCGGAATATTTTGCTATATCTTGACTTACTTTAACTACACTTCTGTTTTATTGGGCTCCAAACCACCAAGGATTTAACTCCGACGGGCCTTAATTTCTTAACATAATAAACGGCAAAACAAACCTGAACTAATAGTAAACTAAAATTATTATCAAATCTGGCCTATAGAACCATAAATTGCCCAATTTTCCATTCATATTCAAATATCTGAATATCATTCAAAAGCTTTTTTATTTCAACCAGATAAATGATCATAAGTAACTGCCGTCATTCTCTACGTCGAGATTAATGGGGATTTATTCTTACTACAGCAATGAATCCAATCTGCCCTTTTTTTGCTTATCTTAGTAAGTACTTCCTTGGGCAAAAAACAGAATGCGCAAATCATACGACAGGCGTGTGTGTAACTCGGCTACTTGCAATTGACGGAAGGGCGTGCGACTCTACGTGGTGGGAAATGAATAGTTTCCAACACGGAGCGCACAGTCGCACATCCTGTCCGCTGTGGTATAATAAGTCATGACGTACGAGAAAAGATAATATGAGACAATGACCACCTCGCTTCGACTGTGAAGTTAATGAACTCTGCAAGAGTTGATAAATAAAGCACAATCGTTTTGAAGTCGATAAAACCTGTAAGGAAGATGTCGCTATAAGCCAAGGCAATCATTTTTGGACACGTTTAGTGGACATAACGATCGTTTCAATATTATGTTGTTCTTGTTCTTTGACACAGAATAAGACACCTAGTGGAAGTATTAAAAAACCGCATTTCTCTTCGAATACTGCACCAATTGCTTTGAAATTTTCAGTGGTTGAAGATAAAAAATTTTCCCAGAAGGCTATTACTTTTATTCATTTTAAATATTTCTGTTAGCTCTGTGAGATTTGCTTTTGTTTGCTATGACGTCATTAAAAGTTAAACCGTACTGTACTGCGAACAGACGTGTCCATATATTTGGGCGTAGCTCTCTTGTGTTGTTATTGTTATTATTTGTCTCCATCATTTTTAAAAATCGCTTTTCACTTCGAATACTGGACCAATTGTTTTGAAATTTTCAGTGAGTAAAGATTGATTTTTTTGCCATTACTTTTATTTATTTCTAAATTTTGCATGAAATCTGATATTTCGTCTAAAATTTCGCTGTATTATTTTATCCATGGGAACACTGGCTGTCCGGTTTGATTCTGTAAATTATTTCTACGCGAAACTCGGAATTTTTTGTGGGTACCGGTGGCGTCAAAGGTAAATACTGCTTCGCTCTGGTTAACGTGTCCATATATTTTAGCACAGCTCTGTTGTTATTTATGTATTTATTTCTCATGTTTCAATAATTCAGTTCAATTCAATTCCATAATTCAATTTCATTTTGAAAGTCTGATCCTTGATACTTGCTTTTTTACTTCACTTAAAAATATCACATCCTTTCTCTTACATCGATAAATTCAACCGATTTGTGATTTTAAATATTGTCGTTAGATGAGATAATTTTGGCGAGCCAAAATATATATTGAAAACTTGCAGCGATCGAATGCCTTTCTTGAATTGGTAAAGTGAACAGCTCATCCCGCAGTCGAAACACCCGTTTCAAACTTTTCCTCTCGATAACTAGGGTACTTCGCCGTGATACAACATGTCTGTGCAAATTTCTGAAAATATTCTATGTTTCTTGGAATGAGACCGAACAAATTTTACAACTTTTATGATATCACTGAGAACAATGTCCAAATCACTTTTCTGATCTTTTTCATAGCTTAGGTTTTATACGACAAGAGTCTCTCGAAAATGAAATGTTGGTTGTTTCATCGAGTTGAATACCATAAGCCTGACTTTTTCTGAGATTGATGATAAGTTGTTCCTACAAATCCTCTGAAATATCAACACATCCACGTTCAGCTGCACTGCCTCATAAAGAAATTTTTCTCACTCTGCTGACAACTTTTCTCCCTCCGTGTAAAAGGTCATCGGGGATATCTAAACACGGAAAAATTACAGATTCCAACTCTATGTATGGACTATGTTTTTTTCTTCACAATATGAATTATTTTCAAAGAAGTGAGCACCGAAACCCTGCCACATCCCTTTACCTCACTCTGCAGGCGTGAAACTTGATTCTGTTCACCACGCAGCGTTGCTTCAAGAAAGTATTTGATTTATTTTAATGAAGCCAGACATACGTTGTGCAATGAGAATTTATACACTTATTGCTTGTGCACAAGTTTACACGCATAGGTTGGATATTTTGTCGTTTATTAGTGTACACAGTAATATATAGAGGACTTGCACGGGTCACGTGACTTTGTTTACAGGACGGCAAAAAAACAAAAACGTCCAGCTGGCTCCTGTCAGTTGCAAGTCGCATTATACGTTTCCGTTTTGATTGGCTGTTGAAAATGGTTATTTCGTATTGCTCCGTTGGCTGTACGTATAATATAGACAACGAAATGGATCTTCAGTTATATTCCCATGTTTTCAAAATATCCGTAACGTCGCGCAATGTGGATATCATCTATTGACAGGACTGCTAGGTGTCAAGTCCAGAAGTCATCTCGCTTTTGTTTCACTGTTTGCGGACAGCACTTCGTTGATGGTGAGTGATAATGTGTCGTTATCAATTTCTTTAAATATTCATAAGCTTTCTCATTTCAATGGAAAGCAGATGACAAACTACTGTTATTGGTAAGCCTAGACGTAGGCCTACTTTCTGTCTACTTTCAGACTTGACTTGTGTATTGAATCAATCATCAATTGCCATAAGGTATTGTTTCCCTAGTTAGCAGGTAATCCATTAGTAAGTGTGAAAGGTTATACACAAACATGGTACACAAACATGGCACTGTCAAATGGTGTCCAGTGTGTAATTTCTTTTCAGAAAAAAAGGAAAGATAACCCATTATCAACTGATTATGTCCCATCAAAAAGAATAGTTAGAAAAAGTGGATTTTGAAGAAGGGCAAAAGGCAGGACCATTTGAACAAATTCTGGTAACTTGTATGCGTTGCAGTAACACTTTGCAGTTGTTAGCACAAACATTTAATGTGCCTTTTGACCAGACCAGTGGTTCTCAACCGTTTTTTCTTCGTGGCCCATTTTTGTTACACATAAATTCTTGAGGCCCATTAACTTTTTGTTGCAAGAGGAAAACTACAAGAAAAAGTAAGATATTTCTGCGAATATGAACAGTTTAACGTTTATAATTAGAATTTCCACTCAGCAGCAGAAGATAGCATTGTCATTGATTGCTGCTACAATCAAAACTAACTAATGTGAAATAAATAAAACTAGCAATTTCTAATAGTTCTGTGGCCAACCTCAAAATCCTCCTATGGCCCAGCAGTAGGCCATGGCTCCATGGTTGAGAACCAGTGGACTAGACCTACCACATCTTAAAAGAAGCCGCCTAAACCCATTTCACCAGAAGAACCATAACACTGTAAAATATTTGATAAAAGTTACTCCTCAAGACATCATATCTTTCTTTTAAAAGGGCTGTGGAGGCAGATACATTTTTTACTCTAAATTATGGAATGTTACTTCCAGGTTATCTTATCCTTGCTTATAGCTATCTTGATGTAAGTGACTTCAACTGACTCATGCATGCCACACTGAAAATTCCCACGTGTACCGATAAAATTAAGCAGTTGGAGCCTTCAGACCTTGAAAACAGTCGAAACTGAGCAAGAGGATCCATGTGAAACACGTAATATGCAAAAATATCGCATCCTGAGCAGCACCGATCCACAACCTTCTGCCTATGGAATCAAAACATTAGACAAATTGGTGTACTGTGCGCATTCACAAAGCTTTGCGAATCAAGTGTGCCTTTTGACTAAGGAAAGTTTAGCATCGAAATGGTCAACCTCAATATAAACCTGGTATCTGCAGAAAAAACCAATTGTTTTTTGAAAATAACTTTTTGGATGTGCTTTATTTTTCAAATATAATTTATGATTACTGTAAAGGGTGTGATACATTTGGTACCATGAATACCATTTGCAAATTAGCTTGGGTAACACCATAACACCCATCTCAAATAAAATTTTAGAATTTTTTAAGTCATATCTATAATATTTTTTGAAAAAAAGATTGCGGCTAGCCGGCTACTCATCAGAATTTTCTGTCAGATCACAAAGTCGCAATATTACGCCTCGCTAAGTTTCATTTGCAACTGTATTTGGTTGTAGTATCAGTGTCAAACTGTAGACTGAAACCTCCACTGCCAGTCCCACCGAAACAACTTTTTTTTTGATAGGCCGTATTGAAGTTGTTTTCGTTCAAGCACAATGGACACTTTATCTCCACCAATCCACAGTAATCACAGTCAACACGAAAAGCATCAATAAATGGATACTGAGGATGTATTATCAAGTCACGCAAGCTGAAGTCTTGTTGCAACTTATACTTTGCCATCTATTCTATGGTCGTATCCACATCTGTAAGATAATGGATACATTTCATTCGATATCATGATCCTGCACTAGCTTTGTAATAATTGTAGAATTTTCATAAAATCTAACGATCAAGTGAGAAATTTATGTCCATATTCCACCACAAACACTAGTCGTAAATGAATTCGATTCCGAGTAGCATATCTTTTAATTACCAATGGGGGCGAATATTAATTTGAATGAAATTTTTAATGTGAAGGTATGTTTGATATATTATTACGTTTTGCTCTTCAAGTCTTGAACATCTCGAAATAGTACAGATTTCTCATATATATTTTAAGTAGAGAGTTTATTTGTTTTGTCAAACAGAAAACATAGCAACTGGTATCAATACAATCATGTGGACATCGAGATCAGTTACCAGTACCACCCAATATTTATAACGTTAATAACAAGAGCTTTAGATGTGATAAGACATCTAGGATGTGATATTGTAGGTTTGTCCGAGACCATCAATAACTTTCAATGAAATAATAATTTAGTTGGCAAGCGTTTGGGATGCTATAAGCATTAATTAAATATAGCCTATATAAATTCAGACAAATTACTTGCTTGATCAGTTATGATATTAACGAATTTGACATTTTTGATTGATGACTAAAATAATAAGAGAAGATTTTCATGTGAGTGTATGGCATTGGTTATTTAAAATATGTAAATGGTGGATGACTCAAAAAGTAACGGTTATGTAGGGGCATTAAAACGTCACTACAATAGTCAAGTTGTCCGAGTGTTAAAGTTCGGAGCAACAAAGTAGGTATAAAAAAAACAATCATATCAAAATTGAGCTTAAATGTTTTCGTATGAATAAGGTCTACAAGCATCATGTAAAATATCAGGAAGAATACCCATGTTAGAATGTAATTTACACTGGTTTTTCATTCTTTTAGTTAGGAACCTAATTCTATGTGAATGTCTTAAACTACGTGAAAACTTGATGTCGGACTCAGACTCGAAACAAAGCTCGGATGATCTCGACTTGATATGTGGTTTGATAATTACCAAACAGTGAACTGCGCGGTATGGGTGAGATATCATACTGATTTTACCACTGAGATACTTGGTGAAACGCATGTCCGTGAAGTATGAGCATAGTGACACAAGGGGTAAAGACTGCCAGAAAAATTCCAAGGGGATGTTATTTTTCGCGTCCGAAAAGAATAATTTCAATAAAAAGGGATTAAGGATCAACAAGATATTAAATGATGTTGGGTTAACTTAAAGTACATATAGGGTGTCTATAAAGTCTTGAAGTTTTTTAAAATTCCAGTGGGAATTTATCAATGCCATTTATAGATTTTGCCCTCACAGATGTATAAAATACTTGAACAATTACTGATTAACAAACAACAAACCTGGTTAAGATATATTAACTGACTTTATAACAAAATTGAAACTGTAATGAACACCCTGTGTGTCAGGTTTGTACTATTTGTACATACGTCCTACTCAATTACAAACATGAAGTGAAGTTCTGTAGAGTGTAGACCAGGGGTCACCAACCTTTTCGAAGCCGAGGGCTACTTTTAGGGTACAAATTAAGCTGCGGGCTACAAGTTCAATGTACACTTCTAAAAAATCAGTTGCTCGATTAAGCTTCAATTATTGATATAATTACTGGCATTTAGTGAAGTATAGACACTAATAAACTTTAGGATTCTTCAGGAAATCAAACGATTATCACAACGTTGCAAATAAATTTCTATCAATAACACTTGTATTTCAGAACTGAGTGTTTTTAAATTGATTTTCAACACTCTGCACAAGTCTAAGATAAAATGGACTTAACAGTTGTAATATCAAACTGTAACTCTGAGCGAGTCTTGCATATTTTCATCAGTGAGGCGTGTTCCATGTTTGTTCCTGGTGGAGTGAGTCGCGGCACTATGGCCCATCGTGTTAAGCGGTAGGCTCGCAGGTTAGAATCTCATACGGGGATAGTTATGTGCGAAAGGATTGCTGGACTCCTCGCCGCCGTAGGGTGGTTCACGTAACCGCTGGTCGGTTAGGCTTCCTTCGCCATCAAGTCCAGGCTTCCGGAAACAAATAACTAACTAATCCCATACCCGACATTGAATGGTAACCGGCGAGAAGCCGTGGTTTGTCATATGGTTAAGCCGTCCTATCGGCTATCTTCTCCCCGGGGATAAATATGTAAATCTCCTCCTATCCTGAGATTGTCAAAAATGTTGATTCGAAAGGATAGGTTGAAACAAACGATGGTCTCGTAAAATAGCATTGCTGTATGATTTGAATCGCGAGCTTTTTCTGTCCGTACTGTGCTGACCAGTGGGTAGTTAGCGCGGAAAATTACGTGACAAGATGTGAAATATTCATCGTGAAAATGATGGATTTTTCTTTGGAATCAATAATTGTATTGTTACTGCTCCGCTAACCAACGGACAAGAAAAAGCGCGGGTTCGTGGAAAGTGATCTCAGTGTGATGTCATAATTGGAAGAGTGTTAATTTACCCGTCACATTTCTGAGGTCAAATAAAATAAGGTTGATGATTACAATAATTAATATAGTGTCATTTCTAGTTCCCATAAAAGTGTGATTTATACTAAAATAGCAGGACAAAATTTAATTGATCTAGCTTACTTATAAAACCCTTATTAAGCTTAGTTTGGAACAGACCTGCGGGCGACTAATATGGTCTTCGCGGGCGACTTGGTGCCCGCGGGCAACGCGTTGGTGACCCCTGGTGTAGACCATGTCAACAAACGTCGCATAAGATCAATTCCGATTATAATTACCCAAAGGAAAGGAGCCCCGTAAACGTCAGTAATGCCCCATTATGACTCCTAGAACATGTTTAGTCGAGACTGGGCTTATAACGAAACACAAATAGACTAACAACAATTAAATAGTTGTCTTGATGAAGTTTCCATGGAATGTGGTTTAATCAGACAATTTTCTCAGTCACATCCCAAATAAAACTCCCTCCCCCTATGTTTCTCTTTGATACTGCCCCCTTTTTTTTCCTTATTTGACCTTAAAAAAATATTTGGCGCGCGTGCCACATTTCGGTTCAGGGCGTGGTAGTTTGAGGTCGTTTCTGCGCTGGGGTGAGCCAGGTATATTCACAGTTTTAAGGCAAGGAAGGTCTAGATATAATTAAGTCAACTAGTTATTCCCATTCTTCATGCATATATAAGCTAGAACTTGAATTGTATGAATAATAATCTATTTCGATACAATTTGATAACGCATTATTTCAGTCATATTCAGAATTTTGAATGGTATATGATGAATATAGATTTCAGCATTGAATTCTTGTTTCTTCCTTATATATCTTTCGAGTGTATTTATTTACGTGTTTTGCAACGCTTTTCTTAATGGATCAAGTCTTGTTTTCTGATCATATTTTTTGTGAGTTGTAATCCGCATCAACGTGCTGTTTATAATTTTCCCATTTTGCACAAGAACTTTGTATCATCGCTAAATGGTAAGCCATAACCATTATTTTCAAATTACAGGCCTAAAAGTCATAACTATCATTTTCAAATTACAGGCTTAAAAGTGAAGAAAAATTGACCAATATATGATATTGGCATGATTGATGGTGGAGTGACGACTGATTGATGTAGGTAGAAAGGTAACTGATCTAAAGTAGTTTATCAGTTTTATAATAACTTGATTATAAAGTAAAGGCCTTATATAATTTTTAATCTAATTACATGGCTTAGGCCGTTTAGCTAAGTTTCCGGGGCCGGAAATTTAAAAACTTTCTTTACTGAAAAATCGGTGTTTCCCCCTCCCAATCGCCCTCCAGTGGCGTAAGAAGGTTGCGCACTTAAAAATGGAGCTATTGAGAAATGAAATAGATAGGTATGGTTGTTAACATTGTTTTGAAGAAATTTTTGTTCTCTTACTCCCCAGTCACGCTTTAGTGATTTTGGCTTATTGCAGGCCTCTGAAAGGACATATTGAGAAAGTGAAAGCATGGGCATATTTGGAAAATTATTTGAATCCATTTTAGAGGGAATTTTTTTTCTCCAACTCCTCAGTCATGCTCCAGTGATTTTACGTTATATCTCGAGAATGGTGATAGGTAGAGATGCCATATTTGGGTCATGCAAGTTAATTGAGGTCTAGTTTATGTCAAAAATGTCAATTTCGTCACGGTTGAGTGATCACGGGCCCTAAAATTAATAAAACTTGATTCCCATTGGGGGTGATCAGTTTCGTTTCTAACCTGATATTTAAACTATTTAATGGACTAAAAAGGTCGGGGGCACTGCGCCGGACGAATGCCGCCATTCGTTCGGCGCAACGACCAGGGTCTTCCAACAAAATCAGAACAAACACCTACTTTTTACCTTACTAAACACATTTCTTTACATTTCCCCTCGCGGGTAGCGAAGCGACCGACCCCTGGATTATAAAGTAAAGGCCTTATATAATTTTTAATCTAATTGCATGGCTTTGCGAAGAAGGAAGATATTGTTACTGCTGGCGGTCGAGTGACGATTGGTCGATGCAAATGGAAAGGTAGGTAGTTGGTCTAAAAATGTTACAAAATCTAAAGTTTTTATCACAACTAGATTATAGAGCAAAGGTTTTATAATTTCTAACTTAATTACAGGGCTTTGCGAAGAAGGAAGATATTGTTACTGCTAGAGGACGAGTGACGATCGGTCGATGTAAATGGGAAGGTATAGGTATGTTACAAAATTTAAGGTTTTTATCACAACTTGATTATAGAGCGAAGGTTTTATAATTTCCAATTTAATTACAGGTCTTTGTGAAGGTAGAAGATATTGTTACTGCTGGTGACCGATTGGCAATTGATCGATGTAAATAGACATGTGGGTCCGCTTCATTTTTATGAACAGTATTTTACTCAAAAGGGAGAGGCCTATTTCCCAAATTGTTGGTTTGTGTTGTTTGTACAGGGTAAACATTCGAATATTGAAAGCGCCTCACTAACAACAAAACTTTACAATAAAACTTGCGCTTTTCCACGAGCTTTCCTCTTTTTATATGAACAATTGTGATCATAATTTGTTCTACATAAACACACGTATGATACCTAATAAGTTCTGATTTTGTGGTTATGCTAATGCAGTTGTGTACATCTCTGTTAACTTTTTACATCACAATATTGTTGCGTATTACAATTGTAAAGATTGGAGAGTAATGCTATACTGCTATAATCTTTATGCTACTGACCTAGAACTTGCCTTCCGTCTTAAACCACAATATTCTTACACCAAATGCTCTTACATATATAGCAGGCATATGAATGCGAAATGAGATCTTGAAGAAACAAGATAGCAATGCTCAATATGGAGGCGGAGACGGAACGAAATATTTCACCGGTATATTCTCCAAAAATCGTATCTTGGTCTCTGGATAGCTGTAGTTTGTAATTTTTTTTCGATGTATCTGTTCCACTGCGTGTTGGGTCGTGCCGAACTGACATAACTACTAAAGCTGGGCATTTTTGAATACTTGCTAATTTCATCACTCAGTCAGTTTGCGCCGAGTTGTCACCCACAATAAGAATCATGTTTTATCAATAACTCAACAGCCACAATTAGTCACTGGGAAGCAAATAATAGTCGTCTGTCCATCACTAATAACAGCTCACTACGTCAAATGGCCACATATTCATTCCACTGCGTGTTGGGTCGTTCTAAACGGCGCTCCAGAAGTATGTGCAATAAGATGGCGCACAACTGATAACCCAAACCTGGTACACATACTATGTTCAGGTTGTGCACCTGCTAAACCTGCATTAAATACTGAAGCCGGGAATACCTGATAACTTAATAATCGAATCTTGATTACTAAGAAGATATTTAAAATTCATATTTAAACATGACTGTATGCAAACTTTTATTTTAACAAGTTCTCAAGGCATATTAATTACTGAAAAAATAGAATCAATCACTCAGTCAGTTCGCTAAGTCGTCACTCACAATAAGAATCATGTTTCATCAATGAACCACTGGGAAGAAAACAACATATTTAAACTTTAACTTATCATTCAGATTCTTACGGGAACAGCGAATCAAGGCGATCTCAATATTACAAATCTGGATAATGTAAGTAATTATTCCATTTCTTCTTATAAAGGCGTAAAATATAGTAAAAATTTATTCAACTAATTACTCCATCGATATCTTTAATATCCAATTTTAGCTGCAGTTATGAATTTTAGTATATTCGCCTAGCTATAATTTGTTATCCCCAAATCCTTTTTCAAATTGGGTGTAAGGGGCACCAATATCGCAAACTCGCCTGGGCAGCGGAAAAGTTTGGCACGTCCCTGTCTATAGCTATCTCCATTACATCCCTTTAAGGCAGGGGTTGGCAACCTACGGCATGCGGGCCGGATCCGGCCCGCGGAGTAATATAATCCGGCCCGCAAATGGAGGTCCGCGCTTGCTTAGCCACCCCAGATAGTTGGTCATGATAGGTATTGACTGGTTAGGGACACAGATTTCTTTATGTGTACATGTGAGGTCTGCCATCGTATGACCATCAGCTCGTAGACTGCTATCATATAGATATAAACGCAACATTTATCTTGTAAGTTGGTAAGGTTCCTGTACTTTGTCACAAATTTCGTCGTTCTGTGCCTAGAATCTTTGCAGTTTTTGTATTAAGTTTTATTCCCTTTTGTTAATAAAGGATTCAAATAAATATATATAACCGATGAGAAAAATATTATTTCCATGCTTCAAACTTTCAAACTTTGGTCACCATAACAAACTAAAGGTATATCAACCGCCTTTACCAACTAGGCCAAGAAGGAACGTGAGGGCGAAGTTCTGAGTTCTAATATTTATCATTCATCATAAATAAATGACTTTATAATTTACAAGTCCTTTGAGATGATACATGAATATTAGACCTTAAACTTTTGGTTCTAAGTTCTTAATTGGCCTAGTTAATAAAGGCGCTGGGTAGATCATAAATTTGTTCACGGTGACTAAAGTTTGAATCCAGCGAATGAAACATCCGCTTGTCAAATGTGTGTAGCCACTGGAAGGGCGGCGCAAAGATCTATAAAACGAAGGAGAAACTCGAGCTGTGGACTACAGAAACCCCAAAATAAATTTATAAATTTCAGCAATTATACTCGATTTATCTATGGCCTACGATCGGCCAGAGATAAAAAAAATGATCGCGTCGTTTCGGCCCGGATCCGGCGTCAGGGCGCCCAATAAAATAGCGGCTAGCCAGTGTGACGTCATAACCTTGTGACGTCTTAGTGTAAAATCCGCAGAAACCAGTCAAAATCACGTTTTGAGACACTCCTTACACCTATGCCCCAACTCCCATTGCTTATTAGCCTTTAACAAAACCCAGTCCCCGACAACCAATAAGCATGGAGAACGGATATTGCTTCAATGATTTTATTATTTTTCAAGCAAGAGACTGAACAAAAATCTACATCTAGTCTTCGGAAAAAAAGTATGAGAGGATGTGGATAAAGTTGAGATATTGAAGGTAATGCAGTTACGGATTGTTTAAAAGCGAGCAACATTGAGATATCAAGCTTTTCTGCCATGATCAGACACGTAATTGAGAATTGTGAATTTCTGGGTGATACCTGGGCTCAGTGGCATACATATATAGCGAGAGGGCCACTTTTACTGCCAGGGGAGCCATTTGGATGAGAGCGCACAATGGGCGAAACCACATTTTGATAAAAACTACTTAAATAACGTAAAAGTATCCCAAAGCAACAAACCGTAGGTAAAAATTTCAGTAAACGATCGATCAAGAGGGCGCATTTCAAACATTTCCATAGGCGCCATTTCACGCAGATACGCCACTACTGGGACAAGCTTCGATATCCGGCAAAATCTGGTAGAAAGATGGTTGTATAAAAAAATTAAAATACACCTTTTATATAATCAAGATGGTACGACAATTCTTTCGAATGTTCAACGTACGTGTCCGGTTGTCGACTGTCCCTTGATCTTTCCAACCAGAACGCAGCTGAAATATTAAAACAGATTGAACATAGCACAGGGCGATTATGGATTACATTTCACACCACCGATGAAAAATAGATCCTAAAAATTTAAGCATCGACTTCCACAACTCAACTCAAAAATTCATAAGATTCGAAACTAAGCTTTCAACCCGATACATCACGATAGCGATGCTCAAATATATGGGCACGAAAACCAAAACGAAGTAGTACGAGTATGCAATCTGTTACAGTAGACCAGCGGTTCTCAAACTTTTGGTGTTGCGGAGCCCTTGAAAAGGTCGATTACTATTCACGGAGCCCCAAAATAAATGTTAAAATTGTTACTTTCAGATTCATATGAGCAAGTTAAAAGTACTTTACTTAATTTAAATGCTGAAACTTTTTAATATGGTCATGAATCTGAAACTACCGACGGAGCCGAACGCAATAAAATAAATTTCAATTGTTCGTATTTTGCCCAGACACTGATTTTTTTAACGGCGCTATCTTAAAATCGAATCTCGAGTGCAAAAGAACAAATCAAGTACGACGAATCGTTAGATCGCAAAAATACGATTCCAATTTATTTATAGTTGGCCGTTTATCACATATTTTATGTTATTTAAGAATAGTATTCTTTCATTTTAGTAATCCCAATAGTAGTCTCGAATCAAACGTGAGTAACGATGAGCTCAATTACATTATAACGACGAGACACGTTAAATGCTCGCATCGGTCATGGATTGAATATTTTACGCAACAATCTCGTTATCAGTTTTTTTAATAGCGAAGAATGTTGCGCGACAATTTCCGATTCCAATTTTGAACCACCTCTCTCTAAGTATCCTGGCTGAGCTCCTGCTTATAAATAATGAATGTCATTTTTTATTTCCGCCTCTTTGCCATATTTCGAGGCTATATTGTTGTCAGATCAAAGCTGTTATTGCTTCTATGAACAGTTACAAATTAGTCAGTATTTTGAAAAGTAATTGAATAGCTCGCGGAGCCCCTGGGTTTCTCTCGCGGAGCCATGGGGCTCCGTACGGAGCACTTTGAGAACCTATGAGTAGTCTACTGAGTAGACTACGCCAAAAAGTGCGCAATTTTCAATTTTGAATGTTTTAGTTGATAGAGAAAGGCGATTTTTTTCATCACAGAAACAAGAAAAAGATTCCCTATAATAACAATAACATAATAACAAAGACCTGATGTCCACTTCATGTCCAAGAATTTCAGACTCCAGACCGGCAACTTGAGAGTAAATTCTTCTGCAAGTTCGTGTACCTAATGCCGCAAATAGCAAGAGTAACTATAGCTATTTCCGTGGTGTATCGAGGAAAAAGCAGCAATGAATGAGGCAAAGAAGTGCGTTTTCGCAACTGGAATAACAACTCTCTAAACCAGGGGTTTTCAACCTTTTCTCTGTTAATAAATTATTGTATTAATAAATTAAATAAATTAATATATTTTGATATCGGTCTTCAATAGGAATAGTTGCTGATCGTAAAGAGCAGTGGCGATCGCGCACAAGGGGGGCGTAGACAATGTTTTAGATTGCGTTTAGGCTAATTAAAAATATGAATATTTGTTAGATTGATCTGCCCGCCTTATTTTGAATATTTACGTTTCTTTATTTTGGATATTCACTTTCCTTTTACGTATTTTAACATGTATTTTTGAATTAAAGCATACTTTCGTTTAACCATCCGTTATTTGTAGCTTGTTAGCAAGTTATTTTTGAGGGGCACAAAATTTGACAAATTCTAAAAATGGGCGCGACTTAAAATGTTTGAAAACCACTGCTATAGAGTTTCGTTTGAAGAAAATGGTATGTTTGGGTAATGAGTAACTACTGATTTGCAATTCAATTTCTCTAATCCATCTTATGAACTAAAAACTGGGGTTCTCAGTCTATAGGATGAAATCAGCCCCTGGGGGTGAACAGAGTAAATTAGCAATAAAGAAATTTTAACGCCGGAAATTTAATTCAACCCACCAAGAAAAACAAAACGAATAGCGAGAGGAAGCAGCGCTGACAAAGAACTTATTTTGACAATACATTTGAGTTTCATACGCGCTATCATCATGTATTTCTTTGGTGGTAAAATCTGTCACCGCGGACATTTCCGAGCTTTAGGGTTTGTGTAATGAGAGTTATTATGCTTCCACTACGGAGGTAGACCATGTTTGTTGGTCACAAACTAGCTAAGAGCTCTAATGTAAACATTGCACATATCTACATTTAATACATTCTGCCCCTTGAAGTTTCTGTAGCAAGCTTAAAAAATTGGAAAAAAAAATAGGACTGAAATAGTAAATAAAGTTTGACAACCCTTGAAATAAAGCATATATATATATATATAAATTCAAATCTACACAATAATATGGACCACTAACCGAATTTCGTCACGAGACTCGTTAAGGGAAATAAATTTAAAAGAGTCTATGATAAACAAAAAGTTAACCTACCTTGCTTATTCTTGAGACACGCCTGGAAAGTCGTACCTTGCTCCACAAGTTTTTCACTTTCATTGAATACTTTCAAGCACTGATTGACAATTTCTGAAGCAAAATAAAACCACTGTTGAATCCACTGTACGATGAAAATTTTTGAAGGTAATTTCAATTTTTTTTAACAGCTTCCATTAAATTCATTAAGGACTAATTGCACACTACGATTCCGGTAACACAAACATCGGATTCTGATTATTCCCGTTAAGTATTATTTTAAAAAAAATGAATTTTGAAGTTTGTTTTAAAAATAAACTATGATTCGAATTGCAAAAAAATATCATTACTTACATACTTTCTTATATTTGAGACGTATCGGAAAGTCACTCCTCTTGCTCCCAAATGAAAACGTTTCCTTTTACGTTTGAAGAAATTCAATCACCGATTTCAAATTTCTGAAATATAAACAAAAAGATACTAAGAAATGAACATGAAAAAAACAACAACAACATAATAGCATAACGATATGTACAGTTCGTGTCCAATAATATTGAAACCAATAACAAGTAATTACCCCGTCTCTATCAGTCGTCACATGGGCTATATTTAATGACGGTGTTGATAAAAACTCACTTGTAGCTATGCCGAAGATTCGTCTCCTATCCACTTTTGTCTGCACGTGCAAAAAAAAATTGGAAAGGTAGTCCAGTAGTGGAAAACTATACGAGACAAAAAATAGGACCTGGCATACTTCTTACAAAGGGTGAATTACTTATCGTAAGACAGATTTTTATCTTACTTATTGCCTTCATTAACAAAAACACTCGCAATGGTTGACGGAAATCTTTCAAGGGTATTGGTTTTAACTGGATAAATGTTCATGTAAAAACATATAAATTGCCTGCATAGAAACGAGAAAGCAGTAAATGAAGCCAAATCATTCATTAATTGCCGTTAGAATAAATGAATTTGTCAAACAGCCGAAACGACGAATAATTGTTAGACTATTCAAAATGTAAATCAGAATGCACTTACAACAAATATACGTTTCTCAGCGCAAGAGCCAGGTAGTATAAAACCAGATGTAATCAGATTCATGTTAAGGGTAATATAAGAAGACAATACAATGACACTGACGGAATCCTAACACTTGGTTCCTAACACACTAGGAATCATTTAGTATTAAGCTATGGGCTAACTAACTGAAAGAATGAAATTATCTCCAATAACCATTGCCGATTTAGATTATCTCGCCAATTTCAGATATTGTAATCTCAATTCCACTTTGTAGACATTTGAATCAATAATTGTAGGCCAAAGCTTAGTTTAACTGCATTAGTATAGCTATAAAAAATGGCTGAAGATACAAGCGTTGGATTATGAAAAAATTAGCGACACAAGTATGCACATAAACCATTAAATCTAAAAATTCACAAACATGAAATCAGTGCTCACCTGACGGCGACGAATTTGAAAAGACCGCCTGAGCGCAGACAAACTTTGACGTGGCAAGAAAAAATTGTGACTATAATAAAGAAACATAGAGGGTGGAGGAGACCGGATGCTTTTTCATTCGTTATTAGGAATCATATGTCTAGGTGACGTAAGAAATAGCGAAACAACAAAAAAATGATGGAACATGCTGTTTGTCGCATTAACCTTTTACCACTACAGCCATTCTAGATACATTTTATTCTAGACAATATTTAATATGCTATACATTATTAGGAAAAAAAAGTAATTGACAGAAAGATATTCTACCGACGTTATGGTGTGGACAGCAGGAAAAATCACGCTGACCAAACATACAGCGATTATAACAAAATCAGACGATTTTTTTTCATATGATGCTTATTCAATACTTGTCGCTCCGAACAAGACCCTATGCAGGCATCCACAGACACCCCGCGATATGCTATGAGTTACTTTTATATAAGTTTAATTTCTGGATCTATTATCGACCCGCCACGTCCTGGTCAATTGTAGATTAGAACTATCCAGTATTCGTTGAAAATATTCGATAGAAAAAATGCAATTTTTCTACCTCTAGCAAGGGCGAATCTATGGCGCCCATGGCCAAGTTTAAAATGCACCTCTCTTGATAGCTAGTTGACAATTTATATTGACTGTTATTTAAATGAGATACATGTACGTTATTATTTGTGTAGAAATACGAGTTTCAGTTATTTCCAATTCGGAATTATTCTATTGAAACATTTTACGATAAAAACTTTCCGCTCTTTTTGCGCCCCTGCCCAAACAGTGACTATGGCCATGCTTGCCACACCCTAGATAAGCCACACACCCCTAGCTAGTTGGTTCGTATGTTAAAATATAATTGAGACGATATGTCGAGTAGCAACATTCTATCAATGCCAAATAGAAAGGGTTTCTCTGAGGAAAATCATTTCTGTCTGCGTTGTAGATTCGATGTTTTGGCCCACAATCAGCTAAATGTTGCCACCACCTGATTTTCACAACCTGAAAAGCCCCGAATACGTGCTCCCCAAAAATTGAATTACCATAAGCTCATTTCCCCTAACATTAAAAATAAAATTCCAAAAGTGCATTTTATCTAATTTAATAGCAGCAATAAAATAAGAATCCACAAATACAAGAACAACATCTTGATTTAATCTCAGTAAGAAGGGTGTCACTGTTTCAGCGATATCAAACCTAAGAATTCCATATCATCGTCAATTTCAAGCTTGAACCAATATTTTGTTTTAATGAATGCCATTGCAAAGAATAGGTTGAATGACATTAAACCGAAAATGGTAATGACGTCATGGAAAGGGTGGCATATTGCTGTTGGAGACAAACACAAAAATATCTGTAGTTGCGAAGTCGATTTTGAGTCTTGACTTTCACGAAACCGAATTATAAGACCGACTCTCCATAGCTTTTTTTTGGCGCAATCTCAACAGTTTTCATTTCACAGAAGATTAAACTTCATTGCAGCTATAATAATGAAGACTACATGTCTCTACTATCTGCGAGACCAACTAAATTGTGATGTAACAATGTTTGCTAACTAGATGCGAACACGACGCGCCCAGTTTTTCTGCGAAGTGGCGGAAAATACGGCGATTACAAAATAAACTGTTACGCCAATGAAGACCCGGAGACCCCCCTAAAACTGTCTAGGTGTCTTCTTTTGGGTTAAGTACCCCCAGTTTGTGTGCCACTGGCCTAGCAAATACCACACGGATTATATGCCAGCAGTACCAGAATACGTATTATTCTCAAGAATAACATATTCAAAACTAAATTTGAAAGACTTGTAATTAAATAATTGCTGAAAATAAATTTATTTTAAAGAATAGATATTGCACGCTATATTTTAAAATTTTTCATTTTGACTTTATTCAAAGCCATTTTGTTCGCTGTTCTTCCCCATACACTGCTCAAGATATCTTTTTTCCTTCTGAGTTTAAAAAATAAAGGCAAAGTCCGGTTGTTTTCCACAGTTGAATCATAAACGGCTGCTTTTATGGCTCGAACAACACTACCATTCGTTTCATTGAGTTTGAAAGTTTGTTCCAACCATTTTTCTGCTACGTCAGAAGTAGAAAGGTCCTGATCAGTTACTACTTACTAGATAGATGCAAATGGTATTAAATTAAATAGTGATAAGTCGTCATAGAGCATATGGCTTGAAATTTGCTTAAAAAGAGCAGTGGTTTGTCAACATGGTTGTGTGACATTTTAGGGTTCCGTCGCCACTGTTCCAAAAGCTCACATTCAAATCGTAGTGTCTATATTAATATATGTACATTGTTTAAAAATAATCAAACATAATAAACTTGCTACACTTTTAAAATCATTTTGTTCAGTCCCTGGTAGGTTTGCTTAGATATATATATATATGTAGTATATATACATTTATGGTTTCAAATGATGTTCCTGTTTATCTGGGTTGAAGAATTGGGTCAAGTTGAGTAAATTACGGGAGGTACGTTTCACTGGCAGTCAGTTGATTGAGTTTAGAGGGGTTGTTTAGAGGGTAGCATAGACGTCATATTGGGGGTGTCAAAATAAGGCTGACGAAATGCGGTCGTTGCGTGTCAAATTAGGGGTGACGAAATAGGGTATTCGAGTCAAGGGTGACGAAATACGGTCGGTGCGTGTCAGATTGAGGGTAGCGAAATACGGTCGGTGCGTGTCAGGTTGGTGGTGACGAAATAGGGTCGTTGCGTGGCGTCAGGTTAGCGGTGACAAAATACGGTCGCTGCGAAGAAATCTTTATGATTTGATTTCCGCATGCCAGAATAGTAGCATCACGTTTTGAACTGGACCTATATAATACCAAACATAGCGTTTGAAAATGAAATTCGCCGAGTATTTATATGTTTATTGTAGCAATTGAGCCTCTGTTGTTTACTATCAACCTAAATAAAGATGTGAGAGGTATTCCGGTAGTGGCGCCAGGGAATATAGAATTGAATGGAAATTATTGATGAAATCGGCGATGACAAACCTTGAAAAGGTATTGGAAGTTATGATCCATGAAATGCTGAATGCATCTGGTGTATTATTGCATGAATGAGGAATCGATCACGGCCCAAAATTTCGGAAAAGAACACGCCGTATTGTGAAAACAGTCAACGCTCAAAGGAACAATCTTCTCTCGGAAATTCGCGCCCTAGATGTAAAATTCAATGGAATTCAAAAAGTCAAAACGGAGGCACAGTTCGGAGGCCAACGTTATGAAATACATCTGCATATTTATTATCTTGTTGTACAATGTTGCCTGAAATACGTTTGTGTTCGTCGGGAGTTTTAAAACAAGATATGAAAAATGAATAACTAATATTTTACAGTTAGTTAAATTTGTTTTAAGAAAATTTCCATGTCCTCAAATAGTGTCAAACAATTTTTTTTATATTTCTAATATCTTATGTTACTTAATTATGCATAGAAATGACATGAAAAAACACGTTTTATGTCATCGTGAAAGTGATTGTGATTAAATTTAAATTTGACGTACGACTGGGATCACTCTGCATAGAGAGACTAAAATTAACGAAATGTCTCTATGCAGTGTGATCGAGTATATTTACGATCATGTAGACATCGAGATCAGTTACCAGTACCACTCAGTATTTATAACGTGAAAGACAATAGCTTTAGATGTGATAAAACATCTAGGATGTGATATTGTAGGTTTGTCCGAAACCATCAATAACTTTCAATGGAAGAATAATTTAGTTGGCAAGCGTTTGGGATGATAGGCATTAATTAAATATACCTATATATAAATTCAGACAAATTACTTGCTTGAGCAATTAAGATAATAACGAATTTGACATTTTTGATTGATGACCAAAATAATAAGACAAGGTTTTCATGTGAGTGTATGACATTGGTTACTTAAAATATGTAATTGGTGAATGACTCAAAGTAACGTTTATATAGGGGCATTAAAACGTCACTGCTATAGTCAAGTTGTTTGAGTGTTAAAGTTCGGAGCAACAAAGTAGGTATAAAAAAGCAGTCATATCAAAATTGAGCTTAAATGTTTTTGTATGAATAAGGTCTACAAGCATCATGTAAAATATCAGGAAGAATACCCATGTTAGAATGTAATTTACACTGGTTTTTCATTCTTTTAGTTATGAACCGAATTCTATGAGAATGTCTTTAAGAGATGAAAAGCTATTCAGAAGATGTTAAGTAAGTGAAACGCATTCTTTAGTGCAGGGTGGTCCAACCTTTTTGGCCGAATGGCCACATTTAGTTCACGAATGATCGCGCGGGCCACTAGACATGGTGGTTATGTTCTAGTTTTTACTACGCCGACTGCATATATATTAATGAAAAACAAACAAAACCCGCAAACCGAAATTATAAGCACAATGAAAATACGAAGATACAGTAAAGTCAAATTTTTAGCAAGTTTTTACTACGGCTATATATTTCAATGTCAAGTATGACACTGCTTTTATCTAATAAGTTTGTCAATATTCGGTGCGATGGACGAGGTAGCAATGCAGAGCGAATTTTTCATTAGCGAAATTAGTGATCTAATGGGGGATTTGACATGGTTCATCTGTGAGAAAACTTGCTCGCACAAGTAAGTGCTGTCAAATATTGAAGTCATGAAAACTGCCTCGTCTAGCTTTGCATAAAAAAGACAGGAAATCAGATTAAAATACATGGCAGACGATAAAATAAATTAAAACATCTCTCTCCAGCAATTACGCCCACAGAGGGACATAAAAAAGTTTCGAAAGCTGGGTGGTGCTTTTCGCGCGTTTAAACGACGAGCAATAACTTTTGAGTAGAGGTTTCAATAATGGCTCAGATTTGTGAAAAACATTGGGATTCGAATAGGGATAAGGATAAGATTTACATATTTATCCCGGGGGAGAGGAAAGCCGATTTGATGGCTTAACCATACGGCGAACCACGGCCTCTCGTCCGGTTACCATTCCCTTTCGGGTATGGAATTAGTTAGGTATTTGTTTTTCCGAAGCACGGACTTGATGGTGGAGGAAGCCGTAACCTACCAGCGAAATAATATCGCGCAGGCCACTCGGAAACCTTCGGCGGGTCACATGTGAAATCCGCAGAAATTTGGAAGCTCGAATGAGATCAGAGATAAAATGCATTCCTACTAATTTCTTTGACTAAGATACTGCTCTGCAGAGACGACATTTTCAGCAACCAAGAATGTAATATAGCATATGCCTTTGATAATTTCATTAAAGTTATTCTTTGTAAAAATTAAATGTTTGATAAATTTTCTGCTTTTATAGCGACAACCCTGTAGTTCGCATAGACAAGCAACAGTAGCAAAAAATAAACTGTAAAACAAGTATTATGAGAATGATTGATTACAATTGATCTAATGACTCGTTTTTAGGCAGGTATTTCTCGATGAACTCCAATAAAGCCAACATTACGACATATTTGAAGAAAAGAGGAAACTCTATAGATTCGATTTCAATATGATGACAGAACAGCAGCATGGTTCAACATGGTCATATATATTGCCAAACATAGCGCATATTCAAATAATTTAATGAAAAATATAAATGTATCATAGTCCAAATAAATTATGTAACTAAATTTACTGAAAAATTGAACAAGTATCTTTTTACTTTGAAACTGAATAATACATTTACTTTGATACTGTCTAATACATTTAAAACAAGTATCGGAGAGTATAAAATAAATAAAAAAAAACATTTGACGCCACCTCGTGAATTTTTTAGAAATGTAGAAAAATTACAGTTTTGGATGAGCGATTTTTCGGAAACCTACTATAAAGCCAGCATTACAACATATTAGGAGAAAAAAATAAAATCTCGTAGATTCGAATTCATCATGGCAGAATAGTAGTAGCACGTTTTAACTGACCATATATAATACCAAAAACATAGTGTATATTCCGATAATTTTATGAAAAATATATATTTATCATAGGTAAAAGTGGTTTTGTATTTCAACTAAATTTACTGAATAATGTCAAAGTTACTAACTAAATATTTTGACATCAAACCTTCAAGGTTTCTTCGCAGCGACCGTAATTCGTCACCCCCAATCTGACACGCACCGGCCCTATTTCGTCACCCCTAACTTGACTCGACGACCCTATTTCGTCACCCCTAAGTTGACATGCACGACTGCATTTTGTCAGCCCTATTTTGACACCCTCAATATGACTTTTGTGCTACCACCAATGTAGGATTCTGGTTATTTTTGCATGAGCACTGGCGTTAAACTTTAGTTATTTATTCAACTTTTCACACTTACTAATAGATTACCTGCTAACTAGGGAAACAATACATTATGGCAATTGATGATTGATTCCTTACACAAGTCACAAGTCTGCAAGTAGACAAGCAAGTAGGCCTACGCCCAGGCCAACCAATAACAGTAGTTTGTCATCTGCTTTCCATTGAAATGAGGAAGCTTATGAATATTTAGAGAAATTGATAACGGCACATTATCACTCACCATCAGCGAAGTGCTGTCCGCAAACAGTGAAACACAAGCGAGATGACTTCTGGACTTGACACCAAGCAGTCCTGCCAATAGATGATATTCACATTGCGCGACGTTCCGGATCTTTTGAAAACAGTGGAATACAACTGAAGATCCATTTCGTTGTCTATACTTTATAGGTACAATACGAAATAACCATTTTCAACAGCCAAACAAAACGGAAACATATAATCCGACTTGCAACTGACAGGAGTCAAATGAACGTTTTTTTTTTTGCCGTCCAGTAAACAAAGTCACGTGACCCGTGCAAGTCCTCTATACTATAGATAGAGTCTTAAGTTCCCTACATTCTACAACATTCGGTACACCACTGTAAACTCTATCGATGTGGTAAACTGTCCAACATTTTGGTACACCATGGGGTGTACTATGAACCCGGTTGATGAGCAATGTTCCTAGACTGTAGTCTAGGACGTCCAACTGGTCTTATTATGTTCTCAAATGCTTTACGTTTTACATTTTGTGAAGGCGTTCCCTTGAATGGAGGGTATTCACCTCTTTAGCGCCTCCACTGGATAGTGAGCAGGACGTCAGACGACGACTTCGCGATTGTTACTCTGGCGCGTTTTTTTTTATCTGTCTGTGTAATGGCTGAGCGTATCTTTAGCGACGATTTGAAATATCTTCCTGATTTTAGTTTTGATGACGTTACAGAATATGCTGAAAAGCATGCTGGGAATGGAAATAGCGCCAAGAGAGGATACAAATACTTCTGGGAGTCTTTCATCCACGATTACAAAGGTATGGTAAGTTAGGTAGGGCAAGTAAGATTTTTCAGCGAGCGGGACATGATGATGTCACATGTACCGTAACCACCGTTATAATTTTAAGCATTAAGAACGTCAGTAAATAATGACTTGTGATGTACATTTATTCATGGGCTATTCAGGATTACCTATTTATTTTTATAGGGGATCTAAAAGGCAGGGGGCAGCTTATAATTTACACAGCTTTTCTAGAATCTCCGTCTGCTGTTGGCATTTTTGTACAATGGAGGAGTTTGAGATAAATCAACTATCTAATCTCATTACACCTAGGTTTCGATTAAACCATGCTGAATATGCAACAACCATTGAAAGCAAATTAAGCTGTAACTTATCACTAATATGCATTATTATTTTCACCGTTTTCCAAGATGGTCAGAATTTTTTAATAAAGGCAAGATGTTATCGATCACAAAGAAAAAACGAGCCACCTCATTCATTATTTGTAACTTTGCGACGGAACAATGTACTGAGTGCTACTTGCTCTTGTACAGTGGGAGAAGCAATTTGCTGTCATTCTTTAGCATTGTTGTACTGCACTGCGCATTTCAGCAATCTCCAACTAAAGAAAGTCCCCCCAGCTATCACTGGCACTATGCAATTACAATCATGGCATCATCCAAGAAGCGAAGGATTCAAGCAGCTGCCTATCCAAAAAATTATTATTCAAAATCCATGTTCGAAATCCATCAGAACAATTCGCAGCACTCTACACAAACCTGGAAGAATCCCGCAATGGCAGAGCTTTCTAAATTTTAGTCAATATAATATTCAGTTAAATACAATTTTGCCGTCAAATCCATCTTCTGTTGTAAGTATTTCAACAAATTTTGGACAAGCACCATTTGGGAGTCCTCTAGCATATCAACAGATATGTGATGAGAAAAGTTTTGAATTCCCTTCTCTCCCTCTGTCTAGTTTGTCTCCACAGACTAACACGGTGTTAACAGAAATGCAACACAAAGTGATGCAAAATCTGACTTTGGGCAGAGAAGATTGTAAACACATTGAATTTATGACTCGAAATCAGTATAACTCTCCGATTTGGCACCAACAACGATAATTTAGAATTACAGCATCCAAATTTGGCCGAATTTATAAACGTGTTTCAAATTTTGACTCCCTTGCTTCAAATCTTACTTCTTCCAAATTATTTCAAACTGCAGCAATGAAAAGAGGTATCCAAATGGAACCAGAAGCAGTAAAATTATACGAGGAAATAAAAAAATGCCAGTGTTCCCCATGTGGATTGGTAATATCTTCAACTTGTCCCTGGTTGGGGTGTTCACCAGATCGTAAAGTTTACGACCCATCTTGTGATGGCAACCTATGCTATGGCTTATTAGAAGTCAAATGCCCCATGTCTGACACTTTTGACAAGGTTTCTTGTCTTTTTAAAAATGATAAAGGGGAATGGACATTGAAAATGAATCATGATTATTATTTTCAAATAATGGGGTGTTTAGGAATCACAGGACTCAAGTGGTGTGACATCATTATTCTTTTACCTTCGGGTGCATGTTTTATTGATCGCATACATTTTGATGATGTATATTTTCTGGACCTACAAATGCGTCTGGAATCCTTTTTTTATGATCATTTCATAAATACGATTGCAACAAACATGTCATCTTGAGGACAAAAATTTTTCACTTTGTGAAATGTCTGAAGGATAATTATAAGAGAAAAAACTTGCCTAGGCATTTATGTATTTTATTGCTTTAAATTTAGAATGTAGTAACCAGTTGCTTTGGGCTTTCAACTATTTTTCAATAAATTAGTATTTTGTGTATTCGCCATAGTGCAATTTGTTGAAAACAGGCGAGACAGGCAGTACAAAAGGCTATTCTGAATTTTCCCTTTTCTTTTACTGTTAACCTAATATAATGTTGTGACACCCACGCCCTCTGCTGTATATTCTAACAAATCTAAGATCTTTAAAGGGACATAAAATATGTCCTGAATGTATTTGATAAACTAAACTGCTCGAACTAAAAATAATAAACAAACTAAAACTGAAAAATAAAACTAAATAACTACTTCTAAAACAAAGGACCGCTAAAGTTGGTTAATAAGCAAGCAACGGTCCATAGTTGATTAACTGTTCCTAGCATACTCAGTGGTATTCTGCCTTCGAATAACTGATATTCTTTCACCCTTCTGATTGCTCGTTCTACATGGACTCTAAGTGAAGCAATCTTGCTGGACCGCAATGCCTCCTCATATGTGAACCGCCCGTTAAAGTTGAATGGAGGAATATTTAGACCCACACCTTTCACTTCCAAGAGACTCCTGATGGCAAATCCTTTGTCGCACATTACGGAATCCCCTCTTTCAAGCAAACTCAAAATTCCAGATCTTCGGGTTATTTCACTGTCTGATATGCTACCGCAAAATAATAAACTGACAAAAGTTATTGGACCATGAGGAGCAATACCCAATAAACATTTTAATGTTGTATGGTTTTTATAAAATGAAAAAAACTCACTTTGGAGCATGAGTGAAGATGGTGACTGGCATAAAATTTCACAACAGTCAAGGACTATGCGTGTAGATTCATAACCTTGGTTTTTAAAACACTGTGGCATATTTTCATAAACCTGCTCACCAGTAGGCCAAATTGGGATAGATGCCAAGGTAAAATAAAGAAAATTAGCCCATGTGATAACTATCCGAGAGACAGTGGACTGTGATATGCAAAAAACATCACTAAGATGGATCTCATCAAAGCCCTGTCTCAGACGACACAAAAATAAAAATAGTTCATCAGCCAGTGGAAGCGATCGCTTCTTACAAGGGTGGTCTAAAAAATCGCTACTTCCATTATAAACTTCTTCGCTTACAGCAGACCATAGTGTTAAAGAGTTAGCACAGTCCAACAATATGTGGAAAAAGTCAATCAATAAACAATAGGAACTAAAGCCAGTATAATATTTAATCATGGAGCTTGACGCCTTGAAACGTTCCATACCGAATTTAGATATTGACAGCTTTGAAACTTGAGTTTTTAAATTCTCAATTTCTTTTAAAGCTTGCTCAAGTTTTTCTTCAGCTGTTTTCACTACAATGCAGTAGTTGTGATCCACTTGAGTAGGATTAATGTGATTAAAACTCAGACTGCTGGTCCGACTGCTTGGTACAGTGGCATCATCAGTGGTTCTGTACAAATATAATAAAATTCATTAGCAAAGAAATCACATATTCATCCTGGGGAAAGGAAGGATGATAAGACGGCTCAATTATATGATGAAGCAGATATCGGTGAAAAGTCATATTGTACCCAAATTACAGCTTCAAGTATTGAATCCTCTGCATTGCATGTATATGTGTAAATCAAATAATGGCACTGAATTGACTATTGTTATGGCTAGCTGTGAGGCAACTAGCAAAGTTGAATGATGTGCTTGGTAGTCTAAATTAGTATCTGGCTTTCTATCTTTTTTGTCGGGAATATATGCTAACAATGTAGGCATCATAGAAAACTAAGAACCGAATACAGATTCTAATAGCCAGAGCAGGCTATATCTTATAACTATGTGTTTGCACAATGAAAGTGTTTATTTTGTATTACACTGTTTACCTATTCTTGGCACTATTGTGGCCCGCTAACAATGCAAAAATAATTTTGTGGCCCGCGGAGCCGACAATGTTGGACCACCCTGATATTCTAGACTTTTATAGTCTGTCAAAATATTTTTTCAAATTGGTTAATTTTAAATTTTAGTTTGATACTAGTATGGTGGTATAGTCTAATTCAAAAAATGATATATTCTGTTTTACCTCAGTCTGTTTGGCAGTGGTCTCTCTGCAATTAACTTTGTCCAACTAAATTTTGATGGAACTGAGTTGTGGTGCAAACGGCGTCGACCAGAAGGCGTCTCATATATGTCTTCGGGTCTGAAATGGTTGCCACAAACTCGCGTGCTTGGTGTAATCTGTTTTAATAAGTCAAAATAAACTAGCTGATACGAACGGAATAAATAACACCAACTAAAGTGAAGCTAGGCTTCAAGGAATTAATGTATGCCGCCTAATAATAATATAGGTTATCAAGTTTAGCTTGATTCCCATAATCAGTACACCAGGAAGATATTGACAAAATAAACACTTATTAGTCTACAGAATCAGAAGAGCCCTAACTAAGATTTGAAAAGAGCAGAAGTTAAATTAATTTAATTAAGTGATTCAAGAGTCTTGCTGCACACTAAGACTCACAGCAAGACTCTTAAATCACTTAGGATAGTTATCTTTACTCTTGCTACAGCATCCTTGCATTATATGCATACCGATTCGCCGGCACAAAAGCATAGAAGAAGGATAAGTAGTTAGTTTCGTAGAAACCAAATCATTAGTTAAATTAATTGTTGCTAAAACTGCAAAAGAAAGTCGTGGGCTGTGCTCACCTTAAATACACTCACACATGGCCTACAACCGCATAGATATAGCCTAATAACTAAAGTAGAAGCGAGAAGAGAAAATCAGGGTCAAAACTAAAATTAAAACCAGAAGAAAAAAATATTTGCCACAATATACTGACTTACTTGAAAATGTTTACCAGGATCGCGACGAATACTATGAATCCACGCTCTCTTCATTTTTTCATTTTTGGGGAAAGAGTGGAACGATAAGTCTGGTGAGTAACGGCTATCGCCATTACACAACGGTACGCAGCAATGCAATTTGGAACCACCAGACGCACGAGCCGCCATTGCAATCGAAAAGCCCAAACCAGTCCAACGTCGCGGGGAAGCAGAAGACAGTACTTTCCCGCGCATGCCCACATAAAAACAAAATGGCGACGCTCAGTGGCGATAATGAATACCCCCCATTACATGGTGGCGGTAATGAGCTGTTGAGTATCGCCATGGATACGCGATATTACTTTTGCAGCTGTTCATTGCCTCTCCAGATAGCGTTTTGTTTTGGTCATGACAAATTCTGATTGTATGTTTCATGTCTACTAGCTGTGCGACAGGGATCAGAGCAACTTTTAATGTGAAACCAATGGTCTGGTCAGTTTAATTGCTTAACTTGAAATCCTATTTGTTCGTGTCGATTTTGTTGTTTCAATTACGCTGTTTTTCGAGTTGTACCATGCCTAAAGGAAGAAGATTTGTACCGACCGCGGAACACGATGGAATTTGGGTAGGAATTAGTTTATATTGATTGATTTACTGTTTATTTAGATATTATGATTTTTAATACAGAGATAGATATCTGAATAGGCTCAACTTATAGGCTAAAACGCTTTATAAGTTAGTGTTACCTGTAATAACAGCTTTTATTAAAATTGAATCTTGAAATAGTAACTATAGACTAGTTGTATGAAAATAGGATGTTCCACAGTCGTTCTAGAATTGTGTAAGTAATTAAACTGTAATTGTTGAATGCAGTGCACTGAAGAGTGGATGAACTGGCTCATTTTATTGTTTTTATTTCCAAGGCTGCGAATGCATGACACTTGTATGTACTATTATAATGAACTTCATATACTCTCTGATTATGTTTAGTTTCCTGAATTGCAATGAATTCCTGAATGAATTATCTTATCTTAAAATAAGATTAAATCATGTAGTAAACAGGGTGACCAAAAAAAAAACATGAATCAATTTTTTTTATTACTTCTACGAACTAATCTAGGACGCTTTGCACATCTTCGCTTTTGGATATGTTCCAAATGACTTAATTTATGTTTTATTGGTTCACCCTGGTTGGTTCTTTGAATCTCAAAATAGATGAGAAATAAGTAAATGATGTTAATGTATTATATAGCACATTACTTGACAAAATGATTTATCTAATTGAGTACGAGAATTGTATGTTTTTGTAATATGATAGTGCAACACTGTTGTATTGTTGTTATGCTATGTTTTTTTATGCTTCATAATGATCTTTAAATCACCTTCTTTTGAATAATATTAGCGGTATTATCAAACATGTTTCACCGCTTTGGTAAAAATGTATTCCCAATATTGTTATTCTTTATGTATAGCTCGACACAGTTCATTTAAATTACGTCATGTAATGCAGAAACATTATTATCTTTTAATGAATGAAATATGATACCATTATGTACTGTTCAGTGTAAAGAAATTCGAACTACCAGATCCCTGAGATTCCAATATAATCATTCAAGCCATGTCGAAATCTTTTTAATTTCACTTGTGCCTCATTTCTTTTTTAATTGACAGCCATCAATGTTTTACATTATTTCTTGAAGTAGATAATATAATTTCCAAATTTCAAACTCCTATATTACTTGTTTTCAGTTTCAACACATTGGTTTGCCAAATATCATTGAAAACAGAAATACCGGAACGACCACTGGTTTAATGATGAATGATAGATTTGATGAAACAGCTCAGAGGTTGACAACAATAAGATGCCCACCCAACTATTTTTTAAGACAACAGGTAGGGATGTACAAATAAGTCAATGTAAAAACTAACAAACTATCCTTATCCTGATTAGGTATTCCTGAAGTATGTGAACCAAGATGGCGGACACTCGAACGTAGTATGTGTACCAGGTTAGAGTGAGACCATGAATTTTGGTTCTATTATGAGTTTGGGGACTAGCCAAGTGACTCTCGTAGTATTTGTACCTGAAATTATGGCCTAACCCTAACCTGGTACAAACACTACGTTCCGGTGTTCGCCATCTTGGTTCACATACTTTGGCAGTACCCTCTATTATAAGTCAGATCAAGGTCATTTTTTTCGAACCAGTAAAAAAAATCAATTCATACAAAGTACAAGAAAAAAGATGGGAAGGGAAGCCGTGGGGAACCAAAGCTGGTTGGATCAGTGACAGCCAAGGTTTTAATATCCAATTAAAATTTAGTTTCGAACCTACTGTTTTTGACACTGATTATCAAATGGTCATGGTGAATTATCCAACTAATCATTAGACATAATACATTTGTTTGAAATATTCAAAGTGAATTGCTTTCACCCAGTTTGTGTACCAATCTATTTGCAACAGACAATTTTAAAAGCGCCTACATTTATTCATATGCGGATAAATGTTGTAAAACTTTTGTTATTCATCACTTTACAACATTTGCACAAAGATTTGCATTGTTGTCTGTCCCAATCTGTTAAATAAGATATCAGAATTTTGGGTGTCGCGTCTCTATATCCCGTCTGGGATTTCTGTGGCTTCCCTTTCCGGTAAAACTATAAATATCATTTTCAATTTGTGTACAAATTTAGTTTTTTTACTGGTTGGAACAAATAAACTTGACTTCTTTTTATATCAAAATTTACATTAAAAAAATATTTGAGTTCTAGTAGAATTTTTATGGTTCAATATTTGTTTTTTCATAGAAAAAGTACAGATCAGAAAACCCATTTTCATGGCATGACAATAGGAATTCATTTCAAGACCATGGTGTTTATTTTGGCCAGGTGGGTTTCGATTGTTTGTGTAAGATATTGTTTTTATTTGTTGTTGAGTTGACATACCCGTGATGGTCTGTGTCTCCAATCACAGCTATGCAGAGGTTTCTCCATAATAGGGATATGTCTAGGGGGTTTCAGACACAAATCTGTATAGTTACGTAAATAAAAAGAACATTCAAATATGATAAACAGTTTTAAATGCAGATTAACAATTTTAAAGTAAGTAACAACCGAAACATTGAAACGCAAATGTCACCTATTTGAATTCAGATATAAAAACATTACTAATAATAGCATGAATCAATTTGCACTGCCCTGAGCTATAAAAATAGCTCGCCAGTATTTTATAAATATTTTTCATTGTTAAGGACGTTTTATTGCATTTGCGTTCCTGTTGTTGAAATAAAATTATGGTACAAAAAGTCTAGTTTTTCTGGTAAACTTAGTTATTAATTTATGTTTTGTTACATCATAATTCGTAATTCTTTTTACATCACATCGTGCAAATAATTAGTACAGAAGTAACATGTAATATAGATGTTTCCCCGACCTCTGATCCCATGGAAATTCATCCTATAACTTTCTATTACATAATAACGTTTGTATTAAATTGCTATGAATATTTTCGTAATTTTACACAGACAGATTTCAGTTGGTTTCTCCATATTTTATTGCAGTTCTTCTTCAGCTCTATCTTAGGACAGACAAATCCTTATGTAAACGTCCGTGTCGTGTTGCAAATATATTACATTTTTGCGAATTAGGTGCGTTCTGGTACGATTTTTGCAGCTCATCACTGGTTGTGGCGTGGGTAAAGTTAATTTAAGGTTTTGTCCACCTGCAGCTAATTTTATGAAACTGTGCAATATATCTATCAACTTTCTTGCTCCCGAGTTCCAATGTTTTTGAATCTGTCATAAATGTAATGATTGAATTAACAGGGACTTGGTAAAAAGAAGGCTCACTCTGATACATCACAACACAAGTCTAATGATATTGTAACATGGGGTGGAAAAAAGAAACCAGAATCTTTACTTGATATCAATAGTTTATATAGAGAAGATTTTCTTGGAGGTAATTTTTTGCTATGTTTTGTTCGAGTCGAAAGTCATCACATTCGAAGCTGAATAAAAAAAACGTTTTTAAACTGATGATTTATAGTCCACATTTGGCTCTTGTGCTCAAGCCATGATTTTTGTTAAATTATGGTAGAATGTTGAAATGCCCCATTTAAAAGTCATCAGAACTGTCATCCGAACTCATTGAAGAATCGAACAAATAAGGTAGCTTTCATGCATATTGAAAAAAGAATAAAGCGTTATAAATGTGGCGAATGGAGGAATTTAACGAGAAAAGATTGGGAACCACCGACCTTGAGTCAAGACCGATATTAAGTTATGTCACTACCACCGGACCCGTGGGTGGAATAAATTTCCGCTTCGTTAGCTTTAAAGTATATGAAATGTTAATAAACCTACACACTTCAAGTTATTCCTATGTTATTTGGATCAGATAAAAGTGTGAAAAAACTATTTAAATGATTTATATTGGAGTGCAAAAATGTCTTAATTTTAAAACTACTAATGGTGTATCGAAGCATTACAATTCAACTCTAATACACTCTCATTTAATTCAGAAAGGTGTTCAACAGCCCCTGTCCATCGACGTTACTCAAAAATATATCCAACACCTCCAGTTGGTCAGATAAAACTAGACACGAATACAACATTATGGGTTGATGACAAGGAGTATGTGCCGCGAACATTTCTACAAACTCTTGCCAACACTCAGGTAACACTGGATATTTGTTTAGGTTCCCCAAAAGTGTGTGTACCAATATGAAGGTAACTAATTTTGTTCCCCTATTTTACATCAAGTTGTGTAAAGGGACTGAAACCCATGGGCAATGGATATATATTCACTGACTAACACAGACAGTCCCCGGACTCGTAATAGAACTAAAATAAGGAAAATCGGAATAAAATTATGGCCTAACCCTAACCTGCTACACAAACTACGGGAGTACCACTGTTTGTATATTTATGCACAATCTGCTTCAAACAAGTCTCTGCACAAGCAACTGATATGTGAAGAGCTATTTGATTATAAAACAGCAGGAATCTTTTCTTTTCGGCTTTGATCACACCCTGGGTGAGTTGTTGGGCTTGTGATTTTAACGAGTCTAACGATTTGACCATTAAGCCACTACAGCCACAAACAACTTTTTTTTGCTTGAGAATCATTTGTGGGTTGAGAAAATATACTATTTCTGCAATAAAATGTGATCTATTAGTCTAGACATGACCATTATATGCAGAGCCTGGCATTCCTTCCCTGTCCATAATTTCACCTATACCAGAAGTCGAAACTTCAAAACATTGTGAGAAATGTGGGTTTTTATCTTGTTTGTCAGGAGCCCCATTCAAAATTTTCTTAGCTCAGACATAAACAGAAGTTTTACACTTGACAGTCTTGTACCTAAAGTTTCTTAAAATCTTGTTTTCTCTGATAGGAACCATACCTGCCACCGAACCCATGGAAATATTCCTACCATGCTCAATCCTTTGCAAAGTCTAAACGACCAAAAACCCATCTTACAAAGAGAAGCAAAATCATGACAGCCGTTGCATGAAGATTATTGCTAAATAAACACATCTTGTGCCATATTTTGTTACTGCACTTTTGTACTAATTTTTGCATAAAGCAAGCAATCTATTTTTTTTTCTTTAATTGTTTTTGCTATCCAATTCTTACCACCTGCACTACTAAGATTTTACCTAATAATAATACCACGCTCGATGTTCTTTAATATCTTTTTTTTTTTTCGAGGCAATGAACGTCATTATTGCAAAATAAACCATTCTATAAAGAATAACATGAAAATATTCAATGAAAGCAAACCCGGAAAGCAAAAAAACTTAAGAATATAGTGTGCAGAAAGCTACTAAAAACGTGTCTCTATACTCATAAAGGTAGTGCTAGTTGTTGGCAGTTTGAAATATATTAGTATTAAGCTGCAAATAACTATAAATGCTGGCTTTCCGTTCCATAGATACTGATAAGTCATAGGTTCCTATCAAAAGGATTTGATAATAAAAAAAATTAGGCACATATAAGGTCTTCTGAGAATAATATCTCATTCAAGCATCATTGTGGCAATGTAGATTTGGGTAATAAACAAGAAGAACAAAAATCATATGCAATACCCTAGTACACCTCAATTGTAGCTTGAGTGGTCAGGGCACAAATGTTTTAATTTGTGTAGAAAGTTCCAATCTTAATTGGCTGTAATACGTTCAAGAAAAAACTACTCAGCCTTTTTATGTAGTCTATTTGATTTTGACTGTAAATGATACACTATAGAGAAATAACAGAAATAAATCAAGCATTTTCGCCAAATAAAATAGATGAAAAAGCATCGAAACAAGATTTATATTGCATTATTTCATTCCCTAATTGTCTCAGTTTTGCAAAAGCACATCTGTGGACTTTCGATTTCTTGTTTCTGTATTGCACCTGGAAAATAGTGATATATAACATTTATCTTTGTAAGTTGAAACTTGTTGACATAATGCTTCAAACATAACATATAGCTTATTGTTCAGCATATAGTGAAAAATGTGCTACACAAGCCAGATCTGTGGACTTCGGACACTTTGAAATCATGATTCTACCACATATTACTATCGGTACATTCTAGCAGACAAAATTCAAAACTCAAAAGATTTTTTAATTGATTCCTTGTATAATGTCATTTTTGTAAAACGAAAAAATATAAATCCCCTTCTTACCTCTTTATAAAACTTATCGTTAAGATAATGCAGCCAAAAAATATTGTTTTTAGGTTCAAACGTAGACCAATTATTTTTCGTTGCGTTTTTCATCATTCGATAAATTTCAAACTGATAATCTTCATCAGAATTAAGAGTAAACAAATCAGGATCAGCAGCCAGATTCTGAAACACTGTCACTCCACCTAGAACAGTTATTGACATATTATGATACAAAATATGTGGAAACAACATTGACACTGACAGCACAGATTAGAGGTTCTAAAATTGAGAGTAAATTTGCTCTTTGGGGCTTTATTTCACCTGCGTTTAAGATCAGTTTTAAAAGCAAGAAAATACATGACCAAATGTGGCTGTTGGCCACGCAGAGAAGAATGCAAAGTACTCTCTTGCTCAATTGATGTTTATTAAATAAGCTCCAACTGCGCAATAATGAAACAAAATTCCATATTGCAAAGCAAGTCAAATTACTTACTACTCAGTGTCCTGCAACCGTTATATTGAGATTATTATACATTATGATAGGGTTTCCCCAACTGGGGTCTGCGATGATTGCACAGGGGGTTCGCAGCAATATGAAAAGAGTATGATAAATCTTTAATGACTGTTTTTAATCAAAAAGCCACTGCATCTTTTCCGGTTGAGCGTTGCAGACGAATACTCATTGCTGTCACAAAAGGCAATTAGAATTTGATTGCTTTTGCAGCGATTTACATGTGTGAGGCAGCATTTCAAGCTCTTACTAATATGATAACAAAATACAGGTATAGAGTTGCTGTAGTCGGACCTACGAGTTTGCTTGTCACAAATTGATCCGAGAATTGATAAATTGTGCTGTGGAAAGCAACCTCATCTTTCACATTAATGTCGTTTGTGATGTAAAAGAAACGTTGGGGGTCCGTCAAAATGAAGATTCACATACAGGGGTTCGCGACCCAAAAAGTTTGAAAAAACTTGCTTTATGATATAATTCAATTCCATTGGTATGCGCTGCATACTGATTAGTAACTCACCAAAGTGAGGAAGTTGTAATGTATGATGAATGTTGCTCGCAGTTTGCAGGGTAGCTGTTAATTGACGTATTGAGTGGTACTGTTTAAGCTGCATTTAAGGTGTGGTACATGCTTGACTGTTGCATGTTATACTGCTGCGATGCCGATGTTATATGATTAAAGCATATCAAAACTTAGCAATACTGTGTACTGTGTAGTCTTTACCAGTGATATATCGTATACAGGTACATACAAATAGCATGCCCAACATCTTATTTAGCCATTCACAGATGGGTGACAACTACATACTCACCCTTTGATAATCTTGATAGAGTAAAATCAATAATGCTTGCTTTTACTCCATTTGTTTTTATTGTGTAAGCTTTCGAATCGATGTTTGTAGTTACAGTTTTTGAAGTTGTAGGAGTGACAAGAATATTTCCCCAATGTAGATCACGATGTTCAAATTCTAAAGATTTTTCAGCGACTGCTAATGCGGCACATACTTGTTGAAGAACAGAATAAGCCTAAATATGAAAAAAATTATTAAAAGATGTTGTATTGAAATGCCCTATGGTTCCACATAGGGGAATTTTATTTATAAACAGAAATTTTTATATATATACGCTTAGTTTACTTGAAGCTTTTTGAGTCTCGGTTAGATATTTCGACTACGATTATCGTCTGGAATACAGACTATTTTCAAACTTTACTTAGTGGAGGCCAAATTCTTCATCTCATTAGAGTATGAAAATATGATTTCAGTTCGACTTATATTATTGAAAAAATGCCGAACTCGACTCTACATCGCTGCATTCTACAAAGACCGCTAAACAATTTTATAGAAATGAATTGCTAATCAGTTTAAACTTACCTGATTGGCTGATCTGAAAACGAAGTGTTCGACATCTGCACCACCATCAGCAAATTGAAATATAAGATAAAGTTGATCGTTACTGAAGTTATCAGGTTTATCATTTTCGGACGTTCTTTCTTCATCATAAACATCCCAGGCTTCAAGCAGAAACTGTGGATAGCTTCCTTTTACACAAGTAACTCTGCAAAAAAAATTAATATCATATCATTTTATAATCATGTCATTTTATAATCAAAGATAATATTTGTGAGTATGATGATCTATCACAATGGTTCCCAACTGGAGGGCTATAGAGCAGTTGGAGGGGGCCACAATGCTAGGTGCAGAACTGACTTTACTCTTCACTTTACAAAAAAACACCTCATTCTTTCTAGTTCCATTGCATGATAAGGTTATTTCACAGGATGTTTTAACTTTGTTGAGCAGAAATTGCTCGAACACAATGGGATTTGGGTAGGGCTGGGCATTTTCGAATACCTTGTGATTTCAGAATCGAATCGAATAATTTTTTCGAATCGAATCTCGAATACATGAAAATATAAAATTGTAAGCGACTTTATCATAGTAATTGGTCCTATCAACAAATGAATTACTGAAGACATAGAATAAATCACTCAGATAGATTACTGAGCGTTCACACAGAATAACAAACACGTTTTATCAATAACTCACTACAGAAAATAGTCATATGTTAGAATTTCGTTGAAAAAATATGACTTCAATGAAAAAAATATTGGGGAATTCACCTCGACCATTAGCGGAAAGATAAAAACAAAATGGCGGCGATTCGAAATTCCAGTCTGAACCGATTCGAATAATTTACTATTCGATTCGAATATTCGATTCGAAATGCCCAGCCCTAGATTTGGGAATACCACTTGAATGATAAACAAACATACCATGAGTGTTAAAAGCTCCTGGAAGGGGCCACGAGCCGTAAAACATGCCACTGGCCACTGATCTATCAGGTACTTGAATGTGTGGGCATCACAGGTTCAAACCTCAAGCCCATGGTGTCATAAATTGGGTAAGCAAAAAGCAATTCCGAACTAGAAAGATTCCATCCAAAAATAGTCGCTTCTTACATACCTTTATCGGTGGCTGCGCAAAAGCGTAAATGTATGTCGTATGAAAAATATGGCAAATTCAAAAGTCAAGTTTACTTGTATAATTCAATAAAACCATCTGTGACATTTACGACTCCTTCTCGTAGCGCGTGAAGTTCTTTTGAACTTATAATTTCAGGTAATATTTCTTCAAATGTTTTCTGTTTCTCATTGTTGATAATCAGTGATCCTTCTATCGGTATGATCTGCAATAACACACAACTCATAAACAAGAATATGCAGAAGATCTGATCATTCAAAAGTTTCAGATCAAGTAGAATCGCCATAGCAATGAGATAACAGTATCAGAGATCATATGAGAAACAGTAAAACCCAAGCAGTAAGCTCGATAAAATTCCGGCCTGGTATTCAAGCCTCACTTCAATCAGTATTCAATTACACCTAACCGTATATCACGCGTATAAGCTGACCCCCTAAAAACAGCCCTAAAGCAGTGAATTCATAAAAATTCGCATACAAGCCGACCGTACAAATCGTAACACGCCATAACTTACCTTTATTGCAACTGGATCAGTTCTGCTTTCATATTTACATCTGAAAACTTCACCATATAATCCTTCGCCTAATTTTGTGCATGATTCAATTACTACACCTTGTAATGCTTCTTCAAATGATATAGGTTCTGTCTGTTCACATTCATATAAGACTTTTTCTTTTGCGGTTAGTATTCTTCCATCATTAGAAATAGCACGCTTTGGCGTGAGTGCGTCCTGTAAGTAAAATATTTTACAATAAGTGGAGTTGTTCATTTTCATGTTTTTTCTATGCCTTTGGTGGAACATTCTCTGGCAAAAGTCTTCAGTAATAAGCAAAATGACACTTCATATAAAAAGTGTTTGCGACCTTCGCTGGTACATAAGACTGTTCAGAATGCCATTTCCAAATCTCTAAACAAAGAATCACTTATATATTAGGAAAGGATATGCTTCGAAATATTTCAGTGTGATATACCCACTTCATTCTATACCGGGTGATGCAGTTTTAAAAAAAAATTTTTGCAAAACTGTATTATATGGAACAAAATTCTGTTTTTGCAGAATCAATTTACTCTTTTACACCTCGTATCACTTGCAGCAATATTACAATAAATTACACACTTACGCAAGTTGGTCGTTGCCAAAACTGCTTTGTTGATCTTAGGTACTTGAGATGGCAAGGCATTTTTGTATAGAATAGCTCAGAGCAAGTTTACAAGGACAACAAATTTAATAATATAAAGGGATTCAAATTGAATTGTGATGTCATAAGGATAATTACAAAGTACATTTGTAGTACAAAATATGTACAAAAGTTGTCATTAGAATATTTTTCCAAATACAATGCAGATTTTGAGCTATTTTAGTTAGAAAATTGAATTGCAAGTCCCACTGAACACAGACTCAATTTGAAAATGAATGTTGTTCATTGAAGATAATTTTCTAAACAAGTTGTGTTTACTCCAATTCCAAAATCATTTAAACAAATACCAAAATGAATTTTAAGTTATTAAAAATACTTACAACAAATCCGAGAGATTTTAGTCGTATGCTTCCACCAGATGATATTACATGTTGCATAAAACTATTTCGCATCGGCGTAACACAAACTTGAAGATTCTGTGTTGAGTGACTAAAGAAATAAAAGGACAAAGAAAGAACTGATAATGACTTTGTAAAGCAAAAAGCATAATATTTTATAAGAATCAAATATATTCTAATAAAAAATAGACACTGCTATTTATAAAAATATAAAAACTAAAAATTTACATGACATGTTAAATCCAGTAACTTTGGTTAAAACTTTGGAAATACAACAATTGTTATCTTATTTATTCCATATACAGATTTCACCGTTCAAGTCACAGGAAAATAGAATAAATTCTGAAGGTGTTCAAGATTTTCACTCTTTTATATCATACATATGAGTTCCGCTTCCATGAAATCGCATTTCGGCTGATGTTTCATTGTAATAGGTGGTGGCAATACCGAAAAACCTCAACAGCTATAATAGAGCCATAGCCCAAGCTCTAGGGTAGAAAAAGGCCACAGTTAGAGCAAGAAAATGATGCATAGCCTACCTTGATTTACTCCGTGTTTTCATCAAAGATGAAGAGTCCTGCTCGATTTCATTTTTTTCAGAATTTTGTTCTTCAATGATTAATGAGGTTAAATTGAGTTTGATTGAGTCTAGGGTACGCCTTCGTTCTTCTAAAATAATATTCATTGTTGTATCATGTATGAGATTGCATGTTAGAAAATAGTTATTTACATCATTCAAATGGGATGATGTGGAAACATTCGTGACTGACCAACAATTATATATGAGAAGTGTGATTTCAAATAAATTCAAAATATGAGTGAAAATGATCATCTCACTGCGAAAAAATGATGGAAAATTTTTCCCATTTGACAGAGAAGGAAGTAATACCATTTGATATTTTTAATCAGATTTTCATTGAACTACGGCCTCGATTGTTCGACCTGGCGTTATCGTACTAGTCATGATGCTTCAAATTTCATGTCCATAATTTTTGAGGTTTGTTCTCTAATTTGTTTATCCTAGTTACCATCCAGCTTACCTGACATTAAATCACAGTTATATCTGAAGTCAACTTTTATAATTGAAGAAGATAAATGACTGCCTGGTGATCTTGCTCTATGAGGAGTACGAGTCGTGCTTTTCTCATTCTTTTTACGTTTGACAACTTGAGACAATTTTCTCATCCTTGAGTATGAATTACAAGCATCTGGAGAAGACATACAATTGGGAGTACTTTGATGTCTTAGGTGAGAAATTCGAGGATGAATGACATGACCTAACTGGCGTTGAGGTAGGTCGACAGGTGAGAGGTCACTTGCATTATCTCCCGTCTCTGGCAACATATTCGGAATTGGTGAAAAAGACGTTATGATTGGACTTGCCACTGAAGAAGGTAGGGATATATTTCCAAGTTTTGGTGTTGTCCCATGTTCGATATTTGTTATTGGTCCATGCACAGATACAGAATTGAATAAAGGTATGCTGGGTTTGTTTAAGCCTGGCGATCTTGAAACAATGGGCGTCGACATACGCTTTGCGACACCGGCATTTGTATTTACATTTTCGTCATCTGAAAGAATATTGCCGTGGTTTTCATCATCACTATTGCTTTTGTTGATTGTTGAAAACGCGTGTAAAGGCACAGTTATTGAAGTTGAGTGGTTCTCTGTAGTACGATGTAAAGTAGAAAATAATGAACTGCTGTCGGAAGATATTACTGGAGCTGTTTTTTTACCCCGACGTTTATTATCAACATGCCTTCGATCGCAAATATAGTCATTTATCATCGTAGAATCTTTTTGCGGTTTTTCAACGTTACTCATTTTAGACGGTGCAAAGTCACCATGTGTGTCATCAGTCAAATTGGTGATTTCCGTAGAGACAAAAGAATTTTGCTCAGAGTGATTTAAATGGATTGGTTTGTCTTCCATTTCAGTACTAAAATTTTTTGATGATTTTCTGAGATTCTTTCCAAAACCATTAAACGTTCTCTTATTACTTCTATATACAGCGTTCCCAAATTGTGATAAATCTTTATAATTGATGGGTTTAGTATTTCTACAACTTTTTCTTGGAGGTTCCATACTTTTTTTTAGTTCAGCAGTACCTTTTGAATTGATGACATTTTTAGGTTCTTTGGTATCATGCATTGTTTCAGATAGTTTTTTAGATTTTTCTGTACTTGAGTTAAAACTCAAAGATGAAAAAAGAGAGCCACTGTCAGATAATGCTAAATCATTCGGGCATATTGGTTTTCGACGTCTTTCCTCAATGTGTTGAAGATGTTGTGCATCAAAATTCGAATCACTTTTCGATTCATCCAAATCTTTTTCTTTGGTTGTAGCTTTTGTAGTCTTATTTGTCAAAATTTCAGAATCAATCCCATCATCTTCGATCGTAGGTGATTTTGAAGCTGAAGAACTTTTCTCTAAAGTAGTTGGTTTGTACACTGTCGTAAAACTTTTCAACAAGCATTTATAATCAATTATTCTTTTATTTCTTGAACTTCTTCGACAAATCTGCTCAATTTCAGGATCTTCTTGAGTATTTGAAGTTTCAATTTTTTTATCACGATTATTTACCAACGCTGGCTTGAAACCAGTTTTTGCAATTTCTTGTAAAAGCGATGACTCAATACAAATATTTTTTTGTCTCGTGGTTACCCTGCTTCTAGGATAGGGTTTTGTCTCAGTCTTCTTACTCTGTGTCTTATTAGTAAATTGTGCATGTCTTGGCAGATCGGCAGTGGCGCCGTGAACTGACTTTTTATCATCTTTCGATTGAGTAGTACATTTATCAGAAGCAGGTTTTTTCCTCACTTTCTTTGGTGGTTTGTCAGAGTTTTTCGTAACAATCTTTTTTATTAATTTTTTTGAATCATCAGATTGTTTTGCTAAAGGTTTTGAAGAAGTAAGTTTAACTCTTATTGAGTCCTCAGACTTACTATCAACAAAATAAGCATCATCTGAATTGTCTAAAAAATTATATTTTGGGTCGACCGTAGCACCAATCATAATTTGATGATGAATACTATCATTATTAGATTTTCCTATTTTTGACAACTTACAAAACGAACTGCCACCATTTTTCTTCCAAACAGGTACTCTTTTTGGTTTACGCTTAGTTTGCACTGGTGCTCTTTTGGCTGCAACTTTTTTATTTTTCACTGTGGTGGGAGCAACTTTTAAGGCAGTACTATTTTTAGACATTACTTTATTATCAGGTTGAGTACCCCTAGACTGAACACAGTCGACAGTTTGCTTCTTCTGTTTCGAATTTTTCGGATCATTTTTGCAATTTTGATCGTCTTTCTCAACTTCTTTTTGTATATTAGCTTTTAACAACCTATGTGAAGGTTTATTATGTAGTGGAGTACTTTGAGCAATCATTGGTTGATTGTTACTCAGGCTCCACCCTTGGTTATGTACGGAGAAGCCGCTGGGTATAGGAACGTTCTCATCATCCATTTCAATATTTGCAGCGTGATACATCACAGTGCTATTGAAGCTAACTCTGTGTTTCGAACAAGAGGAAATGTTGTTATCTTCTAAAGATTGCCTTGAGGAATTTATGGAATGTATTATTGGATCTTTTAAAATTGATTTCAGAATATTATCTTTTTGCCTTTCATTCCGATCATTTCCTACATTGTTTGACCTTTGACTCTCAATCACTTGGGGCGAAGCTAGTGTCGAATTGTTTTGCTCTGTGAATATAGTAGACATGACAGGTGCATTAGTAAACATATCTAAGGATTGTTCATCAGTTTTATTAAGAGACAGGCCATTTGTCACTCTGGATTTTGTATCAAATTGTTGTAAATTTGTATTTTGTATACTATCTGTGACTTTTTCTGAAGATGCTTCCGTAAGAAACTGTTCCGAACTAATTGGGTATTCATTATTTGTAGTTATAATTTCCTTTTCTGTGTCAAAATTTGGTTTTGCATTTTCCTCATTTTCAGAACTTTTCTTGTATTCATTCGCCAAATTTTTTTCTTTCCCAGCCTTTTCCGGCTTTGGAACCTTTCTCATAGCCTTCTTATTATTTCTTTTAGATGTTACTTTTGATTTTGTATTATTATTTGGTTTTACGTTTTGTTTTGTGGTCAAACATTTTCGTCTCTTCTTAACAGGTACTTTGAAGTCATCATCATCACTGTCGGAGTCGAATAAATTATTCTGAACCCTGGAACAAGAATGTGTAAAAACCATATTTATTATCTAAAAGCTAAATAGTTCGTATCAAAATTTTGATTCCAAGAAATCAATTAAACTTTCCTTACTAGCAGACAGAGATTCACAAACTTTTCAAACTCTCAACACCAACTTTCTGTAATATGACACATTGATAAGATAATTTGACTTCATTAACATTAAATTAGATCAAGAAAAGACTTTATAGCAGGAACTCTCAAACTGGACCTTGGGTGCCCAAGTGGGCCATGACTCATGAGAAAAGACTTTCACCAAATAGGCTACTATTCATCATGGTCACGTGAAAATAGACTATGATTTGTTTATTTCTTTGACTGTAATGCCAATGCATTAATTATTTTATTTGTTGGCTTTTTGATATTAAACATAATAAAAACAAATTTAAAAAACATGCGTTAATCGATGGGGTATGTGAGCTTGTTATATTACAAAGCATGGTCTAAGTAGTATAGTAGTTTCCCCGACCCTTGACCCAAGAAAAATTCTTCCCATACTGTACTATTGCAAACATTTGGATACTTATTTTGCAAGTGTTTTGGAGAGTTGACACTTAATAACTGAGTTACATGCTCAAAACCATTATTTTAATTTTACCATGTGCCAATTACGCGTACTAATAGCTAATTTTAACGCAGTCTAGGGCAGGGGTTCTCAAACTTTTGGTGTTGCGGAGCCCTTGAAAAGGTTGACTATTATTCACGGAGCCCCAAAAGAAATGTTAAAATTGTTACTTTCAGATTAATATTCCTGAGCAAGTTAAAAGTACTTTACCTAATTTAAATGCTGAACCTTTTTAATAGGGTTAATACAAGTCATAATTATTTCTAAATTTTAAACATAAAGTATATATACGAAAGCTGTAAATCTGACACTTGACAAACATATGAATAAACTAGGGGTCGAATCTTTTACCTTTTGACATTTTTAGAAGACTTGAAAGGCCGCTTATAACGTGCGCCATTGTATTTTGTTACAATCGCCAATTTTTTTTGTCAGCATGGCATGTTTTTGAACCTTTAAACCTCGTTACGCCGGTGTTTATTCTCCCTAAATCAAAAATTTCTCTCGGCATATACGAGTACATGTATTGTCACACAACGAGTACATGTATTGTTACACAATGACGACGTTAATTGCTTTTTTGTTCTTGTGGGGAATTATGAGTTCAATGTGAAAAACATGTCACCATATTATAGTCATCGGCGACGAAATGCTAAAAATAATAATTAATAAAAAGGTAAATCCGCAACTCAAATTTCTTGATTGCGAAGCGGCATTCTAAAATATTAAAACTAAAAATTAAAATGGAAGATCACACGTTTGGTTTCAGCAGACTCACCTCAGATTGAAAACGCTTTTATAGACATTGTAAATCACAAAATTTGGTGTTGTGTTAGGTTTCCTTCGTAGTGACTGCGAAATCGAAACACAGTCAATTGTGCGCGCGATGTACCTTTCTTCCCATTCTGAAACTACCGACAGAGCCGCACGCAATCAATTGTGCGCGCGATCCGCGATGTACCTTTTTTTTCATTCTGAAACTACCGACGGAGCCGAATGCAATAAAATAAATTTCAATTGTTCGTATTTTGCCCAGACATTAAGATTTTTAAAACGGCGATATCTTGCTCAAAAATAATCTTAAGTGCGAAAGAACAAATCAAGTTTGACAAATCCCAAGATCGCAAAAATACGACTCCAATTTATTTATAGTTGGCAGTTTATCACATATTTTATGTTATTTTAGAATAGTATTATTCCATTTTAGTAATCCTAATAGTAATCTCGAATCAAACGTGAGTAAGAAATCTCGCAACACAACAGAAATCTCGTTATCCCTTTATTTAATCGCGAAGAATGAAGAATTTCCGATTCCAATTTTGAACCAACTCTCTCTTAAGAATCCTGGCCGCGCTTCTGCTTATGAATAATGTCAATTTTTAATTCCGCCTCTTTGCCATATTTCGAGGTTATATTGTTGTCAGATTTTATCAAAGCTGTTATTGCTTCTTTGAACAGTTACAAAATTAGTCAGTATTTTTAAAAGTAATCCAATAGCTCGCGGAGCCCCTGGGTTTCTCTCGCGGAGCCCCAGGGCTTCGGAGCACTTTGAGAACCTATGGTCTAGGGGTTCTTAAACTTTTTGAGCCGCGCCCCCCTTTGAAAAATTTTACAAACTTCGCGCCCCCCCTATTTTTGCTTTGAAAAAATGCTTTTGTGATGGGCAGGTTGCTATATATTAAGATGGCGCTATAAGAGTGTTGGTCTCATAGCGTCATCGCTCAGATTGTTTAGGCATGAAACGCTTCGGAGTAAAACTTTGCCATTCACTGTCGTATGTATAAAGCCAAATAATGGTTGGTCATCATACATTCTCGTTTTTCCCCTCAGTTTGCAATACCTGGTAAAGTCAAACTAATTTTTAGGTAAAACTAAACACGCAATAAACATATGCTTTAATGTATTTTCTGCTTAAACGTTTACATTAGACACGTAAAATTTCAATCAATTGTTTACTTCATCACTATTGAGCGATGCCAAAATTATATACTGTGTGTTAAAAAATAAGCAACAATTACAGACTTCTGCGCTTGCCTAACATTTCAAACAAAATGGAGAAGTACAAATTAATTTATGTAAAATTAAAAGCCGTTCATTTTTTAATAGTTATTATGCATGTGGTCGTTTCCTCGGCCCTTGACCGCTGAAAAATAAAGTCACTAAAGCGTTTGCGATTGCATTTGGTTTAAATCTCGATTGTTTTCGTAAGCGTGGCCTGCTATGCCGTAAAGATCTTGATTTTGGTGTTTATTCTCCCTAAATCAGAAATTTCCCTCGACATATTCTTGTGTCGCGAAGACGCTTATAATTACTTTTTTTTGCTTTCGAATAGAACCATGACACCTCTGAAGAAAACGAGTTAGTTTTTATTATATAACCATCAGCGACGAGATGCTAAAGATAGAATAAAGTAGTGAATCTGCAACCAAATATTTCTTTATTGTAAAAGCGAGATTATAAAATACTAAAAATAAAACGAAAAACATCATGAGTTTTGTTTTGGGGTGGACCGCGACAGATTAAAAACACTTTCTTAGACATTGCAAATCTTATAAATTCCTTGTGCCTGCGACGACCGACTTGAAATAAATTTTACTCTGTGGGATTTTATAGCAGACTGAGGAATTCTTGTAACGGTGTTAAAATTAATCGAGCATTGCGATAGAGCGGAGTACGTGTTGCAGAGACAGCTCATAATGGTGAAATTGGCAAGAATACAAATCAAAACAAAGTGTAATCGGGCACTTTGCCACACATTTTTATGGTTGCGGATTACCGTAGTATTTTGGAGTAGTGGTGCTACGCAATCGCAGATTTAATTTATCACAATCAAATGAATAAAACAACCATTTTAAATGAATATTTCATTCAACACGAAAACCATTACATATCCGTTGACAAAGTCGGCTCTTCATTACATCACTCCATGCGGCTCCTCCTGACGAGGTCAGGAGCCGTTACATGTAAATTTCTGATTCCATCTTGTGACTTCTCGCGCCCCCCCCCCCCCCCCCTGTGAGCATTTCGCGCCCCCAGTTTAAGAACCCCTGACCTAGTCTAACGCAGCTTTTCCTAGACTAGTTTTTGATTATTGCAATTGAGGTAAAGCTCTACGGGAGACATAATGGCAATTAAAATACTTCATTTACAACTAAATTTTGGAAACAACTAGGGATGGGCAATGTAGAATAATTTACTATTCTAGAATAGTTAAATCGAATTCAGAATACCGAATCCTATTCTATTTTCATACTTATTCAAATAGTGGGAATTTCTACATTGCTGGATTTAGATGGTAAAAAATTGCAAATGTATTACTTACTATAAATGTGTTATCTATTTGGAAATGTCCTGAACATTGGACTTCATTTGATACTAAACAGGCAGTTCCCAGGACAATAAAATTTAGGAATTTTACAATATTTTTTGCCTTTAAGTGTTCCAAATGTATGTAATCCCTGAATACTGATATGCTAAATTAAGACACGCTTTACACACTGTAAATGTAATAGTAAGCGGTTAAATACAAAATAGACATGAAACGGCGGTAAATCATTATTAATGTAAGTCTACCGAGTATACTAAAACATACCCGCTGAGAATTAATTAGATGCTGAACCAGCGTGTGGCCACTGCAACCTATGCGCCGTTGTAAAATATTAAATTTAACCACTATCAATTAAAATCAACCTTTTATTCTGTGAGAGCAAGACACGTAAAACCAAGTTCCCGTAAACGCGATTTCGTACTTAGTTATTAGGTAATAACATCTGAAGACGAACTCATTCCAGAACTCACCCAGACTTGGCCCTACTCAAATTCAATACGTCACTATCTTCGCCAGATGCGGCAACTTTTTTCAAAATTCATCGGCGACTAAAATTCTACAGACTTTCGATCAAACGTGCGTCTATCTTGAACGATAGAAATGTTATCATTATCTACCCAGACTTAGCCCTACTCAAATTCAATACGTCACTATCTTCGCCAGATGCTGCAACTTTTTTCAAAATTTATCGGCGACCAAAATACTACAGACACTCGATCAAACGTGCGTCTATCTTGAACGATAGAAATGTTATCATTAATCATTATCTACCCAGACTTAGCCCTACTCAAATTCAATACGTCACTATCTTCGCCAGATGCAGCAACTTTTTTCAAAATTTATCGGCGACTAAAATACTACAGACACACGATCAAACGTGCGTCTATCTTGAACGATAGAGACGGACCGAAAAATATGTAATCTTTTGGGAGTGAAATTTAAATGTGACAGTTGTTCGCGTTTTGCGATATAACTTTGTATTTCGGAAAATGGTATAATAAAATTATTCGTAAATTATATTTGATATAAGTTAATGTTATAACATTTAACGCCTGGCTTTTGGTTTACGTGCATCATTTTTTTGGGAAAACTCGTAGGTCGCGAAAAATCATTTAATTTGAAATGAGGCAAGGCACGTCTGTAAACAATTAAAGATTGTTGCATTCAGATTATCGGAATATCACCAGTAAGTCGGCACAAATAACGCTAGCTAGATAGCAAAGAGGAAAACGCAAAAATGGTGCAATAACGAGTCCTCGCCGTGAGGTTATATTACCGACTTCTTGTCCTGAATATGCCGATTGAAATGAGAGTGTTTGATGTTTACCGATTTACGGGTTCTTTGCGAGCAGACGCAAGTTTAATTAAACGAAAGAGATTTCCACGCGAGAAAAACGCTCGTCTATAATTGATAAATTAGAGACCCGAAATACAAAAATTGACGCATGGCGCCGGAGAGGCGGAAACCGAATCCTGTTATCGGATCCCGTTGGATTCAAATACTTTGGGATTCGAATCCTCCGGATTCGGTATTCTATATTGCCCATCCCTAGAAACAACTGAAAAATGACAAATAACTCGCAAAATTGCGAAAACGAGGCAATGTTTCACTTTCAACCAAGCTTGAATTCTGTCTGAGCGAACAAAGTGTCTGAGCGGTTGCAAAAAGCACAATTATTACTTCATCATTGACCTTTTGATGATTGGTCATTGTTAGAGAACTAAACAAGGAAATTGATGCTCGAGGAAACATTCATTATTTATAACTTACTTATTAGCTTCAGGAGCTGCAAGATTCATAGTTGAAAATGAATTTGAATCGTCAGAAAATATATCCTTCTTTTTTCTACCACCTATTGAATCATCTGGCGGTAACCAATTTGAACATGGCTGCAAAAATAATATTAAAAGCTAGAATTAAGCAGCGTAGCTCCATTAAGCAGGGATGTAATGCAGAAACTGTATTTGGATATAAACAGAGTATAAAAAAATCTATTGTTGGGTGGACTTCAGATATTCATCAAACAATAACTGAAAATCTATGTTTGTAGTAAAATAGTTTGAAAAAACAAACTCCGATTAGATATTTTTTTGATTATTAGATATTAATTTGTCAATGGAACGAGGAGAGTTATCTAATTAGACACTAGATGCATTTGGACAGAAGCAATCAGACTGTCTCATAGAGAAGAAATTAGTATTTATTGTTACCATTTATGTCTTCAAACATTGAATATGGACTAATATTTGCAATGCTCTTACACAATTTGACAACTTCGGCCACACTTACAATATCTTGAAGAAATCGAATTTGAACTTTTCCATAAGTAGCTATTGATCGATTGAGTGTTGAGCTTGTATTCAATGTTGAATTCAAACCTTTTCTTTTCACAGCAGGTTTCTTCATTTTGATTACATATATCCTTGTATTGCAGACAACTTATTGACTTACATTTATCTACAAAAAGTAATACTTCTGTTTAATGAAAACAAAAACAATATTAAAAATCAAAAAATAAAATAAAGCAATATTCGTTTTACAGTTTTAGATTATCAGTCAGTCAGTGTTTAAGATCACTGAAAAAAATAAATAAATTACAGAAATGGATTTCCACAGCTTAGATGAGTTGACACGTTATGTTCAGAAATAGGAGAGTAAAGCGCAGATTGTCAAATAATGAAAAAAAAATTGATGTTATGTTACAACTAAATACAGTAGTCTAATTCAGATTCTAGCCTACGTAAAAATATTAGACTGACGCTAAAAAAGAAAAACCGTTAGGCTAGGCTATGTCTGAAACGGCAGACCGGTACCTATGTCTTGTTCCAGTATCGGACGGTATGGTACCTCACAGACAGGCAGACGATAACATGCCCACCCAATTCAGTAACTCCAGAGTTTTGCGGCCCCTCGTCAATTGCGGAAATATTGTACAGTCTATTTGTTTATTGAAAATGTCAGCAAACAGAACAGACGACATGTAAACGAATTATTCTGTAATTTAAGCTGATTCCATCTAAATGTCAGATCGTAGGAATAGGATTTACATATTTATCCCGAGGGAGAGGAAAGCCGATAAGACGGCTTAACGATATGGCGAACCACGACGTCGGGTACCGGTATGTGATTAGTTAGTTTTCAATTATCAATTCAATCGTGCCAGTGAATGAATAAAAAGTCGTGGTTTGGTTGTTTACGTTATTATTTCCTCTTCTATGGATACATGTACGGTCAAAATAGGTAGCTTAAGCTGCTCAGTGGTTAGCGCATCTGTGCTTACAATTCAAAAAAGCTCGTAATTCGCTATGTTATAGAAAAACTCTAACATAAACACAGCTAAAACAACTGAAGGGGGTTCCCCAGATTTTCCCTCTCCGCTTTCGAATGTTTTCGCTCTAACGATCGTTTTCTGTTATTTTAGTCACGCAATGACGCCAAAGAGCTCATTTTGTCTCAAACATTTGTACCAAATCACGAGTTTTTCATAAGTGGAATTATTTATTCATCACCATACGTAAATGAAACATAAATTAACAAAAAAAGTCATAGTCACAGATGGGGGGAGTCACAGAGAACTGCAAATGTTATCTAGCTGTGACACCCTATAGCAGGGCTACCCAACTATTTCCATCGAAGATCCGCATACAAAACTTCAAAATTATTTGGGTCCGGTCTTTCTAGAAATAATATTACGGCATCTTTATTTGCACACTTCCTCGACCGGTTAATGATTATTACCTAATCAAGATTGTTTATTATGGTGTTATAACTATTAAAGTCATTTTATGAAAGGTAAATTCAAAAGTGGGGCTATTGTTTCAAAATAAAAAATTAGGTGCGGTCCGAATCAAATACTCGAAAGGGTCGGATTCGGACCGCGGTCCGCTAGTTGAGTAGCCCTGCCCTATAGCACATTGCTGCTTGCAAAGGTGAAAAATATGTGTTGAAGAAATCGCTGGTTAAAAAAAGATAGTTAAGAAAAGACATATCGGGCATTTTTTAATGTCGAAATTGGACTCTTTTTCAAATAGGACACAACTAGAGACCAGAATTGCGTGTTTCTTCCCATTCAGCAATGAACGCAATAAAATGGACACGTAGTGGACATAGCGATCGTTTCAATATTATGTTGTTGTTGTTGTTGTTCTTGTTCTTTGACACGTTTTTAAAAAGTCGCTTTTCCCTTTGATTACTGGACCAATTGCTTTGAAATTTTCAGTGGTTAAAGATAAAAATTTTCTTCAGAAGGCTATTACTTTTTTTTGCTACGACGTCATCAAAATTATTGCCATTAGGTGGCCATATATGTCCATATATATTGCCATTCCGTGGCCATATATTTGAGCATAGCTCTCTTGTATTATTTCGAATGGAAGATAAAAAGGCTGCGGGAAAATCATACAACACCCATACGTTCTCCCATAAATTTACACGTTACGTATCAAATCACTTACACACATTAGCCATGAGAAATCGATTTTCGTTTCCTGAAAGAAAAAAAAATTACAAGCTTATTCATATGTTCTTTTGGATAAGTTCCTCAAACCAATCATTTATAATAGCGCCCTACCTTACATTTTAGACAATTTTGCTGCCTCATTTATTGTACAAATATTGCTTCAGATCTCAGATGTGTTTGGCACACTCATGCCCTTCATGTCTTATAATGGTTCAGCCTTTGTCTCTATCAAGTTACAGTGGAGAGTTATTTTTTCATTTCTTGGTTAATACTTTTAATATTTAATAATATCGCTCATTAATTCTTCTAAAATATCAGTGGGGATATTTTGGCTGTAAAAGCCACATCTATCATACATAACATATGTTCTGATGATCATCTTTTGCTTCATATTGTATATTAGTTGCCCCAGATGTGAATATTTGAAAATGTCATAATAATTACCTTTTTGAATTAGTCAAAAACTTTGATATCATTGTGTGCAAAAATGTATCAAGCATACAATTTCCCGAATTACACGATTGTTGTTTTAAAGCCGACTAATATAATTAGTGCAACTTAGTTTTCATAATTAGTGCAACTTAGTTATATATATATATCATGTTGACATCATTTATTATCATATTATTCCTACACGTTCAGGTTATATCGTGATTATCTTGAGATATCGTGATTATCTGTTTGCATTTATATTATTATTTGTTCCTAAAGTTAAATATATTATTGTAAATATATTACTGGTTTTAACTTTTTCATGAAGTCATCTTAAAATTTGAATCTTATTCATACAAGCGAAATAGGTGGGAGTTGACCGCATGGTCGTATCGCTCCCTCCTGTTCACACCAAAACAATTTTATTGTTGTTACTTTTTTACTGTATTGATGACTGCATTTTTGGTTGACAAAAAAAATAAATCCTCTCTCTCTCTCTAAGGCGAACCATAACCTCCCGTACCGGTCGAATGCGACAAGACTTGTGTCCATGAAGAAGCTAACGCCGTTGCTCCACTCAAGATATAATCTCATATGCACTCGTACCAGGGAATTGTAACGCCTGATCCTAATAAAAAGTTACCGAATGTAGCTTCTATAAACCGTTATAAATCGAAATACCAGTACCTTGTTCTCTAATTGTCAGCTCCGACGAAAACAAAAACAAGCTAAAAAAAATCAACAAATCTTTCAAAACACAAGCAAGTTTATTGCCTTGAATGAAATTACCTCTTACTTAAATAGCAATAAATTACCAAGTATATTTACACAAAAATGAACGAAAAAAATCAAGCAAAGAAATTCTATAACTATAATGAAGAAGAAAATAATCTAGAAGTAGAGTACGTTTGAACCCACACAGAGAAGATACTACGTTAATGCTAAAAAAAGAAATGGCTAAAACCGGCCTCGGCAAAATCGGCAATAATTAAAAATCAAATTAAACGGACTTTGTATGAAATTCATCATATGGTTTGAATAAAGTAGTCTATAGGGGGCGCTTTAATAAAAACATTACCCAAATGAAATTGATTTAAAAAATGACATTCAGGGTATTTTGTTCTCAAAATCACAAAAACGTTATTAGTGAAACGGCATGGTGGCTGAATTATACTGTATGTTGATAAAAATTACCACACGCTGTTATTTGAATAAAGTACCTTAAAATAGGTAAGTCATGTGACCTTATTCGAAACCATGACAAATGTTCAAGGCTCAATTGATCATTAAATGCATTTCAATTGCTGAAGCAATCATTTAAATACGGAAATATGAAAATTTACATTACTATACAAAAGCATTTGCAAAAGAACATGATAGCTAAAATGTTTCAAAGTAACTTCATGATTTTGAAGCAAAGATTCACATTATATGCTCTTATCTTCTTTTACTGAGCCACAAATCGGGTTTCGCAATAGTTATAAAAACATTTATTGTATTCCTATTAAACTTAACCAATTTTATTAAAAACTTGAGCAACACTCTCCATAAAAAAATGAAGAACGACAAAAATTCCACAACAAAAAAATGAATAAACTGAAAAATGCTGACCCTAAACAATATTTATTTGAAGATGATAGTAGAATTTGAATATGTTGAGTAGGAAGGGCAAAAAGCATTATGTATCCAGTTAAGGTAATAATCCGGGTGGCATGAGCTTATAGCATTGGGTAAACTTGTTATGGTAAGGAATATCGACATATATTACAATATACTGCAATAAATGTTATCTACCCATGCAAATTTGTAACTTATGATATTTTAAAGACGGCAATAACCCTTCATTGAACAAACACGGGCAAAAAATGCAGAGCAGAAAATATGCAAGAAAACTTAACGTTTAAATGATGACAAACAATATTTCGAATGGAAGAAAATAATATGCTGCGCTCTGTACAACAACAAAAATGGCATTCTAAAAATTTTAACTTAGTTTCACAATCTACAATAAGGCACTTACTTATTCATATGCTGAGATTTTTATATCTCAGTTTCATATTTTAAAAATATATAATAACTTGAATAACTTTGAAGATAAGAATTGTCGTAAAATAAAATCAATTGTAATTCACATGAATTCATTCATGTCAAATCCAAAATGAATTAAATAGATAAATTTTCAATGCATGGACACAGTAAATACCACATTCAGTTAGTTATCACAGTCAGTTTTATTTCATGCACATTTGAACGAATTTATATTCATAATATTTAAAACAGTTTGTTGTACATTGAAAACCTACTATAAAAACGTCAAACATTTTATATTAGTTCACTTTTTTTAGTAATTTTCTTGGCCAAGCTTTATGACCAAAATTGCATAAAAAGTTTTTATTAGTTTTTTTGAGTCACCCTAACTACACGCAGATACACAGCCACCTGAGATTATTTGGGTGCATAATACGCGAAAAACTTGACGAAACGTTATTTATGAAGATATTCAGCTGAAGTTTAGGATTTTAACAGTGGGGAAAACAACCACAAATTGAACAAACAATTGCAAAAAGAAAATCAAGGATCGTGCAAATGAATCGAGCTCTAAAATCACAGACTTCATGAGAGAGAATTGAAAAGCTGGAAAAATAAAAAACAGAGATTCGAAAGATGTTCGTTCTCGTTCAATTTAAATTGTTCTGTATTGTTTCACAGTCTCGGTATGTAATTTATTTATTTTTTGAAGATACAATACGAAAGAAACGTAAATAAATAAATGAAGAAAAAAAACTATAAATTCGCGAAGATATGTCATTTCTACAAAAACAACGAACTTGATAGAAAAAAGTACTATGATATCATATGCTTTTATGAAATGCCATCATCCGATCAAGTTCTGCCACACATGATGATATGGTAGTAAGAAAATCATGATCCTTCATACTTAGACAAGTATGATCGGTAATCAGTCAGCTGGTAGGAAAACATAATTATGAGAATTAATTATGAAAATTACAATTTTAACAACATTTTCAAAGATAACAGCAAAATTAACAAAAACGAACCAAAACTGTATTTCTTACTTGAAAAAGAGTACAAATTTGTCGTCGGTTGGATTCGTCAAAAATAAGAATGAGCAAGCAAACAGAATAGGCGAGAAGGGCAAAAAATTGCTTGGATACTACAAGCCATTAGAGTGAAAATTTACACACCAAAAAAAGGAGTCAACATACATATATACAAAGTGAGAAATTCAGATTCAATCTGACATCGACTTCAGTATATAACGGATTTCTGTCACAAATACATTAATTCTACAGAAGAAGATAGAGACAATGCATAAGTTTACAAGCAGAAATGTCCGAAAAACCAGTAAAGCTTGACTTTTATGATCCGACACCCTCAGTCACCATTGACGAGACAGGGGAAGAAGCAGCCGAGATCGGCCCTTGCGATGGAGCAGCAGAACTCAAGAAAGCAAACTTGGACAGCAAATGTCCTTGTTCGTTTTGAGGCACTGGTGAAGTTTCGCTGGAGTGTCCGTTTTCATTTTCAATATGTGGTGGAGATGGAGCTTGTTGTTCGGAGCTTTCGTATTGATTCTGCATGTTACGAAATGCTGCTAGCGTTTGCAAGCTTAGATTGTGGGCCATGCCTCCATCATCGATTCCGTTTTGGACTTGAGAGGCATTCAACAACCTTTGTTGCATGTTTCGAAATGCAGTCAAGTTTTGCATAATCAGATTGGTGTTACTGAAAAACAAAGCAAAAAAAATTATTTTTCGAATTTTTTTTAAACATTTTTTCAAAGCTCAATGCGAGAGTCAATTAGAACCTATAATGAACATTGTAAATAGTCTTATATTATCTACTTTCCTATACTTGTTATTGAATATATATGATGACTTACTAAAATTGGGAAGTGTCACATTTTTACACTTTCGCTCCAAGCACAGACTTTGGATAACTACCTATACTTTCGATAAATGCTAGTTACTGATATGTGCATACAAATGTACTGTTTTTCAATAGCCCTGAATTTGTCCAATTTGGCGTTAAGTAATTAATTTAAAACACTTTTGATGAGGAGACCTCTAATATGTCACCTCCAATAGTTTAAGAGCACCATACTGTTCATTGTGACTTAAAACCATCACTCGAGGACAGGCAGATATGTTTAATTTTTGTAAGGTGTCTAATTCTACAGCACATGGGCTAGGTAGTGAATATGGAATTAAAACCTAAGATCCAACATAGTTAATTCTAAGTGCTCCAAGATATAAATCTACTTACTCATTTGGAAGACTTGAAGTACGATGAAGCAATCCTCTCTTGTGTTTTTCAGCATGGAGTTCAATACCAGTAAGTCCAACAATAGTGTAGTTGCATCCTGGTTGCAAGCAGTGGAAATGTGACATGCTTCGACATCTGTACTTGCAATCTTCACGTCCACAATCATCTTTACCTCGAACTCGCTGAAATCCAGATTGTTCCAGAGCATCTGCTTTCATATGCTGACGTCTGTGGGTACCAACTTTGGCACTGTCTGTACATCTAGAAAATAAATATGTAAATAAAATTATTTGATTGAATACATGAAAGGGATAGGATCTGTGGCTTTTAAAAATGTACATCAAACATTTTTCTCTCTAAGCTTTAAACTTTGGATGGGCCATGTAAGATGACAATAATGTAAGAGACTACTAGCAAGAGCATTATTCAGAGCATCAAATGGGCGATCTCAAAAGGTTAGAGTTTTACGCTTTAGAAATTAGATATTCAACTTAAGCTCAACTGGGAAAATTAGTGTTGCAACTTTGGATTGGTAATGTCATATCATAAGGATAAAGAGTCTTATTCGGAGCAAACAGCTAAGAGAGATGAATATGGATTTATACAAATTAGAGAACTGTAAGTCAAAGGGTAGATAATGCTAATCTTTGGCTACTGAAAAATTAATATGAAGTATACAGATTACACTGAAAAATCGAAGTCTTTTATATCTAAACTCACTTGAAGTCACATCTCAAGCAATGGAAATGGGTATTTTTTGCCCTGAATTCACATTGTTCGTCCTCACATAATTGAGTGGCTTTAAATCTTTTGAAATCATCACGAACAAGTCCAGCTACGCGATCGTGATGTTGCTTATGCTTGAACATGTGAGAACGTCCAGTGAAACGGTAGTTGCAATTTTCACGAGTACAGTGATAATGTGACACCTGCAATGCAATGAAATATTGTAAAATGACAATAAGATAAAAAGAACCAATTAGTAAACATGGCAACTTGAGAATCTGTAGAAGCATCTGATATCAGATACAAAAGCAAAAGGTATATAATATAATATAACTGCTTAAATACAGCATGGACCAAGACTTACTAATATGAAATGGCTGATTTTTTTTTAATAAGGCAGCAGTACATAACCAGTGGAATGGCCAAAACAGGATAATTTACTATTCGGAATGCTTTATAAAAAAATATTTTTGAATATATTCTAATGTTCCAGGGAAATAACTCAGACAATTGTAAATTCATAGATTCAAACTAAATTTATTTCTTGCTTAAAATGAAAAATTTTCAGATCAAATTATTCTTTAATCAAGAAATTAACATATCAAATATGTACCCAATTTCAAATCTAGCAAGCAAAGGCAATAAATTTCAAAATTTGTCCCCAATGCCATACCAAATATTCGATTGTCAGTGACTGATTTTGATGGACAATCTTCTAATAATTCATTTGGTCATTACCTTGAAAGTATATGTGCATTTTTCATCTCCACAATTATCTGTTGCCTCAAATCTTTTGAAACCTTCCAATACTCCATCAGAAAGCTTAAATTTGGTGAAACACTGGCTTTCATTCGGGCTGATTTTGGCATTTGGAGACTGATTTGAAGGCGTTTGAAATCCCCTGAAAAAATAGAATTTGAGAATAATTCACATTAGTAAAAATTGCGATATTATAAGAATATTAGATTCGATTTCTTATACACTTACCCTTCATCATTTTCTGTATCCATATTTCCCTCATCTGTCATATTTCCGTGTCCGTTAGACATCGAGTCTTCATTCATTGAATCAATATCTGAATTGAGAAATCATTAAATAACTCGAGGTTTTGACCAAGATAATAAAACTAAACGACCCATTATGGGCCCTTCAAGTACACAGGCTGTCAGGTAAAATAAAATTAATTGAATTTGTTACCGTGTAACTGTGAATTGGATTTTCTTTAAAACTGTGCTTGAAGTTACTATCATAACAATGTGAGATTTAGAAAATTAAATTGACGATTACAAGTAAAAAGCTAAAATTTCTACTAGAGTTAAAATTAAATTTGAGCCTTGCTGTAGTTTGGAATTTTGGGGCCGATTTCGTTAACAATGGATTGGAAGCACTCTTTATGTTTCTATTATTCTTATATACAGTAATAAGCAATGATTACCCAAATGTCGTTGTTGTTCAGAAGAATCGTTAGATTTTGAAGATCCAGCAGCAAATGAACTTAGATCAAGAGCTTCGTAATGTTCAACAGACAGATCATCTAAAGAAGAAATTTCAAACTTGTTATTGGAATAATAGAAATATCATACTAATATAATCATGGTGTTCGAATCTTCATAAGTATGTGGAAGAATAAGACAAAACATAGTTTTAGCGTTAGTTTCTAGAACAATTTCATCATAAAAGCTAATGATGTTAAGTGGGGAAATCCACCAAAAATTTTATAACAAGACTTCCATCCAGTTTTTTTCCCACAGATATCCTTGTATTTGTGGTTGACGATCCATTTTATTTTATTTTACAAATATCCTCTCATTTGTGGTTACCCACAGTTAGTATGCAGTAACAACACGCTTTTATTCTCTGCTTTCACATTGAAAGGTGAAAACAAAAAACATTTTTATAAACATGTGCAGTTTTTGCCAGTTCTGCCCATTGATTGTGTTCATGTATTTACCTGAATTGCTTTCGTCATTTTCAATATTTTCAGGTAATTTTCTAGGAAGATCGGTATTGATAGATTCATCACGTTCTGTATTTTCAGAAGCTAGATCTTGTTGAGCTGCAGCTACAGCCGCGTAAGACGATTTCATTTCTGTTCAATATAAGGAAAGTGGTATTGAAATGGGTTATCATATACAAGAATAGAAGTTTTCTTCTCTCAGTTGTGACCTTGCTTTGAGCAAATTCCCTTGAAAATGGTTATATCAAACGCAAAAGTACTCACGTTGAGTCATTCTTTCCAAAACATCCATTTGTTGTTGACTGAGCTGTTCTCTTTCTCTCTGAAATAAGAAAAATGTTATAGAAATATTTTCGAAAAGTGAATTTTCAATGATATCAGTAAGCAAGCACTTCAGACTTTATTTGTTACCAAGCTTGTATTGAGCCTTGTTGAAGTGAATACATAAAACTGTATAAAAAGGCTGTGTCTCAGAATTAGGAAAAGATTCTAGATAAATTGCTCTTCTACCCGGCCTATTCTAGACATCACCACTTGAGGCATTAGAAAAAAGATAACATGGTTGCAAGACATTCACATCACATGATTTTGAACTTACAGCATCATCAACAATTCCAGATCCAGGTCTTTGTTCAGCTTCTTCAACTTCATCAATAATGAGAGGCAAACTGTCGTCACCAGAATCAACATTAGTATGGTCAATATTTTGAACATCTGAAATGGAAAGCAAATTTTTGGGATTAGACACTTCGGGTCCATATTATAATTCCCAAATTTGTAAGTTACTATTACGCTCGATAGTCTTTCTTGGAAAAATGTACTAAAGTTTACCTTCGCCTTCTGCGTAGGTTCTTCCAAGCATTCTTCGAAGGTGCTTTCTGACATGCGTCGACATCTGATGTTTGTATTGAAAAGCGAAAGTGCATCCACGTCTTACACAGTGATAATGACTAAACAATCCATTGTATTTGCAATCTGAAGATTTAATTAAAAATAATGAGTTTCATTGGACCAAAAAGATAAAAATCGATGTTTTTTTACTTGTGAAAGCACAATGATTAAATTGAAAAATCTTCCTACCGGAATGATTACAGTGTTCCTTTTTAGTGTAGTATTTGAAACCGCTTGCTTCACGCCTTGCGATTTTTTCATGTTTCTTCATGTGCCAGGGTAATTTAGAAGTACCGATTGTAGCAAAAGTGCATCCAGGTTTGAGGCAATGGTAATGTCCGCGAAGTCTATATTCGCAATTCTAAAGAGAAAAAATAAAATTAGAGAATGTTATGCAGACAATTAACAAATCAAACAGTAAAATATGGCTAATTACAGATTTTCCCTGCAAGTAAGAATATATTATTCAATATGGTTTTTAATGTTGTACTAATTATTCAAAGCTAAATACAGTATGACTATCATTTTCGTAGTCACTTATAATGTGCTAAATTGAGTATATCACGCAGCACTAGAAACTTCAGCATTCTATACTCTTTTGAGTAAGTTGATTCTAAACCTTGCGTCAAAAAAATTAGTAGTTGAAGTTTTAAAAATATCAAAACCGATTCTTATATCACCATGTCCTATCATGGTCGATATTGTCAGAACATGAAATATGAAATTCGTTTTTCATAACTTACAGGATTAGGACATTGTTTCTTCACAGAATAGCTTCTGAAGCATTGTTTTGCAGATCTAGCATAAGCATCCAGACTATCATGAGCTTGCCGATGAGTTTGAGCTTTTCCAAGAGATTTACAAACGTATCGACATCGGTTCATTGTGCAATGCCAGTGGTTTTGACCTGCGTACTTACAATCTGGCCTCATACATGCCATTCTGCAAAAATAAATAAAATACATTAAATTATTTCAAACTTCTGATATCCAAAGTGAGCAAATTTAAGACTATATTGAAACAGAATTTATGTATACACTCAGACAGAGAAAAGGATAATAATATGAATAATGGGCATGAATGATGGAGTATATTGATGTAACAAACCAGCAATTCCCACCCTAATGAAAGCTAGGAGTCTAGTACTCTCGCATATGATCACAATCATGAGACTTACCCTATAAACAAAGTAACGATGAGAGTAAGAATCTGCATGACGACCTAACCATCCAGCAAAATTATATCAATGGCGCATTTACACGGCCTTGTCCAGAGCGAAGGCTTCATATAGAAAATGCAATCCCACATAAAAAACACAAACTTTTACTTACCCATCTTTTATGTGGACGTATCCGCTGTCATTTTTGTGAGTGGGAAAAATTGACCTTCTCAATTCCTGATCACTAGATTCAGTCGCAGAAGCAGCTTGACTCATCCTTGCCATGAGAGCAGAGAGAGTTGCCGGATTTTGAAGCAACCTAAAAAAAATGGAGAAAGTTAGATATCAATCAGGATGACTACATTAATTTAAAGCAAATTGTCTGATTTGTTCAATTATTTGACTGTAATGAATTTTATCTCTTGATTTTTTCGTTTTTTATTAATAAAAGTTGATGGAAATGCTTTAAAATGAGAACTAGGCGATTGTGTCTTACCTATATGCTGGTACTGGTGTAGAGGAGAGAGGTTGTTCAGTTAAGCTAGTCATTTGACTTTTCAAAAGTGCGTTGGCATAAATTTGCGAAGCCAGAGATTGAAAATTGGCATTAGAATATTGTAAACCAGTCGCTGCATACTGAGATATGATAGATTGCTGTGGGTTATTCATCATAGGCTGCATGTCATCACTGCTGCGACGTTCTCTCTTCGGTGGTGAAGCTGGATTGGTAGGTGGTGGAGATTTACTGTACTCTGGTACAGTAAGATTTTGTTTTGTCATCCCGCTTTGTAAAGCAATGTACCCTGGTGGCGGGTCGGAAAGACTTCTATCCACCACTGGTTTAATACCCAGTGAAGAGCTTGGTTTTACATTTTGGATTGGAAGCGTAGCTCCCATTGATTCTAAATTTTCGTGAAACCTGAAACGAAAAAGGAAATAGGAATAAAAAAATTGATGATACATCAAAGTAATATCAAAAAAGATGAAATAGCGAACAAGATTGAAAATTTTTGGAGAAGGTGAAAATTATGCTCATTTAGAGTGAATTTTATCTTGTGAATCAAATTTCTTTATTGTTGGTAAGTAATAGACAATAAAAGGAAGAATATCATACTTTGCATGTCTGATGACTTTTTCTTGACTTGTAAACATAGCTTCACAGTTTTCAATCAAACAATGAAAATGATGTTTTGTTAAAAAGTCACAATCAGAAATCCAGCATTTGTAAGCATCAACCCTGTTCAAATAACAAGACAAAACGAAAAGTTAGATGAGGCAAAAAGCAAAGCGCTTGAGAAAAGAACAAATAGCGTTAATATTACTCAGTAGTTGCATAGTGCGTGACATGCATTCCATCACACCTCTGATTACCCGAGTGGTTACAGCTTACTCCATGCGTCTGGAACAAGTAACTGGCCAACTATACCCACACCTGACATGTGCTGGTAACCCGATGAGAGAGAGGCTGTGTTTCACCATAATAATTGAGCCACCTTGTCGCCTTTCCTCTCCACGAGGTAAAATATTAAAATCCTATCCTAAAACGCAAAATCAGCTTGATTTCACATTTTCATTTATCATATTACTATTTGCAAGCCTGAATTGACTTCAGTTCCAACTTACCCAGTAAAGAATTTCGATACAGCATTCATCTTGATATCGACGAATGGACTCATTGGTTCAATCTAAAAGGTCAAAATAAAAATTCCATTAAATTGTGAAAAATTTTTGGAATAATAATGAAAAAAATAACAAAATGATTAACGATTGAGCCTTACCTTTTCAAGAGCAGGCGGGCGAGTGTTGGCAACAGTATTGTCGTCTGTAGAAACGCTTTCCCTATCATGTTCATATGCTGGTTTCGAAGAAAAATCTAAAAAAGTATTTCACTCACTTAGAATACGTTTGTCATGATTTTTGTAGGAGAAGAAACAATTTAAATAAAAAGCAGTTATAATTTGGGTAATTTTTAACTGGCTTTCATAGTTCACTTTAGCTCAAAAACAAAATTCTCAAAACAACTTAATCATGACAAGGCTAAATATGGTCGTTCGTTAAGAAATGAGAACAGAGTTAGAATTAGTTGATCGAAACACATGTCACCAAAAAATCGAACCTACCTTTTTCATAATTCAAAATTTGTTCGGCCAAACATCTTGAAAAATACAAAATAATCTTAATTACCTGAAATTTTTACATCAGTATGAGTAACTGATGGATTTAATGCCGCTGCAGCACTGATTGCCATACTCGGTGAAATAACTCCAGAACCCCTGCCCCAATTAGAATCGGGATCAGAGAGTACAGACATGACAGTCTTTGATGTTACAACTTGCTTGTCTTCCAATCGAGGTAGGCTCTGAGTTGTAGAGGGTGAAGAAGGCTGAAAACAGAGATGAAGGATAAGTATAAATATTTTATATAACTTAGTATACTTGTTTGTACCTAAGTACAGCAGAACGTTACCACGAAACCAAGTGGGTGAATCGCCCTGTATTTTGATGGTTTACGACAGAATATCGATTTAAAAAAAATTCAATCAAAAGTATTGAAAAGAAATACAAGAAAAGAACATATACATTTTTCCAATTTTCTCAAACCAGCTTTTGAAATTTCGCCTTTCTGGGTTATTAAAGCTCCCAAGCGAATATGCTATCCTAAATATATTGGCAGTGAAACTTAAAAAAACCTGGTTCGAAGACATGAATTATCCATGCTAAACATCATATCCAAGAAATAAAATAATAGATAAGCCATGCCAAGCAGTGCAGATTTCACCTCTTTCATAAAGGCAGCTCTTTGGTATCAGTAGCTGCTTGATAAAAGACCCTTTTCCAAAAAAAATTTCGAATTTTCGTAATAATAATATATGACACATAAAATAAGGTGAAACGACATACCGCATGTGAAGCGTCTTCGTAATTAGGTGGTAATATCCAAGCTGGTTCTTCTTTCATCATAGGTTTAGGAATAGGAGTATTGTAACTGCCTTGAAAATTTCTGCTATTTAATGGAGTAATAGGAGACGCAGGTCCAGAGTTTGAAGTAGTTGGAATCCCATAATGAGTTGAAGGTTCGGACTTAATTGCTGTGAGTTGAGGAGACAGATGAGAGGCACTGATCATGTGAGGTAGAGAGGCTAAAATAAACAAGAAAGAAAACATGTGAAAGACTGTCCCAAGCTGGTTGTAAGCATGTAACAATGATTTCAGTTCAGGTCTTAAATGTCGCAAAGTATATAATCATATCATTTTGTTAATAGTTATCTTTTTGCTTGATATTAGTCAAGTGAGGGGTACGCCACCAAAAAGTGTTAGTACAGGTACCAGTATACATAAATACGACTAATGGTTGAAAAATTCTTTTCTCTCAAAGAACCCTTATTGTAATGTAAGTTAATAAATTGTATAAAATCGATGCCTAATTTAATAATTTCATACACGGTGGAATTCTTACCACAAAGACAAAGTCTGTTCCATAACAAAGAATCGTGGAATTGTATCCAATTTGATATGTGCATGCCCAGATATCTAATAGCACCTTTATATTCGAATGATAAAATTTTGTTAATCAAATTGAAATAGTATTATACCTGGTGGCATAATAGACAAGATTTTTCTTGCTGCCTCTTGAAACATTGCTGGATTGAACATCGGCATTTTCGGAGAGTTCTGGGCACTCCTACTTTGTGCTGTATCTGTAATTAAAAATAAATTTATCAGTGAAAATATGAAATCAATTGTTAACAATACTGACCAAACATGCACCATACTGAATATTTAAATAATCCACATTTCATGCTTGATCAATAATCGACCAATTGTGATTTAGAATGCAATTCAGAAAAGGAATTAAGAAACAAAAAGAGAATAAAATTGAATTCGAATTTAGTACAGCCGGATTTAATTGTGCTACATATTGACTTGTTGGACAAATTGATAAATGATTGTGTCTACGTGAAAAACGATATTTAATCTAAGTAGGATGTGATTGCTATACAGTCGTTGTAATTAAGGACAAAAACAGGGAGCTCAAATTTCAGAACACAAAAATGTATTCAAAATTTGAAACCGTTTCATGAAACCGTCTTGTTGTAATTATTGTCAGTAAAAAATGTTAGGAAGCAACTGTGATAAAACATAGCATAAAAGGATGTGAAAACGATACCATAGCAAAAATCTTTTTGAAAAGTCGCTCCTGTAAACTAGCTCAGAAATTAACAACCATTCTTTATCAATGCTTTTTTGACCGAAATGGTAGGTAATTTTTGTGTTCATATCAGAAGTATTTTGATACACAATAAGAATGCAATTGAACTCAAATATAAATAGATTTTCGACAGTTTTTTGATAAATTCGAAATCATTGTATGTATATACAGAAATGCTGTTTAGTTATATTTTAATCCATAGGGTCGAACCAAAAAAATGGTTTATTTTTCAAAGTATATAGCGAAAATAGACCAATTAACTATTTCAGATACAGTCGAAAAAAAAATTTTTCAACTTGAAAATTGAGTATACTAAAAATAGGTAAAGTTTAACAAGAAGAAAACAAAGTTCATATATTTATGCACATTTGGAAAGTAGAAAAGCTGAGATAATAATGGTTTTGAACCATTATTTTAATAACGAGTAAGAAAATTTTTTTGAATTGTTCAACATTTAAAATCAAAGAATAACTATATTGAATATAACTGATTCAATGATTGACAGTTTCCTAGCAACAGAGAAAATTTTGAAAATTATCAAACCAACAATATTATGAGTGGTGATATTGTAGAAAAATTATGAAGCAGCGATGGATTGAAAGATATAAAGAAATGAGGCTTACTTGAGATGCGTCTTGATGCAACAGCAGCCATGTAAGGAGAGAAAGGAGAAAGAAGAGAATGAGAGAGATAGGTACGATCCGTAGGTAAGGATAATCTAGAGTTCACTGCTGAGACTAAAACAGGACCGGTTTGAATTTGTAAATGTGGGAGCCGGGTACCAGAAAACAAAGTGGGTCCAGGTGGGGCAGGGCGTGGATAAGGTTCGGCTGAAATAAGCTTGGGTGGTGGCATGCTGGGTCGGACATCTTTGGAACGGGACGCGGGTGGAACGAACTGGGTGAATTTTAGTTTTTTGGGTGGTAATTTAAAATGGGATATCATGGGTGGCTCAATTCTTCTTGACGAGGTCACAACAGGTTGGACAGGAATAGGCAGGAGATGCCCGGAAGTTGAATTATCAGAAATCTCATCTTGAAAGAGAAAAGAAGAGAAGAAAATGAAAGAAAAAGACAGAACAGTTCGAAAATTCAAGAAAAAAACTTTGATTGTTCAAGTTCCTATGCTATTTATAATTACGAAAGGTTAAAAGTTATACCATACCATCGCCTAGGTATTCATTGCGTTCATGCTTTCGTTTATGTGATTCCATTTGACTTGTCGAAGTGAATGAAAAGTTACATCCTGGTCTGAGGCAATGAAAATGATTTGCAGTGTAGTTCCAAACACAATCGTTAATGCTGTTAAAAACAAGCATCATATTTACAGAAATATTTACGTTAAATTTGATATTCTTATGAAGAGTGAAAACGAGACATTACCTGCAAGCTTCATTTTTGAAAAATTTCTTGAATCCTTTGCTTATGTATTGATCATCTCGTAAATGATAAGTCTTATGTTTTTCTATGTCACATTTGTTCTTGAAGGTAAAATTGCAGTCATTGCGACTGTAATGAAAAATAAATGAGGTGAATTACGAGATAAATAAAAATATTTTGACAAAAATTGACAACAAAAAGTTCATAAAGTTTCGTTCATAAATCTCATATTTCAGTTACGAAGCCAAATATCTAAGTTCTTGCAAAAAATAGCCACCGTGGTATATTCCAGAAACAATCTGGTAACATTATGATTCAAGAATAAGCGACATTTTAGTCATATGAAATCCTAATTACATTATTCACAAAATCTAACAAAAAACTTACGTGCAATGAAAGTGAGTTGTTTTTTGATCTCTGAAAGTGCAAGTATCTAGATCGCATTGTTCAGTAGCTCGAAAGCGTTTAAAACCGCTACAGACGAATTGCATGTATTTCTTGTGAAAATTCTCATGAGTCATTACGTCAGATGTACTGGTGTAAACTTTGTTGCAGTCAGGCTGTGAAAAAAATTTCACGACTTAACTAATATTGCGAAGAATAGAAATACCCATTATGACAATACATTTTTTTACAAATTTAATTATAAATGGAAAAGTACAAATTGTAGAATAACAAAAATAACCTAATATTATAATTTTTAACCCTTTACTGTCACGCCATCTTTTATTTGTAAGTTAGTTGGGAAGAGTCTGTTATCTTCACACAGTGCTATGGAGTACAAATTGTATACTAGTAAAAACAAAAGAACAGAAAGCAACTAAAATTTTAATTTTTAACCCTCTACTGTCGAGTCAATTTTCAAGATGGTGGGAGTCTGTATTACCTTCATGCAATTCTAATGAGCACAATTTATATAAGGCAATATAACAAAAAACACCTGCAAATATAATTTTTAACCCTCTATTGTCAAGTCAATTTTCAAGTGGGTGAGAGTCTGTTATTACCTGCATGCAGTGATAATGAGTACTTTTTCCATTTAGGTGACAATCCGGATATTTAGTTGAACAGTCTTCAGTGGGCGAAAATCGAAGGAAGCCGTGTGCAAGCGAGTTGTCGCGTTTCTTGTGCATATTATAATGTCTAATCACATCCGCTTTATTGGTGAAACGCTGTGTATTAAAATCCGGAAAAGTTTTTATATTAGAGAATATTATTATGAAAAGTTTTAAAACAATAAAGAGGTGGCGTGCTAAAATTTGCTAAACAAATTCAACAAAATTATACAATATCCTAAAAATAATATAACAGGATATTTTTACAGTTTGAAAGTTCAGAATCCAAACAGACTAAAAGGTCATACGTTATAATAAGTGGCAACCCACTCAAAAATTTTTCAAACATATTTGGCATTAAACTTTTAGGTATTTCCCCTGATAATTATCATATTTCCGGTGCTCAGCGTTTTTTAAATAAACTATTAATATTATAATGCCTTTCATATAAAAGATTATTATAAGTTGCTGAAGCTGAAATGTTGTGGGTAAAGGGATAATAAACACAACGAAAAGCATTTGACAGTGACGTTGTCAATGAATAAAAAGCGGTATACAGTGAAATATTCTTATTTCTTAATTTAACATTTTCCGTATCAATTGAATTATCGCGTATTATGTAACTCTTGGTATTACCAAACCATTACTTCATCATAAACTCACAATCTAGGTTCAAATTGAAAACTATTAGCTACAAACCAGGTAGTTACAATCTTCTACGACACAGTGATAATGATCTCTAGTGTAGTATTGGCAAGTGAGAAGTCCACATCGATTCATATTGGTAAATCTAGACAAAACAAAAATTACATTATCAAACAGTCAATGCATGTTTCATCGCTTACATGCCCGAAAGAAGTTTCTATTAACCTATAGAATTTTTTTTGGTGAATCACCAGATTATTGGCATATTTCCTTGTTCCCAATAAGGTTAATGGACCCGATAATCTATTTAAAAATTTCCCTTTGTTTTTATCAATCAGAAAAATGGTAATTTAAATGTGTCTGATAAAAAAAATTCCAAGATATTATGGCAATATGGTATTGCATTCAATAATGTATTAATAATATTTGTCGTGTGGTGTTCTTTTATAACGGGTTAATTTTGAGCCAAATTTCATTTTCTTAGTAATGTATTGTGCATGATTAGAATAGAAGGAAGTGTACAAAAACCGATATGTCACGGCACATAATTTTTTATGGCGGGCAATAAGGAAACTCGAGATGAGCATGCTCGATCTCAAAACATTTTCTTAAGCGTTTTATCATTGAAAAAGCTTAAGAAAAGCGATGCATGTTTGAAAGAAATGGCAGTTTTCATGCGTGTCACATCCTGCTATTGAAATTTTATGTTGCGAGCGTACTAGCACGCAAAACTTTGGGGCGTTAAGTGATTTCGGTATTGAGTCATTTCATGGTAAGAAAATTTGTAGCCTTACAGTCAACTCGACTTCCTCAAAACAAAATAACTGTTGATGGCGCAAGAAAATATGTGAATAACGAGACTGAACGGACAGGAAGTGGCTATTCCATAAAAGGAATCATATTTTGCGCTTAAAAGTATCGAGTATCATCATATAGCAGGAACCAACTAGCGAGCAAAAATACATCATTCCATATGTTACTAATAATAAATAGCTTAAAAATTGTATCATATTTTTAGACGGTATTAATTATAAAATATATGGGTTATGTTATGACTTGAATCACATAGCTATATAAAGCAATCAGTGTTGTTAAATTACATTCCAATAATCATATAAAACATATGTTAACAGAACATTTCTTCAAAATTTCTAATGTTGCTTATATGTAAATAGATAGGGATAGGTAAAAAATGCAATGCTTACTGCCTATTTACAATTATGTAAAATTTCAATAAAAATTTGATGCCTGTATTGAAGATATAAAAATGTCAAAAAACCAAAAACTTCAATTTTACCAATCTTACTAAGAGACATAAAAATCTGAAGTATATACAAAATACACACAGAGAATAATAAAATTTTGCAATTGTGTATAAGGTAATTTTTCCTACAACATACTCGCCTACTTTTATGAAAGTACAAAGAGAGGTCATGTAAGTTTATAGTGCAATTTTTAGCTGGTTATTACTAGTTGGTAAACGAACGCCCACAAGGAAAAAACCAAAATCAAATTAGTTTCTAATGTCACAAATTCTAATACTAATATATCAAAATTCAAAATGTAAATGGCAAATTTCTTATTTACGTGCGGAGGTGTGTTTTTACGAGTGCTGTGAACTTTCCATCGACAATATATACTTTTCTTAGAAAAATATAGACCAGTATTGCTTTCTTAGACACGTTAAAGTAACGCTACAGGATACGCAGTGATAGAAAAACCAATAAAGGTTTCTGTAATTAGCATTTTGCAGACAGCATCACCTTTTTACTGATAAAACTATAAAATTGATTACGAATACATTTTACTAAAAAACGTGAAGCATCATTTGCAATACGATTAAAAAAGGTGATTGACATTTGAAGAAACGACCGTGTACCGTTTAACAAGATACTTTGTATATAGTAGACATAGAAATAAAAACAGAAAATATGTTGAAATGAAAACCCATACTGATACTAATAATTAAGATATTGCACTTACTTAGCGATATATTGATCGAACACTACCTCATCGAAATTGGACGGGTCGAGAGTACCTTTCTTGATTGATCTGTAAATTAATGTAAGACAATTTTAAAAATAGCAAGCTCAAGTAAGCACACCTTTATAACTCAAAAACGGAAATATAGAATCTGATTAATCAAGGGAACATGTTATGGTGAGCTACCCAATGAAAATTATCCAAATTATAATAATATGAATGGGAATATGCAGGCATCTGAGAAAGCAACCTGCAATGTACAAGGCGTTCAAAAAATTTGATTACAAATTACATACAAAATTTTTGCTGCGATGTCAGAGATCTGGAGAGCAACAGTTGGTGGGCAATTTTAGCATAAAATGACATAGTGAGCTACACACTGCATATAATAAGTAATTTAATTCTAATAACTTACCCAACTCCACTAGATACTGTTCCAGCAGTTATGCTGTCATTGGCAGACATTGAAGTTCTATCTAACATAGATGGTGAGATGGAAGTGGAGTTCAAACTATCCATCATTCCTTTGGTAGGAGTTCCCTGAAAATTATTTCAAAATGAAAATTTATATAGGAAAATTCTTGCAGCTTTTCATTTAGTGTTATTATTATTAATCTACCTGAGAGTACATTCCTTGAGCTTTCAAAAAAAAATTTCTCAATGCTGTTTGGCGGTCATCGACAGAGGAATCTTGTAAAGATGACATTACCATGGATGGTTGTTGTTGCAATCTACTGTTGTTGAGTTTTTGAGCTTCGCTGAGGGTTCCCTGCTTTTGCTGTTGGATGACATCTTCACTGGTTTCCTTCAAGAGGGCCTGGAATGAAATTTTACGTTTTAATTAACATTAAATTCATATTCAAGAGAGGTATACTTAGAAAATTTTGAGGTGCATTCAAAGTGACATTTTTAGTGCAAAATCATGACACAAAACAAAAAAAATAGGCACGAAAACTCATTTTTGTGCAAAAAGGGCCTATTGCATGAGTAAAATATTTAGGTATTGTCAGAGGTTCATATATATGGACAGTTCTCAATTTACCTCCAACTACTTTGTGATAATGAAATATTCGTTTTAACCAACTACATAATTATTCATATTATGTATTAAAAACTATTATGTCATAGACCTCTTTAAAATGCCAATTCAACAGATTAGATCGCAACTGAAAATTAGAAAGAAGGTAAGAGTCCATTTCATGATGCTAGTCAGAAATTGGTTAGACATGTTACATAATTTGCTGTTATAAACCATTTATGCAGCCTTTCCCAACCAGGTAAAGATTTTGTTGCTTTCATGGCAGAAATATAAAAACATCACTTGTAAGTTTGTAACACTAACTCTGGATCCTCCAAGAAATAAACAATAACAGAAACTGAGTTTTTATGCATAATGACGGAGGAATAAAAAGATCAAAAATAAGGAAAAAAAAGAACGTAGCAAAAAAGAATTGGCAACCACGGAGTTGATGTCTATTTTGAAAACCGATATTTCCCAAAATATTATTTTCAAAACTGAGCGATTCATTCCAGCTTCCGTTTCTTTTATCATCGCTCGAAGGTTTCGAGTTATTTAATTCATCGAAACAAATGAGGAAATCAAATTGCTTGCGTGAGGAAACGTGAAATTAATCATTGTAGTAAGATTAATTAATAACCAAGAAGCATATTCACATCTTTGTATATGTTTTTATCAAAGGTTACATCACATATTACTAATTCACTATTGTGAAACTTCCAAGGAACGAGAATATTTTTACTTTGTAATGGAGATTTGCAGAAGACAACCTTATCAAAATTTTAGAAATCGTCTCTGGGCGAAGAATTGAGATTTCTGCTAGCAAACTTAGCATTCTCAAAACAAATTCTCAATTCTCAATTAACAAGCACAAAAAATTTGCTCAAATTGACTGCCATAGAAACAGCATTACCTGAATTTTTGCATCATGTTGTGCTTTGCCACTCATCCAATCATCATCCATGCTTTGGCCTTGGTTTGAAAACTTCTCAAATGAAGATGTTGAAATAGTAGGTGGTGCTGATGACAACTAAATTAGAAAATTTAATAGCATGAAGTTGATTTTTTTAGGTATAAAGTACAATTCATTGAAAATAGAGAAAATGGCCTACACCCTGTACAAATTGACTATATTAATAGTATATTGAACCCAATTTGTCCACGCCAAATCAAAATAAAATCTTACGGAATAGTATGGTTCCAATCAACAATGCATAGGGGAATTGATATGTTATATTTTTAAAATTATAATTTAATTTGAAAAAAAACAGAATTACCATAGTTTTAATTTGGTCATTGAAAACAATACGAGTTAACATTTAAGTTTTGACTGTCTTGCTATTACACATTAAAATGTATATCAAATTCGAAAAATTCACCTTTTCGCATTCACGTGACAAAGAATTTTTTTTTATGTTTGGTATAAATTAGTGAATTCAACAAATTCGAGTTGAGCAAAAATGGGAAAGAAAACAAAACCCACCTTTGCATCATTTTCCTCTTCCCTTTGTTCCAATCTTGCAGATGTAAGTTGATTGTTAAGTCGATGAAGAGCAAAAAACTCATGAACAGACAATCCAACTTCATCCATGGCTTGCTGCAATGGCTTCTGTTGCTCAACCAACTTCATAAGTCGGTGATATCTTGATTTAACAGAAAAACGATTAAAAATGTTTTAAATACCTTTAGTGAAAAGCTTCATATCTAAGTAATGTGGAAGTACCAACAAATAGTTTGTTATTCTAAAAACAGACAATGTGATATACTCTCACAAAATTAAAAAATGTGATAAATTACTTGCGTCTGTGGAAACAACAAATATTAATCTACAATAGGTTAGTGGGAGAAAGTAATTCACAAAAACTTGACAAAAGTAACCTGGCTCGTTTTTTAGGCCACCATAGCCAAGACTTTAACAAGCTAATCAAAAACAACACCTCTATTTTTTCAATTTTTTAAACTTGAACGCACAATGCCATACTCAAATAACTATAACCAAGTAAGAGATAGTAGGATATACATATTGTATACCCATTGTATACATAAAATCCTACATAAATTGCAGGTGTATTTCAGTTCTGTCCAGTGATTAATACAGTTATGTTATTAGTAAGATATTGTAGATTAAATATTGACTCACTTTTCCAATTGCTCATTATTTTCTGTTGTTGTTGATGTAATCGGTTGATCGAGAAATAAATTAGGTGAGGTAGACTGAGAATGTGGTGTCATGTTGTTCATCTTTTCAAAATCGTTGTACGAATCGACTAAAAAAGAAAACGAAATTATATATATTAAATTAAGGTGGACTTCGTTTCATTACTAGTTACCATTAATGAAACATGAAACTTATTTTCGGAACAGATTAATGTTTCGAGGATTTCAAGACAAAATGGCGGATGTTAAAATATTTAAAAATCACAAAAAATAGATTAACAGACTGGTTTCGGTTTCTTCCTTTTGGATTAAAGACAATTGATTTGTGAATTGGGTATACAGTAGGATAATATTGTTTGAACCTGATACCTACTTTTTATGCTATTTTTGCATTGCATAATCGAAGTAAGATTAAGTTGTACAATTATAACATTCTTGCGACATATTGAATGAAGAATTTCATTACACAAAAAATAGTACAGCACTATTTTATTATTAAAGTTATTAAAGTTTTTTTATTAAAGTTAAAAAATCAAAATCGATCAAAGAATATATATATAATATATTTATACTCACTTGATGTGCCGTCAATTCTGGGCCTTTTCACAGACAAATCTAGACCAGGACACTGTTCATCCATCCCATCATTTTGCTGAGTAAAATCGTGCGGTGATTCCATTCTATCGTTAATATTTTCTTCTTCGTAGTCTTCATGAGACCTCTTTCTACCTATAGATGGATCAAAATACAAAATAAGATTTGTGGAACTTTCAAAGGTGATTGTCATATGAGAATTGATTATTAAGTACAAGACTAAACTTCAATGGCAATCTTTCCAAAAAAAAGGATCCATTTATGTTTTACAGTGGTTGCTTGTACAATGACTTGTTCAGTGACTTATAAGAAAAATGATCATGAATGTCTAGTCATGAATGTCTAGAACGAATAGAATATTAAAATCAAAATAAATTACACTGGACATTTTAAATTGCTATTTTGATTATTTGACCAAAAATGCCTTTACATAATTTCTGAAAAGTGCAGAAATAGATAACCAACCACACTATTGTTTATATTTTACTTTCTTGTATTTTCAACTCAAATTCAAGTACTACTTTAACATAATACAGTTTGAAAGTAACTTTAAAATACAACTTTCAAATACAGAAAAAATATTTCCACTTTTGCTAATCCACTTTCTAACAACACTATAATGTGTGCTTCAGATTAGGAGATTAAAATGATTATATGAAAACATAATCCCTATACAATCTGGCACCAATGGTCAGCAATAATGCAAGCACTAAAAATAATAGATTAAAAAGATTTATATATATCAGCAGAGAAAGGGGGTGGAAAACAGATTACATCAATGTCACATGCTGTTTCAATTTCCTTATTATAAGTAGTAGATTAAATATCAGCAAATCTTTTTAGATTTAAATTAACTCAGAATTAATTGAGTGTAAACAGGGAAATTAACATGCACTTGCTATTTTTATTGCTGTCAACATTTCCATAAAATCATTAGATTATTATATTTTATTGAGCACAGATATAAAGAGCAGAATATGCAGTTTCTTTATTTCAAAAAAACAAGAAGGCCCAATTAACACTTATTTGTGATTCCATTTTTAGAACTGATGACATCTTTATTTGACAACATGATGGGAAAATAGCATAATCACTGACCTTACATAACAATGAAATTGCTAATGGTACATATTTAATGAATTACAACTCAACACCTAACACTAAAAATTTGTTTTAATCTTTTAAAATACCAAAATATAAATATAAAGCAAATTTCATTGAAAATGAATAATATCGAATATTTTATAACAATGAAATAAAGATGAATAGGAACTTCAATCTTGATCTATGGACTTATCAATGATGGGGATATTTTAAAGAAATTAATTAAAAATCGACATTGTATATTTGGGTTTTATTTTTGTCATTATGACAATTGACAATACACTCTTTATGAATTCAAAACTTCATTTTGTTCAAAGTTCAAGAATGTGATCAGTAGCCGGGAATAGACAGACTTTTATTACATATATCCAACCAATAAATCATTATAACATCATTTCAGTGACATTTTTGAACACTGGCAACTAGCAATGACTAGAAGATGAAAAATTGTCAGAACCGAACATTCTTCAATAAAAGTTTTGATGAACATCTGAAATATTTCTCATTACTTCTGTATAATTACTAACGGTATATTTATATTTACTTTTATTTCTTTTTTGCGGTCTTTTTACAACAGTAAAACTACCTCAATATTAAAACAATAAGTCTTCAGCCATTATCATGTAATTTTACTCCTTTTTTGAAAGACTTTGTAAAGGAAATTACATTTTTTAAGTCATTTTCCGTGATCACGTTTTAACGACGAGGATTTTCAAAGTTGCAAAATTGTTTTTCAATGCGCGAATTCAAAACAGCGAGTCATTATTGATCATAAAGGTATGCCAATAGATAATGAAAGCCAAAACCACCAGGCAAAATTTTTTTTGAAGAAAGCACAACTTATAAAACAGCATTCAAGAGCTAATCTAAAGACGTTGGAAATTAAGCAATTAGGACGCAATATATTAAAATCGATTTTCAACTTTTCAAATGAAAAAATTTGCCAAGATTTGCAATGAATGGAAAAAAAGCCATAATCATTTCCTGTTACAACTCAAAGTCTTGGCTACAAATATTCATTTGTGAAAGTTCATCATCATTATCGAGTTTTGCTGAGTAAACATTAAACATGGTCAATTTGCCTAAGATTCGGATACTAAATACTATGTCCTTATCTAGGGATGGGCAATTTAAAATCATAGCATATCGAGATCAAATCCAGAATACTGAATCCTATTAAATTTTTTTTTGCAGTGATCGCGAAAACGGTGGGAATTCTCTCACAAACATGCTAGATTACAATTTTTAAAAATCAAAATTGTAAAGTGCCTTTGTATTAGCATTAGATTTCGTTTGAGACCAAACATGCGCATCCCAATGTTGATGAAATTTTAAATGATCTTCTAAAACTAAGTCTCATTAGTCACTTTGAAAGTAAACAGGGCACAAGGGCACAGGGCACAAGGAGAACTGCGACAGCTTATGATGAATTAAGATCCATATCCCACACATAAACAATCAAAGATACTTCAATACAGAGTATAAGTTAAGGTTCAAATGCATACTTGACTTATTGTCTGGATGTTCCATGGTCCGCATCTCCTCGTCATCACTCACGCTTTCGGGTTGAAGAATATACACACCTAGGATTCAATGAGAAATATAACATTAAAATCATAAATTAAATTACCGTACATATTTTAATACAAAAAATCACAATACAAATATTATGCAATAAATTTTTGTCACCACGAATAAATAGCGCAGAAAATTAATAATTGAAATAGATTGCTGACCGCCGTTATAGGTTCAGCTTTTCAGTCGTCAGTTCGTTCATGTTGGTGTTATTTAGTGTGACTTTTGTTGACTAATATATGATTTGACGTCTCTGATGGATTGGAACTTTTCATCAATCGCATTCATTATAACTAGTAATATATGCGGTAATAGTTGAATCAAATTACAATTCCAATCAATACACAACTACAAAATTATGCTCCTTGAAAGAATAGAAAAATACCTTCTGGAGGATTTGTAGCCGTTAAGGTCGTCCTTTGAATATTCCCAATGTTGTCCATAATATTATCTACTTTCAGTTCACTTTCCATACAATTAGTATCTGTGGTAAGCAAAAATCGAATGTACATGACATTTTGCACGCTAGTGTTTTAAAAATAGTGATCATTTTTTTTTCTTGGCGTATACTAAACACGCAGTAAAATTTTTTGTGTACGTTAGCGGAAATAAAATAAACGTTAAGTGTAAAATGACCTCAGAAGTTGATACTTATTTCTGAGAAAAGAAAATTGAGGGAAAAAATTTCGTGTTGCGTTATCAAAATCACATAATACGCAATAAATTGTGTAAAAGTGTGAATTAACGATTTCGCGAAACGTAAAGTAAAGGAGCCGTGTTGATCACAAGCCGTTTCTATAAATAGAATTAATAGTCTTAATACGTTTCACGGGTCAATATCTTTCTGATTAAAATTTTTCACGGATTTTTATGTTTTTCCAAGTATGGGCACGATAAAAAAACACCAAAAGGATTGTATTATAAATTGACCATGCGTGGTACTTGTATTTCACCTTTTCTTTTTTTGTGACAAAAACGACAAATTACGGTGATTGTAATCAAATTTTGTACCGTGAATTCGTAAAAACCCCAGAAAAATGAAAAATCCGAAATATAATTACACACGTACAATTGCACAAAATGAAAAAAAATCTTTAACACCAAAACGAGGCAGCAGTCGCGCGCCAGATGCTAATAATATTAATGGATACCCGGAAAACGACAAGAATCGATTTCATTACAGGCCGCTTTTTTGGTGGAGAAAGATTATCCGCTTTTAAAATTTGAAAAATGAACTCTGAAGAATGGCTATCACAAAAGACATAAAATAAGCAAGCTTACTAAAATAATCTTAATACTGTATTTTGATCTCCAATTTCCTGGCATTGGCAGAATAGGATAAAATTTCATTGAAAATATACACAAATTCAGTGTTCCCGTGGACCTTTTTTGCAACCAATAAAAGTCCCCGATGGAAAATAAGGGAAGAAGAGCAATATAGCAATAGACAAAAAATATCAAATTCTAATTCAATGAAAATTTTCACACATAAAAATGTGTCCTTTTTGTCCGGGGAAAGCACGTAGAAAATTAGCATTTTTGTTCTAACAAAAACTACAAATTTCGTGCCGATGGATTCAAAACGCGACTGATGGAATGATATAATATTTCCTTTACGCTGGGCGATTAAACAAGCATCATTATTCATTCGTTCTAATTGTCGTAGTTTTAAATAGGCTTGATGTGGCAATATTTCAAGGCGTTTCCTTACATACAAATGGATGAGATTTTGAGGAAAATAGAAATACGAAAAATTGAATACTAATAAGATAAAAAAAATCATGGTAAGTGACGGTAATAATAACTATTGGTAACGGTTTCTGATAATCTAATTGATAAAACAAGTAGACTTGAGCGAATGAGTGTAACTTAACCCTAGTCGCTCTTAGAAACACATGAAATATTAGCAATCGTTTGAAAATTGAATGCAAAAAATAGAAGCAACCTTATAGCAGGTAGTCTTGAAATACATACCTGCCTTGACGAAAATTGAGATCTACATTTTAACAATAGTTAGTACAATAAAAACCAACCTGCTTCGCTGGCATTCATCTCTCCCTGGCCAACAGGCGAACTTGAACCATTCGTCGTCTCATCCGTTACCTCGGGAGATAACGAGTCTTCCGTTTCGTCATTTATGTTGTCGACCTGAGAAACAGGCGTCGTAAGCGTACCACTTGACCCTCCGCTCAGCTTGCCACATATCATATCAATGCATCGCACAGGTTTTCCCTTCCGTCGAGACGACATGGCGTCCGTCCGGTGTTGTTAGATTTTAGCCTTCTTCCGATAATTGTCGTGTTCTATGCCTTATCGCATTGAATTCTAATTGGCAATATTATTGAGCTTGTAAACAAAGGAGTATGCACACACTTGGTTGTTCTCATGCAGATTACGATAATAAATATATATAAACGTTACTACGCCTACGACTCACTGAAATGGAAAATTTTGGTATGTTGATTTGGACAGCAAGCAAGAATGCACATGTAAATATAGCACACTGCCTCCAATTAACCTCATTACAGAAATGTCGAAACAAAATAACAGACAAGGTCTTACTGTCTTTTTCAACAAAAATAACAAGCTCGGCTCTGCTGAAGGTAGAATATAACGACATAGCTGATCGAAACCAAAAAATTGATCGAAATACCTTTTCCTTGTCGAAAATTTTCTCCCGCGCAAAAAATATTATCATAACCCATGCCTAGGTTTGATTGCTTTGCTAAAAGCACAATAATAACACTCTATCCCGATGCAAAAAAAAATTCATCTTAACGGCAAATTAAATACAGAGACGCGGCATCGCACCACACAAGAAAGGCAATTTCTCGCGCTTTTCTGCAGAAAATCGCGCCTGTTAATTTGGTAAATACTGCTTGCTATTTTTATATTGTTATTATCACTACCGATAATTTTCGCTGGGTGATCAAAAAATCTGCTGTATATGACATCTCGTATCAATTTAATTAGTATACGATAATTTACGTCAGTCTGTACATTTTATTACTTTTTGTGTCGCCACAACAAAATTACAAATTCTGCTTTTTTCTTGAAAATGATGCCGAAAAAATTGGCACGAAGATATAATTACCACACGGTATGGCAGTTGACATTGTTCGGCATCAGGCCAAGCTTTACAGAAGATAACTAATAAAGTAGACCTCCTAATTATGAAAGATATTTATCACTTATACATTACCAAGAATGGGTATAGCCTCGAGACACAGTCAACCCATGACCAACGCTAAGCGTAGAAACGTCTCTGCCGTGCGAGAGAAAGAAATAATTATTTTAATTTACATTTTACTTCTAACGGTAACAGCCAAATCAAATTTCTTCATAAGCTTTTTTCTTTAATTTTGAGAGAGAACAGTATATATCATACTATAACTAGACAATAAGATCGATGCCGAAAAATTTTTGGCAGCAAAAATTACACAAAATTTATTGCAAACACGTTTTCGATATCCGCCATACATAAAATACGATTGTATATGCTTCATTTACAGTGTTTCTCGTAATCGCGTTTTCACGCTTAACAACAAAAAAAATTTGTCCGGAAATCAAAACATGTTATCAAACACGAATGATTATCAAATACAAATTTTGTGAGCAAAAATGTATTTTATTCAAACCGTTTATTGGACTGTAAGCAATGGAGCAGCTAGGTAATGTATATTTAAACACAATATACTCATAAATGTCAACCGACCAGTATAAGACTGATACACTAACGTTATTCTGGCACTGTAGTAACGGGGATTTCTACCTGAATCCAATCACACTTTTCTGCACTCAAATTAGTGCGCATGACGTTACTAAACGGTAACCAGTACATGCTCACATAACTCTACTTCCATTCCTAACACACGCCACGAATAAATGATGGCTCAATAATAAGTCACTAATACTGTACTAATTTACATTTTCCCTCATCGGCACCCGTTAGCTGACTAATTTTGCTTGTAAATTAGATCTGTGATTAAATAAATTACGAACTCTCTCAAACAATATTAATAATCATGTGCCATAGAGCTCTTACACCATTAATTGCGAATAAACAAAGCAAAATAAGACAAGCTTTTTATGACGTAACAAAGTACTGTCTCAGCTTTAATGTACTGTATACAATACAGTAAATAAAACAAAACTGTCTCACTTCACAAGAAATACAAATCTGAGTCGAATTTGAATAGTACACTTTACCGCTACCGGCGTCTATCGACCATCGGCGAATTATGCGTGGTTGACAATGGGCATGCAGATTTATTTTGAATACAGTATAGTCGGTAAAAAAAATTCGGAGTAAAATATTTGGCGGAGTATTTTAGTACAAAAACGGCAATATGGTTCGAAATTTGATACTGCATTTCCGCGATACGGGGGAAAATAATCTAAAAATGCAAAAAAGCTAATGAAATAATTGTACAATAGGAAATAACATTTGCAAGCAAAATTTGCCTCTCACTTTAACTACCTATAAACTTCATCTAAAGTAACTATCGACAACAGCTGATAATAACACTATAGCACTAGCAGAAGCGAACAAATGAGCTCAAAACTGATCACACTACTGAGATATAACCCATAAGAAGAGAAAAGCCCAATCTCGAGCGAAGACTATTACATAAAATTAACTAATTGCGTGAAAATAGCTGTATTCTGGAGTAATGACTACCGCTGAGCAAATTTCCCATAAAAGACTTTTAAGCGTACAATACCCGCGTTGCAGACGAAAGGGTCCTGTCTAGCGCTCCAACAGATTTTTCAGGCAATGTATAAACAAAGAAATTAGCAAGACTAATCACACAGGAAGCGACTTAATTACTCCGAGTTGCGCGTTCCGAGAAGAAGATGCCCAAATGGGAAAACACTACGAAATAAAACTTATGTGGAATACAAAATAAAAGTTCGCGACTAAAGTTTTGTTGTTGCATGCGTCCTTCGATCAAAAATAAAATTAATGCAGTTGGAAAACTGTTAGGCCATTGCGTTGTTGTTTTTCTCTACCTGAAATCTACCACAGATCAGAAAGCGATTCATATAATATAAACATAAATCTCGAGCTGCACAAAGAGTTACCATTACCAATGTACAATAGCAAAAGTATATCGACTTAAACAGTGTGTGATCGGAAAATCAGATTTTCTGCTCTGCGTCGATCCATCTTTACTGTGCCACTATATTGCATTTCCCAATCAATCCAATACAAGAAGTTGTTATTATCAATATCCCAAGTTAAAACACTTCACATCATCTCCTCGTAATATGTTATACGAAAAAAACTTCCTAGTTCAGTCGTAAACAGTGAAACCGCAATTGCATTTGCCGGATGAATAAAGTTATGTCAAACAAATTACCATTGAGTTGCGCTAAACTACATGTTTTATCCCAATTTTCCATTTTCTTGTTTCATCAAGTGCTTGTCCTAAGAGCTTTCTGTTTTTCGGTATTTTTCGATTTATCGACAAAGTGAGAAATAATTCTCTGTCAGATTTGAGAAAAAGCGGCGAAAACGCTGCGGGGAATCATCGTAAAGAACGCTTTTTTCGTTTTCGTTCAACTTTTTGCGAGCATATGGCGTTCCGCTATTGATTTTCGCAGCGATAATTCGGGCTTTCTTGCCATTGCGAGTGCCCAATTATTGACAATTTTTCATTTTCCGAGCGCCGGAAAAAACGAGCGTTTTTTTGTTCACCGAGTGCCAGGCCGTCCACTTGAAGCCACTTCGATCTATAATTCTATGCGAAAAACGCTTCAAAACCTGAAATTTAAGACTCAAAAGCGAGATGTACTATTTGAAGTGGATCGACTTGATGGGAGAGAATTAAACGATTGATTTTGATTCATTGATTCCAATCTAATAAAAAAAAATTACACAAGGATCAAATTGACGCACTGCACCTTACCCTACAGACATTTGAAAAAAATAAAATAAAAAAACGTATTTTTAATTTGGACTAATTGATGAAAATTTTCTACATGCTTACGATTCTAGCACTGCTTACCCAATTTTACCAGACTATTAGACAAAACGCAGCTTACAAATTTCGTTTGAAATATCTGAAACCTTTTCCTATACACTTTAAGAGGAAGTACTTCTCACAATGGGTGGCGTGAACTAATAAAAACGTCTGATGTTTAGGTGCAAAATACAGTTCATGATAAACCACTGTCTATTTGCGTCTTAAAAAGCACGCGCAAAAAATCAACATAAAAATATTGAATTAAACGTAGCATTCTCTCTCTCCAGAGAATATACCAAAGGTCGAAAACTATATGACCAATCTCGACATGTCAGTTATTAGCAAATGCGTCAATTCGCATCTCTTGATCAACGTAAACAAATAGCTTCAACATGCCAAACATAACTCATACATAATATACATCGTTTATGTATACGGCCAATGGTGACTCAGGAAAAATTTTGACCAAGCAAAATGAGCTCCGCAAAAAAAAATCGGACTTTTGAAATCGACCCGTAACGCAAGAGAGAAGAAAAAACGACCGAAACAGGCACAAATCGATGAAAAGCATTAGTGGTTGATAAAATATCGAATGGTCTCACGAAAAATGCATTGGACGGTCAAAAACAGACGCGTGGATTGAAATTTTAATCAAATTCGACCATGCGAAAATGAGAGGATCTAACAACGAAGGGAGATTTTGACGCGGAAAGCTTATGTATAAGAAAGTATAAGAACACATAAATCCTCTTTTTTCGACAATCCAGTAGCGATAATATATACGTAATTAATTAATAATATTATTACTTTTTATTCGTTCTTATATTTTTCTCGTGATATCATAATCGGCTCGATAGTAGGGACATTCGTCACTAATCAATGAGCGATATTTCAAAGGTCTGCTATCAAACTTCAGCTTTTTACTATTCCATATTCCAAGACACCGAAATTCCAAATTTTGCGCCCCAAAGCGAGATAAACAAAATTAGAGCATGAAATTCGCGATCGAGCTTTTACATAATATTACAAAGTTTGTAATATTGTACGAGTTGATGCTGATCCTGATCAAGACGCCATCGTAAAAAAAAATTCTCAAAATTTATTTTTTTCCAATTTTTGAATACACCACATCCTTCAGCTTCAATCCAATAAGCCCACTCTAAAATCTATCAAAATGCAGCATATGAATCCCACTATATGCACACTTTGCCTTATGCACCTTAGATTTTTGTGTATTCTATATTTTTTCGTGCAGGCAAAACCAAATAACGGCTGTTTTGTAATAAACCGTGCCAAAGAAACGTTCGTACCGCGCAGCTGTCTCCCTTCTCTTGCGTGGAAAAATTAATCACGATTTGGTTTAATCACATCCTGTGGCACAATATTATGCATAAGGTCAATCCTCGGCAAAAAAAATTACCGTTTTACGCTAAACGCAGCGAAAAACACTTTCATGTGACGCGTGAATCATAAAAT